TTTGGGGTGAACAGAAATTTCAAATTTTGGGATGAAAATACCTGCCATAGGGTAGTCTGATTAAAATGCCATAGTACAGGATGTTATTCATGTCATATTTTAGCAGGAAATTCGGAAATTTCAGATTTTGTGATGGCCTATCCAGGTTGAGTAGAAGTTCAAAGTCCCAGAGCCCAAGTACGAAGATAAACGCGCGCGGAGCTCATGCCAAAGTGTGGATGGTATCTGGTAGCGCAGTGAGGTAGTCAACCGGCACCCATTGTGGGTACCCCGGTTCGATACCCACTCGAGACAGGAAGTTTAAAGTTATGGAATGATGATAATAAATAGAGAATTCTTCTCTCTAAATAGAGAGTTCTTCTCTAGCAATAAGAGGTACTATTCATCACTTCTGATGATGATAAATAATAATAAAATCATCACTTCAAATGATGATAATCTGACCATGACTAATACTCTCCAGCCACGAGCTGGGATCAAACCGGCACCCATTGGGTGTCAGTAGACTATCGTGCAGCGCCATTAGATACCATCCACACTAGGGCATGAGGTACGCCCGCTTTTATCTTTGTACTTTAACTCCTAGACTTTAAAATTCACCAAGACGTGGACGAGGGTTCGAACCCACGACCTCAAGAGTCCCGGTCAGTCTTCTTATCCTCTGAGCTATGTGAACACACAGGAGAGTTTTGTGAAAGGTTTACTATCTTAGAGGCCAGGCAACCCCTCCCATTAACTAATCTGAATTTAATTTAACTGCTGACAAATGATACTTAAAAGATTTTAGGTAAATAATTTAAGTGTCTCAAATCTTCACTTTTAATCTTGACTTAATTCTCTAAACACTCAGTAATAGTATAGCATAGAATAGCCTGATCATCATGACATATTTTAGTAGAAAAAAGAAAATTTATATTTTGCCCCCCCCCCCCCCCAAAAAAAAAAAGTCATAGTATACTATGTCTAAAATTCCAGATTTTTGGGTAAAAAGAAAATTCAGATTTTATGATGAAAAAACATGTCTTAGTATAGTCTGATCAAAATGCCATAGTAAAGGATGTTAAAAATGTCATATTTTAGCAGGAAAAAAAAATCATATTTTAGTCCAAATCGTGTAGTATAATAAAAATTTCACAGTATAGTTTTATTAAAATATAGTACAGTTTGATAAAAAATATCATTGTACACTATGATTAAAATGTCATCGTATAGTATGGTAAAATTTTCATGGTATAGTTCATTAAAAATAGAGTATGATAAAAACATTATAGAATAGTACAATAAAAATGTCAGTACAGTATTATGAAAATGTCACACAGTCATTTCAAAAATAAAATTATAGTACAGGATCTTAACAATGTCATGGTAATCCTGGAACGTCATGTTTTTGTTTATTTTTTATCTTTATTTATTTTGTCTTGTAGACTTCATCTCATGAAATCAGAATCTTGCAGGATGAAAAATCATCACACTTTGCTTCGTTGTTCCTGTTATTCTTCTCTCTTCTCTTCTCTGCATGAGGTCTGCTGGGGTTGGACGCTGTCTGCAGCTGGGAGCGGTGGAGTTAACGCCACCTGCTGTGGCAGATGTCAAAAACCATGCTGTAAAAAATGTCCGATTAACACAAAGGGGCACTTTGACAAATCCTGATTATAGGAGCACTTTCATTTATTAAACTCTGCCAATCCCGCTGTACTCTTTCTGAGCGTGGATTAAAACCAGGTAGACACCATTGTCTGTCCAAACAATCCCTCTTTAAGCTCCGGCTGCTTCCTGCTGCCCTGAACAGGCCCAGCTGTAATCTCAGTAGAGGCTTATAGGTCACTACAACCACCACACACTCTCATTCATCAACATCATCCCCTCTACAGGCCGAGGTGATTGGATTTAGGACATGTTTTACAGGAGCAGAAAAAACCCCGACAGGGAACTAAAGCGTGTTTACAAGAGCGGTGCTGTGAAAAGGCTTGCGGTGGAGTGGCAGCCATATGGAGTGGATAACCCCGAGAACATCTGCCCTCCATCAGGACTGCACACTACCATTAGACTGCTGGATTTGACCTTCAAAGGGTGCACGGGAACATCTGGCCCCTCTGTGACCTTATGAACCCCCGAGATATAAGACCAAAGTAACAAGTAGCTGCAGAGAGCCCCACTCCGGATCTGTTAATCTGCGGCCGTGTCAAAGATCTTTGGGTCATGATCTATACTCAGGTCTGATCTGGGAAATTAACCATTAAAACCACTGAGCTGAGAGGTAATATCTCTGAAGTTAACAAAAGGTCAACTCCTAGAATGAGGATAATTAAAGACCATAATGGACAGCTTTCATAAGTAGACTTTTGTAGGGCCTTAAAACTCAGAAATCATGAGTTGTCAATGCTCAAATGTTGCTACGACAGCATTTAAAACATAACACGTAAAGTGAAAATAAGAAAGTGCAATAGTTAATTATCCACTGGAACTCAAATAATCAATTGCAGTTTATAAAGCATGGATGCACCACCTCAGGTAACTGCTATAATACTATACTACTATACTATAATACATCCTTGACCCTTCTCAAACATGCACTCCTGCACTTTTGCCATTGCATCACGATGTGTGTTTGTACATTTTCACAGCATTAAAATCATCAGTGGAAAAGAACATTAGGTGAGCAAAAAAAGAGGATTAATCTGCTTCATTATGTGTGCAGATGTTGCATATAAAGAAAAATAGCTCCACTTTATCAAACTGCAACACGAAAATGCTGGTGATGGATTGGTATTAACTGTCTTATAGTATGACTTCTAATAATACTGCACTTGTCTGGAAAGTTTCTGCAAAGTTTCTGCAGGAAAAGCACCAAAATATTTTTTTTTTTTTTTAGAACAATATCGAAACTTTAACTTGCAGTTGACAGACTTTAGATTGAAATTATGGTCCTTTCACTGTAGTTAAATGTACAGTTGCTTTTACTGGGAGAATCCCCCCTCATTCACAATCTCCTGCAGACAGACAGAAAGGTGATAATGTATTAGCGGCTGCCCTCTGACATAAATTCATTCCACAAAGACGCGGCATATGTCAGAGGATCAAATGTCTTGATCCTGGTAAAAGTTGTGTTGTTTTCTAAATTGAAAGAGCATAAGGTCCCACTTTTCCGCCACAATACAGAGTCCTCACCGTAATAATTGTATCAGCGTATAAGAAGCTTACTGTAATTACAATATTGTGTTCTCAGGGCGGCAGCCTAAAACATAAAACACAAATCACCCATTTTTGAAATTAAATGGAAGCTCGTTCAGAGAAGCAATACTTATGGAGGACAGAGGGATTACCATGTAAGTCTGGTACATTTAATATTTACTGAACAATCACACAATTAATCTGACAATGTGTTCTGTGTCTAATACCTGAACTGACTGGCTCTCCATTATTATCAGGCCTGGGCTCAAAGAGAGAGAGAGAGGACAGGCGGGCGGGGGGAACGAGATCAGGGGCTTTTCTCTTATATTCAAATGTGGCCTTTGAGTAAATGTCAACAAACGCACTTAAACCAGGAAAACCTTCAACTTTTACAAGTTCAATTCTTACATAACCCCGCTGTGTGGCTGTTTATAGGGTCTAAATGGGGATTGTGTCTCATAACTTCAGTGTTGTTGGCTCCCTCAGCTAAGAATAGACTCTAAATGGGCTCATTCAACAAACTCTGCACTTTAAGTATGCAATTTAAGGAACATTCAAACAGCGCCGAGGATTTTACTTTGGGGATCAATAAAGTTCTTGTACTGTATTGTATTGGAAAAACTTTCTGGGGGAATAGAGCAGACTAGTTGAAATCTGTTAACATTACATTACAGGTGTTGCATGCACTGATATGTATTTATAATAGGCTCTACTTTCTCGTTCTTTCAGCATACTTAAGAGCTGAAAATATAACTTACATAATCAGGGTTGAGATTGATACAACTTTACAGCTGACAAGAAGTGAAAACAGTTTCTTATATGAGAAATTTCAACTCCAAATCGTACTCAGGTGGACCTACGGTGGCCGAGAATCGCCACTGCTGCAAATAAAAAAAGAATGCAAAAAAAAAAAAAAGAAGCCACAATGGAAGTCACCAATGCAAAAAAACCCAAAACAAAACAAAACAAAAAAAAAAAAACGAGGTAAACCACTCAAAACAAACAAACAAACAAACAAACAAACAAAAAAAACTGCACTGTTCCTTTTTTTATTTGCAGTGGGCTTCGGTTTCTCTTTTTTTTTTGCATTCTTTTTTTCATTTGCACCAGTAGCCAGCATAGGACCCTGTATGTCAATGGTCTTTGCAGGACGTAGCTTTTTTTTTTCCATGGCCTTTTTTTTTTTTTTTTTTTTTTTTTTTTTTTTTTAAATCTGCACCATTTCCTTTTTTTAAATTTTGCACTGGGCTTTAGTTTCCTTTTTTTTTTTTTTGCATTATTTTTTGTATTTGCAGCAGTGGCAGTTCTTAGCCACCATAGGACCCTGTATGTAAATGGTCTTTGCAGGAAGTAACTTTTATTTTTTCATTGCCACTTTTTTTTTTTTTTTTTGCGTAGTTAACTTCCTTTGTGGCTTTTTTTTTTGTTTTAAATCTGCACAGTTTCTTTTTTTATTTGCAGTGGGCTTTAGTTTCCTTTTCTTCTTTTTTTTTAATTTGCAGCAGTGGCAATTCTCAGCCACCGTAGTACCCTGTATGCCAATGGTCTTTACAGGAGAAAAAACGATTTTGTAGGTCAGATTTCAGCTCCATCCCTGTGCAGAGTCTGCAGAGAGAGAAATAAGATGCTGAAGAGTCTTGAAAGGGTTAACAGGAGGAGGCGCAGAGTGGTCAGCTCGTCTGCTCTGGGTGGAGTGAAGTTTAGACATGTACTATAACAAATTAGCCAAGAGCACTGCATTATGGCTGAGTGAAAAACACTCAGAAGAGAACTGAACCCGTCTCTTTTTTTGATAGTGATCCAGGTCGATAGAAAGACGAAAAGCTAAGATGAGTGATGTGAGTGAAGACGCGCTGCTGGATTATTTCTACTCTACCGGAGGAAATTCAGGCAGAGTGAAAAATGCTGATATCCTCAAGACATTTAAGCCCTTCATTGGCCACAGTGACTTGCAGTTACGTGGTAAGTAGCGAGTCGTTTTTTATCGTGGAGTCAGCGTAAAAATATTCGCTGAAAACAGGAATAACACATGAGAAGTGAAGGCGGCATCAGTACAGCTCGGTACAGTGGGCTGAGTGTAAACTGACCTCGTGTTTGCTCCACACTATCTTATTTTGGAACTCTTTGTAAAATGATTCATGTTTATCTAAAAGCTTAACATTCCCCAGTCTGTTGTTACAAACGGCTTTAATGTCCTCTCATTGTTCCCTGTTGTGAAGCAGACATCTGGTTTGCATTAAAAGCCCCTCTACAGACCTTCAGCTCCAGCAGGAATTGTGTCATTTCCTCCCGCAGGCTCTTGCTGCATTGGTAACTGAGCAGAGGACGTGAACGCAACACATCTCTTAAGCCTGACACCAAGCAGGGTCACATGAAGGGCCTGTGGTCCCCCCCTCAAGCTATATGAATATTAGAAATAAATTTAAGATGGTTGTGAATATCTAGTAAATATGAATCATGCTCTTTTAAAGGTTAATGGTTGAGCTATAGTGCCAAACTGAACAAAAAATGCTGTTTTTTGCCAACAACCTAAATAGTAGAACTATCAGCTAGCCTTAACGTCACTCAAATGGTAGAAAATTCGCAATTTTTTGCCACTTTCTCTTTCTTAAGTTGGGGAGTTTACAACCAAGTGAGCATAACTATCAGCTAACATTAACGCCACCCAAGAAACTAGCTGATTTTTGCTAGCAACAGCAGTGTTAGGACACTTCCTAGCTAACAGCATCATTAGCTAACAGTTGAATGCTAACTTTAATGTAATGAAACCCAAACAGGTCTTCAAAAATGTAGTTTTACTGTGTGAAATGGATTCATTCCCCTTTATGGTTTATTATCCCAGAAGGTCGCTGATCTATCGCGTCTAAGTAAAATGGTAGCTAACGGTTGAACTAGGATATAAGATATATATGAAATGGGTTTTTAATTATCATGTTTCGGATCTTAAATTGTACAAAAAGGAGACTAAATAAATCTATAGCCAAGTTAGGATCACTATTAGCTAACATTAATGCCACCCAAGAGACTAGCTGATTTTTGCTAGCAACAGCAGTGTTAAGACACTTCCTAGCTAAAAGCATCATTAGCTAACAGTTGAATGCTAACTTTAATGTGATGAAATCTTAAACAGGTCTTCAAAAATGTAGTTTTACTGTGTGATATGGATCCATTTTCCTTTACGGTTGATTATCTGAGTTAAGTCTGGCTTAAATAAAATGGTAGCTAGCCTTCGAACTTGAACATATACATGAATCACAGTTGAGTTTCCTGCCATGGGTGCTGCCCACCCTGAACAGTATACTAATAGCCAGGCTTAGCTTAATAAACTTACAAATAGCTTTCAAACAAATTAATTTCATTTTAATCGTTACAAATTATTTTATTAATCTCTGCAGCTTTAAACAGCAGAATGGTTGTAAAACTGTGTTTCTAGCAGGGTCTCACTGTCTTGCTCTCTGCTGTTCCTCTCCACCCACTTACTCTTCTGATGCTTATGCAATCCTGCTCTGAATCATTGCTTACACTAAAATTCCCCTCATATTTGGCCTCCAGAGATAAACTGTGATGGCAACAGGTTTTAAAATGTTGGAATGTGCTGATTTTTCTAGCTGTGTATTACAGTAATCTGAATATTTGGGTTCCTGGATGAAGATAAGACAAATATTAAGTCAGAAAGTAGTTTAGTTGAACTGTGATGGATATGACTCACTGTCATGTGATGCAGTATTGACAAGCACAAACTGAGGATAGTTTAGTCAATATTGGGGGATATTTTAACAGCTTTCTTCCTTGGGTGACAGGAGATAAGATAAAGATACCATTTGCGGTTAAATTCCAGATTATAGACATATAATGATCGTGTAATGTCTCATTTTCCTTCCACTTTAAAAACGAGCTTTTACCTTTGGCACTGCCTGAAATGCAAACATATCTGAACCTCCCTGAATGATTATCCAAAGTGACCTTGCACCGTGGTTACCAGCATGTACGCTCCAGATGCTATGTCAGCGGTGCAGTTGTTGACAGAGGTTTAGACAGCCGCCTTGTTCCTCTGCCATCTGACATGCTGTCCAATTAAAAAAAGTGCTTCCCACACATTTAAAGTCTGTCGGAGCATGTGGTTGCAGATTTTCAAGTGGTAATCGTGATGATAGTGTTTTAATCATAATTAAGCACACATGCATGACTGGATGAAGACCTTTAATGCTTTTTCATCACATCTGAAAACTGGGGCACAGTGGGGAGTGGAGCTGCACCAGGAGGGGGGTCCGAAACGTGTTTGCGTTACTTGTTTTTGCGGACTTCTGGCTAATAAATAACTTGCTTGCATTCTGTGTTACTTGTGCAAAGGAATTCTGTTGTCGAAGCAGATGTAAGCGACTGCTTCCTTTGGGTTTCCTGTTGTTGTGACCATGAGCTGTGCAACTATCTCTCTACAAACGTCCTTTCCGTCAACACCAGGAAAAAGGAAACACTTCGATTGTCCCGAGCTGCATTCCGACATACACCTAAACGCATGAATGGAATACCTACGCTTGGAAAAATGTTCTTGCACGGCCGCTTGATAAGCAGAGTAAACTCCTGATCACGCTGTCTGCACACGTCTGAACATCTGCTTATCGTGTAAACAAAGAGATAGCTTTATCTGATGAGGTCTATCAGCTGCGGTTTGTTTGGTTCCCACAGGAAAGAATTACTGAAGGTCTTTAGTGACTCAGGTTTTGGCCTTTGGGGCTTCACTGTGATGCGCTGCAGGGAAACCCCTTCCCACTCTTTGAGCTAGTGTTTGTCCTCCTCACTCTTCTCATTCATTGTAATGAGATTTTGCTCAGTCATCCAGAAGTGTAACAGCTCTAACAGCTTCGCTCTTACTTGAGATGAAACAAACCAGAAGCTAATCCTGTAGGCTGAAGCTCACAAACCACACGTCTACTTATAGTCAACATATACTTAAACATTAAAGAAGCATTTTCAGTCGTTTCCTTTACATGTACAGAAAAGCTGATCTGTGTAAGTGAGATCAGCTCTTTCCTCTCATGAGAGACCATTTACAGCATGTTTTGGCCAATTTGAGTTATAGCATGAAGCGGGGTTCGCATATTTTTGAGTTCATGTATCAACACGATCCCTTTAAGAGGAACATCAGTATTTTTTATGAGCTTAACTGTGCTGTACTGATGGGGAGAAATGGTCTAGTATTGGGGGAGAGCGGAGCAGCTGGCAACCATGAAACAAGCTAAAAGTTAGTTTGATCAGGCGATTGCGTATTGTCAAACTGCGCCCACCACATGCGCTTTGTTTCACCACAAACAGTGTCCGAGGTATCAACTCCAGACACTTCCAAGCTTCTAACTTCACCAATCTGACTCGTTTTATGCCATCCAACACTCTCATGTGAACCTCAGATCTCAAAAACACATTCTGAAAACCTTTTGGCTTTAAGACAAGGAAGCCAGAATCTGAAAATATGCTGCCTTATTTCCGGGTTTTTACACTCTATCAGAAGCCATCTTTGGTTCTCACATCATTTTTTGTTTCCTTGCAGCTAAATACAGAGAAGAATTCAAGCTCATCATTGACCGGATCGCCGTGGTGAAGTCCGAGAATGTGAGTGAACTTTGGAATATTTTTACCTTTTGTGGGAAAAAAGCTCTGCTCCCATTGACTCACATTGACAGAGTGAGGCCTAAGCACACTAATATGTCACTATTATGTAATGGAACTATCATGACTGAAGGAGGGTGTAGGCCAAGATGTTGACGTCACTTTTTACACAACTGTTTGAATCCACTGGTTTTCCCCAAAGATAATGCAACTGCAAATTCAAGCTATTTCTATCACTCTGTGAGCTGTAGTCATGTTAGTGTTGAAACCTTTTCTTTGCCCTTGTTTTGAAAGAAAAAGTCCTCGTATTACATTTAAAATCCCACCTAAAACTTAATTTTCTCATGTTTGTTTGAAGGATCAAGGATGCGTTTTTATGAGCTAAATAATTTCTTGGTCTGGTGCAACTATAGCATGATCCTTCCTTGAAAAAGTGCAAATTATTGCTCCAAAAAATTCACATTTATGCTCATTAACTATTGCCTTTAACATTGCACACAGCCAAACCCTCACAGTGGGATGTCTCGATAGCATATTTCCTAGTTTTTCACAGTTTCCTAGTTTTAAATTCAAACTAGCATGGAAGTTTAGCATCCACACATCTTTCACACATAAATTAACTATAACTGCATTTCTTTACACAAAATACTAGCAAACTACCAATGAGTTGCACCCATATTTCCATTTATTCTCGTCAAAAACAACTGCATACATTACTATAGTGTATTACCATATTTTTTTTTACTGTTTTTTTTTTTTTTATGGGAGACTTTAAACAAAAATTCATCAAATTGGACAAAAACATATATAAGCTGTCAATAAATGCTTTTTTAAATATAATATTTACAAAATAAATCAAAAATATTACCATTTCTGAATAGGGATGCACAGATCCGATATTTGGATCAGATATCAGCTCTGATATTGACAAATTAACTGGATCGGATATCTGATGAATGACGCTGATCCAGCTTTCCGATCCAGTCTTTTTTTTCTTTTAATTAATATCGTACACAGCAACACAGTGATTCTGTTCGCTCTATATTCTATGTCTGTCTATCCTTTTGCTCTAAATCTTTACATGGAAGTCTTACTTCTTTTTGCTGTGTGCTAATGTGTGTTAATAAATAATATTAAGTAAATTTATATCTCTGTTAATTTGTTACTTTTTTTAAACAAGGCTAATGTCAAGCCTGATGCCTTCACTCACAGGGCGAGGTATACAGTTCACTCATTCAACAGTAGTATTGGATCAGTATCGGATATCGGCTGATATGCTCAGCCCAGTTATCGGTATCTGATTAGATCGGGAAAAAAATGGATCGGTGCATCTCTATTTCTGAAAGTAAAATTTGGTCAAGATCTCCACAGTTTGTTTCTTTTGCAGCTGAGGGCTGTAACTAACATGATTTGTCATCTGGAATAAACAGATTTAAAACCGCAGAGATTTGAGATTAAACAGATCATGAGGAACAAAAAATCTGTTGTTTTCTTTAAAACAGTAAAAACTGAATCTTCTTATAATCATGTCAGGTCATTCTCCATCAAATCAGTTTAAAAAGGTTTGCTGGCTGCCTCGTATTATAGGTATTTAATCATAACCGGCGCCTAAGATGATAATTACGCCCACTTACACACACGCGTACACTCACAAACACTCTTATGAAACTAGTGCACAAGGAGGGCAAGATGACATTTTCTGTAAAAAAAACAACCTTTCATTATCAAACCCTGGCTGTATATTAATATAGACGCCACGCCTACATTTCCTCCCATTATGAGGAATGAAACCAAAATATCACCTCAGTGCTCTGACATATTTCAGAGGACTGACGTCAGATCCTTAACTAACCGATAAAATCCCTCTCCAAGATCTGTCACAGCAGAATAAATTAAGTTTAGTTGAATTATTCGTCACTTGGATGTTTTCTTAACCTCACATTAGCCTAAATTAAATCTTCCTCTTAAACCGCCTCTTAAATTAGTTGGCACAGAGCTGACACATAAAAACATGTGAGTTACGTCTGACCCACATGACTCTGGTTTCTCGCTTCTTATCAAAGAGCGCACTGTGCTGTCTGCTTGTGTCTGCCTCAGGGGGAGAAGTATCTCGTCCTAAAGAAGAAATACAGACAAATGCTGCACGACCGAGACGTCAAAAACCCCGGAACCAATGGGGACAGACACGCACGTTCGAGCCCGGCCAGAACTACCGCCGCTGTGGCGTGGGACTCCACCGATTCCTCGACTTCTCCCTCTCACCTGAAGGAACCGCAGGAGGAGCCGATGGTGTGTGGCGAGGCCGACTCGTCTGCGGAGGTAAAATGAAAAAGCAGCTTTCTCACTCGACTGTCTACCCACAACAAAAAAACATCAACTTTGTGGTTAAAGTGGCGATGATTCAGCAACAAGCTTTTGTGCTAAAATGCATCTCGCCTAAAGTGCCGTCACTCCAGCTCAGCATGTTTACTCTGTATGTGAATGAGGCGTTTATTTCTAAACAAGCCTGTCTTTGTCAGCGAGCTCGAGCTGTGCTGGCTGCACATTTACACAGAGGGAGACTGCAGATCGAAGTTAGCCTGGATGATAGAAAGAGAAGGTCAAAGGGCTTATGTCTTTACTGTAAGGTTAAAGCTGTTTAATGTACAGGAGCACTTTACTGTTGTGAAAATAAACACTCTGCTGCTGCTGCTGCTGCTGCTTTAATGCACAGTAATCCTCTTGGAGTACTTTTACATATTGTTGCTGCAGTTAACTTTGGCATTTCATCACAGATTTGGAGATTAATATGTTTTATGCAGCTCTTTAGATATCCTCAAACAGGCTCTAAAACAAACTAAACGTGTGGACGATGAGGGGAAGAAAAGAGCATCAGATCAAAAGTCTGGGGGTTTTTCTTACACGTTGCGTTTGTGATCCTGCAGGGTCGGAGAACGCCTCCTGGCATCCAAATCCACGAGCCCTCGGAGCAAAACAACGGGGACGATGAGCTGGACAAAGACTCGGGGTCAAAGGTGATGATATGGATGACTGAGAGGCAGAGCTCTGGAAATACGGCAGATGATAAATGGTTACATATCATCGAAAAAAACATGACAGATATTTCACAAGACAAGATGGATTATTATGGATTATATTAGAGCTGGTCCTTATTTTCAAGAAATCAAAAGGTTAAGAGATAGTTTAGTGTTAACTCGAGGAATTTGACGTTAAAGACAGCCTCTGAACTGTGTCTAATAAAGTCTAGAAGACCAAGTGAGGAGGGATGGGATGTAGGGATGAGATGACTGTCCAACATTTTAATACAAAATGCAATAATGAAGGTTATAAGGATCAGCTGTGATAAACCTATAAACTTTGTTTTTATAGCTCTTTTAAATCAGGATTACAAAGGGCATTTAAAAATCAAAACAACGTAAAGAAACGTGAGACTAATGAAACGGAAAAATTTAAGTTTTAATCAAAATAGTGGTGATTTGACTATAAAAAAGATGAAAAATAGATGAATAAAAAAAGAAAGATTGATTAATTTTTAATTTCAAACCTTTATTTATTCTCGAAGGGGCATTGAGGTTTCCCTCATTTCCAATACAATCGAAATTACAATTACAGAACATATAAAATTTACAAAACATTAGAATCAATGAAAACATGTACAATCTGAAATGAAATGTTTCAAAATCAAAGTCCTAAACTCTGCAAGAGAGGGAAGAGTTGCAATTTTTAAAGTTTGTTGGAGGGTATTGGAAGAGTTTCGGGCATCAAAAGAAAATTTTGTTTTTCCAAGTCGACTATAAACTCGAGGGATTCGAAAGTTTAGCAGATAGAAGGAGCGGGTTGTGTATGTGAGCGCAGGAACGCAGAAATTAGGAAGACATAAAGAAAAATAAAAAGACTTACATCCTTAAAACTTGTGACCACCATGAAAAAAGATTTAAAAAATACTAAAAATAGATTAAAATTACAAGATGCAGCTGGTGATACTGCCAAAAATTGAAAAATTAAACTGTTCCTACAGGATTAAGACAAGCTCAGCTAACATCTCCCATTAAGAGAAGAAATAGAGCATCAATAATCAATATCCTGAAAAAAACTTTGATTTGTATCTTTAAAAAATATTCAACAGTGACTACAGGTTGTCAATTATTTGGTGAATGGAGTCTGTGGTGCGATTTAAATCTGTATAACTACTTGTTTGAAGCGGAATATCAACAATATTTAAACTCCTGGAAGAAAAAAACTTTACCTCTCAGATTCATGACGTTTCATTTCAATCCTAATCAAGGTCCAGGTTAAAGATCAGATGATAAATCGGATAAAAGACACAACTATGAATGTCTCAATAACTGATGTTTTAGTTTCAGCTCAGTGTGTATACTCCTGCAGTTCCTCCTTCACCCACCAGATGGTGCTAAGATAATTACCTGGATTTGTAACCTGCGGTTTGTGTTGAATTTGAGTGGGAGGAGAACCCGACGGGGGAGCAGGGGTCCAGAATCTGCATTTAAATGAGTCCCTCTGTTATGATGTAAAGCAGCAACATGTTGGACCTCATTAGAAAGATAATAATCATCTGTGGCCATTAAAGCGATTGAGATTCAGATCTGCTGCCCTGCTTGATGGCTCACACAATAGACAGATGAAATATGTTGAAGGGTGTTAATAAAGCACTGCAATCAGATTAAGTGTGTTTGCTTTAGGTATTAGTCACACCATTGAACTCTGGATGTAGGACACACTATTGTTTTAGATGACAGAGGCTACCTGGCTGCTTGAACTCAGCGTCACTTCACCTGAGGGAAAAGATGTGATAGAACAGATTTATCCAGGGGCAAGAGTGTTTGTTCGTTATCTGTATTTTAGTGACACTTACTCTGTTGTTGGTGTTTGTGTCTGAAATAGGAAACTGAAAAACTTTAAAGCTGGTTCTTCAGAAAGGAGCTGAACTGAGATCCTCTCTCAATGATACACTTATTATTGACAAGCACTTCATGTAACCCCACTGAAAAGGAAATAAAATAAAGAGCTCTTTTAAGGCCCTCTACAGCTCAAGGACTATTCTGATAACTGAAAAATGGCCACCTGCACTCTCTCATACAGGTCTACACTCTCTCGCTCTCTACGCTCTGCCAATGAAATGCACCTGGTGCCCCCATCACAACAAGACCCAACTCCACTAACCGGACTCTTCTCCTCTGTTGCACCCCAGTGGAGGGATGGATTACCAAACTATTAGATCCTCAGAGTCCCTATCTACCCTTAAAAAAAGGCTCAGCTCTTTCAAGAACACCTGAGCACTTAAACTCAGCTCTAATCTGTATTCCTCAGAACCACTTTGGATGTAAACAGTCCCTTTCTACTTCTGAGACACTTTTTGACTCAGCTCTTGTTGTGGATATAGATGATGATGGGACGATAATCATGATACAACATGACAGCAAAAAAGAAGTGTGCAAAGCCTTAGTAATGCAGGACAGCGACACATCAGTTTGTGTCACTTAAGTTTCTTTCCATCTACTGTAGATCTTTGCTTCTCTTGTACTTACACTCAAATATATAAAATAGTGTTGGACGTTAGCAACATAGTCACATAGTGGAAAAGGGTTCATTTCAACAGCAGTGGAGAAAAAAATTTTTTTTTTCTAGTTTGAGCTTCTTAAATGTGAATATTTGCTGCTTATCTGATAACCTTGAAAGAAAACGAAGAGTCTGTTTTCTATAATAGAAAAGTTGGTATTTCCAAAAATAATTCCAAAAAGTATGATATGGAAAAGTATGGAAATTCCAACTGTTTGGGAACCCAAACTTGGAGGAGAAAGCGACAATTATGACATGATTCACATCAAACCTGTGTAATTTAACCACTAAGATGAACATGCGCCTCAGATTCTGGGTTTTAAACTGTTGGTTGGATTAAAGACGCAGTTTTAAAACAAAATTTTGGGTTTTGAAAATCTTTTTTTTTTACATTTTTACACTGAAGAAAAAATTAAGAGAGCCACACTTTTGTGAAATTTTTGTTGACAAATTGATAGATACTAAACAGCAGCTCCATCTTGGCCTTACAAACCAAATCTTCTGGTAAGCATGAAATAAATTACGTTTTTGTGAGTCTTGAGCTGCTTTTTCAAAAGTTTTAGACGTCTCCCGGTCCCGTGGAAAATGAGGATTTTGGATGTTTCACAAGCTTAGAAATGAAACAAGTTTGGCAGCTTTCAAGGAACCAAAATCACAATTCATAAATTCCTGGCCTGACACAGTTTTTCTTTGCCTGTTATTATCGTCTCCAAAAGTGGACCAGGCTGGATTAATCCAAGCTGTGCTGAGTGTTTCTGTGTGATCGGAGAACTCTAAGCGATCAAAAACTCTCCTCTTTTCTGGAGGAGTGTTTCTCTTGACCCCCTTACGCCGCTATGGTGATAAAAACAAATGGTGCGACTGTCGGCGTGTTGTTTTTGGGTTAATTGTTAATTGGATTGTTATTCATTACCCCTCAAGTGTGAAAACGTCACCTCAGTCTCGCTGACTCATTACCCCTCTATCTGTCTGCCACCCTTTGGTCACGTCTCGTCAGCTGGAAAACATCACAGCAGTGTGACCGGTGTGTGAAAGTGGATGTGTGTGTGTGAGATGCTGGAACATGCTGTGGGACCATTATGACTGATACGGTACAGTAAACATGTGTCAGTTTGATGTTTTGTCACCAATGAGTAACAGCCGTCTGTTTTTTCTGTCTTTCAGTCCGAGTCAGAGCAAGACGAGGAGAGTACGGGCAGCATGGGCTCCGCTGCTGTCGCTGTAAGTCCTTTTTTTTCTAGACTTTTTGTTTATTTAGATTTTATGACTGGAAAAGGACTTCGGTTTCGCTCAAAGAGGGGTGGCATTCAGGGTTTGGTCTTTGTAAATCCACGTCCACTCTCCCTGCGGTGTCACTGCTATCAGCTCTAATTCCCTTTAAACCATTAACAGAAGTAAAACTGTGTGCACTGTGATCATGGGTGTCTCCCACATTGTGTCAGTTAGCCGTGACTCAGTCGTTTGTAGGAAACGGATTAGAGGTTTGTAGTTTCAGCATTATCAAAAGAGGCCACAACAGGATGTGGACAGTAGGGTGTGTGTGTGTGTGTGAGTGTGAGTGCCAGTGTGTACATCTGTGTGTGTGTGTCTGAGCTCCACCTCTCTCCCCTCTGTTGCAGCTGGATCCCATAGAGAAAGAGTGGATCTACTCTGCTGCTGGTGCTCGGGTCCCTGATCTCTCTCAGCTGCTCAGTCAGGACCCGTCACTGGCAAACAAGAAGGTATAACCTCACCTCTGCTCCACTTTTAATGACTCACAGCTACTAAAATCATATATTTGTGTTTACAGTAGGGCTGGGTGAAATGACCTCAAATCAATATCACGATATATTGAGCAGTTTACCGCAATAACGATAAATGGACCGTCCTCCATCTCCTCACCTGTCTTTCCCTCTTTGTTACAGACTGGATGGGGCGGAGTCACGTCTCTGACGTAGGACAGCGTCTTAAAGGGACACGAGACCATAGACTACCTACACACATCCAAAACCAACCTTTATTTATTTATTTATTTTACACCGAATATACTGATATGGGCAAAATGACGTCTGTTATTTTTGGTTTATCGCCCAGCCCTACTTAACAGCCACATATCTGTAACAGGGATGCTTTATGAGAAAATTAAAGCTCCTATAAGTAACTTTTAGTAGTCATTCATTCTAAATGTCTAAGACTATAACTAAATCTAATAGTTGATGGTGTTTAGGGCTGGGCAATAAACCGGAAATTTATTGATACCGAATGCAGAAGGAGATTTTTTTTGTGTACTTGAGTACTAAAAGTTACTTATAGGAGCTTTAATTTTCTCTTAAAGCATCCCTGTTACAAATGTTTGGCTGTAAACTAGGGCTGGGCGATAAACTGAAAATTTACCGACAAGAAAATTTACAACAATAACCAACGTCATTTTGCCCATGTCGGTATATTTGGTGTCTAAAAAATAAACGTTGGTTTTGGATGTGTGTACGTAGGCTATGGTCTCATGTCCCTTTAAGACGCTGTCCTACATCAGAGACGTGACTCCACCCCATCCAGTCTGTAACAAAGAGGGAAAGACAGGTAAGGAGATGGAGGACGGTTCAAAAGTTCAAAAGTTCAAAAGTCAAAAGCGGCTGAAGTAGACGAAGTTAATGCAGCTTGTGGAGTAGTTATCATCCATTTATCGTTATCGAGCTGAACTGATCAATGTATTGTGATATTGATTTGAAACCGTATCGCCCAGCCCTAATGCTGTTTAAAGTTTTAAACTTTCAGATATAGTAACAGTGTCTGTTGACGGAGGTGAAACCGCACCCCTCTTTTCATCCATTTACACGCCATTGTCATGCAACAGTACAACACGGCATGGACATGTAAAAATGCAGTTTGCTCACGGTTGTTTCTTTATTTGTCGCCAGTCTTAAAAAGCTTAATCTGTACGCAAACAGGGGCCCCTCTAACAGACTTTGAAGTCCCTCGTTTGGTTCTGAGGTTTAGCCTCTTTCTGGCCCTGTTGGATGTTGCAGCTGCGATATTGCTCTTTTTCCAGATCCCAGCAACCCTTTCGATAAGCGCGAGAATGTCGAATCTTCATCCTTCAGTTTAAGACTTTTGTAAAGTGAACGAATTTCACAGACGAAAAGGTTTTTGTTTATAAAACTGTGATTTCTCTAATTCGTATTTTTCTTTTTTGTGTTTCTTTTTGGCGTCAAACCAGGACTTCACATCGGTGAGTATTTACTGACTGTTAATTCCATGTTTGTGAATATTGACTCGTGTAAAGCTGACTTTTATTGGTCTTACATGGCTTTTATCCGACTTAAGCTCTCTCATTTTCTCATTTTGACCTACTGTGGCTCCTGACTGTGACCATGACCGACGATCTCAGGGGGTAAGTTTCAGTATTCATACTTCTGTCTCCAGCTTGTGCGTAATAACACCTGTTGGAGCAGAAGTTCACGCGCTTTTTTGCATCAAAACTGACGATGTTTCAGCTCTGGAGACAAAACCTCCTGTGTTTTGCTTGTGTAACTTTCACAAGCTCATTCTGCCGAGATTTTCCCCTTAATCGTATTCTGAGAACTCCGTGTTGAAACATCCAGATCGTGCATTTCAAAGGTCCACTATCAAAAGGATTATGAAAGATAGCTTTTTAGCTCCTGTGCCCCCCTGACAACCCAAATCCTTTTATTTGTCTCCCTGTGCGCTTAAGAGATTTGAGCTCATGTTTGTTGTCCCTCCCCTGTGTCACAGTTCTCACACTGTCCTGTGGTCATGGCGGACCACCTTCTAAGAGTGGCCCTAAGCCTCTGCCATCCCCACCCGGACAAGATAGCACGGCCGCCATTGAAGTGCAGGGAGATGGTGGGGGGAGATTAAGGAGAGTCTTAATGCCCCACAAAGACTTCACCCACTTAAAGATAATCTGAAAGTAATAGAGCAGGCTGGGATTAATTGTAGAACAATGCAGGTTGTGTCCCTGGGAAGGTGCTAAGTCCCCCTCAGGCCTCTTTGATGTTCCCTTCAGCCCTCAGCCTTTCCCTGTCCAGCAGAGGTGGATGCCTTTACACAGATAACGTACAGAGATACAGCAAAAGTCACGAGATCCATGATAACTAATGAGTCTATAAATCCAGGAGTTATGATATTTGATTTGCATTATCATGTCTAGACATGGCTAGGCTCACTGGGCTCCAAATCACATGTTTGACCAGGACTGAAGAGATTACTCTTCATCCTGGGAGGACTAAGTGTTTCCTGCTCTGACCAAACGTTTGTCTGGATCAGGTGGTTTGGAAGATCTGTACTTCACACTAACGTTCAAACATAAAGTATACACAAGTATACTTGACTGAAACTGCATTTAGCAGAAGTTGGATTAATGTGTACACCTCAAACGAGCCAAAACTGGGCATGCTCCAAAATTTGTATTGTGATAATATCGCATCATGGCCCAAGTATCGTGATAATATCGTATCGTGGCCCAAGTATCGTGACCCAAGTATCGTGATAATATCATATCGTGGCATTATTATCATTACAATATTGTATTATGGCCCAAGTATCGTGATAATATCGTATCATGGCCCAAGTATCGTGACCCAAGTATCGTGACCCAAGTATCGTGATAATATTGTATCGTGGCCTAAGTATCGTGATAATATCTTATTGTGGCCCAAGTATAATGATAATATCGTATTGTGGCCCAAGTATCGTGGCCCAAGTATCGTGATAATATCATATTGTGGCATTATTATCATTACAATATTGTATTATGGCCCAAGTATCGTGATAATATTGTATCATGGCCCAAGTATCGTGACCCAAGTATCGTGATAATATTGTATCGTGGCCTAAGTATCGTGATAATATCTTATTGTGGCCCAAGTATCATGATAGTATCGTATCACGGCCCAAGTATCATGACCCAAGTATCGTGACCCAAGTATCGTGATAATATTGTATTGTGGCCCAAGTATTGAGGTAATATTGTATTGTGGCCCAGGTATCGTGATAATATTATATCATGGCCAAGTATTTGTGATAATATTGTATCGTGGTGCAGCTGGTGATTCCCACTCCTAGCTGACATGTAAGTAAAGTTAAAGCCCAGGCCTCAGCATAGCTAAAATCTTAGCCATTGCTGTAGCTTTAGCTGTAATCTCAGCAGTGATAACCTGAGCAGTAACAAGCACAACCTCAGCCCTACAAACCGTAAAGCATAGTCTTTGCAGTGCCTGATATGTACCCCACCAGGATTGCTGTAACTCAAATATCCCAAGTGTAAATGTATATAACATTACAGTCCATATGTGTATGCTGCAGACTCTAAATAGCTTCCTAAGTGACATTAAAAATCTGTCTTAATTTTCACATGTCTAACTGTAAACTGTCTTCTTCTGCTCCTCTCTGGACGTGGTCCTGTGCCCCTGCTGTGACGGACTTCCTCCTCCACACAGTTTGTAAGTACATCATTAGCCCATCACTCCTCTCTGTCTTCCTCCACAGCTAGTGTCACCATTGTGTGTCCTGTCCGTGTGAGCCCTCTTTAGCCACCGCTTCCCTCACCGGGGAGCGCGTGGCGGGGACAGAGATGTCCCTGAGTGATTGGACAGGTGAGGGTGATGAGAAGGGATGGGGGGGTTCACCGCGGTAGGCAGGAACAGAAACGCAGGAAGGGAAGACGCCGCATCCTGTTCAGCCTCGTCCATCACCACGACTCAACAGGGAGACCCACCGAGCCGCCTGTCAAACTACCGCTTAGCCAATCTGTCTTCAGATGTGACAGCGGGCGGACAAAAGAGACAGGGATTCTCCAGCCAGACAGCATCTATCACAATCTGTCTGCCAGACGCTCCACACAGAAAGGTGTAGCTCCGTATCACCTCTCCTTTTTCCCTTTAGAGCAGAAACGTTTCTCCTGCCAGCTGCTGGACTGGTTAGTTATGCTACGATTAGCTCAATTAGCTTCACAGCCTCAAAACACAAAACGCTCATGTCGTGTTTAAGTCTCTCATTGGCTTTAAAGATGTTTCCAGACTTCTGAAGGACCTGAGAATTTGTTGTTTAAACCTTTTTTGTGCATCAAACAAAAAGTACAAATAAATTTTGTGCTGCGCTGGATCACATCAGCTGGACGTCATTTTAAGATGACTGCTTTTGTTTGGATAAAGATGAAAAAATAAGAAAAAAAGAGATGCAGCTCGGCTTAACTGGTACCCAACTTTACATGCGCCAAGGTGTCATTTCTGTTATGCATGTTAAGAAATGTCTTTTAGCATTAAAGCAACAATTGTAACGTAAATACGGCGCAAAATGAACGCATTGATTTTTTTAATCACAGCTTTTTTTATTCTTTTGGCAAACCTTAGGGTGACCATATTCTGACTTCCCAAAAAGAGGACACGACTACTCGGGGCGGAGTCATGGAGTCGCACGGAGTTAATTTTGAGAGTTTTTTGGGTCGGATCAAGTGTTTTTACGCGCTTCTAACTCATTAAATCCACCTGACACAAAATTGAAAACTTTCGTGCAAAACCGCAGACATTTGAAGGATTTTATAAACTCCCCCGGACAAAGCCAAACAGCCCCCAAAAAAGAGGACATGTCTGGGTTAAAGAGGACATATGGTCACCCTACCTTAGTTACAATCCCACCGCCGCTTTGATGCAAAGAAATGACACCATGGCATTTTTGAATATCTCATTTCACTACTTAAAAGTACCTAAACACAGGATAAGTCTCAGGTCATTTGCATTTTGTGTCAAACAGAATTAAGATATCATTATAGTGCTTAACGTTTGATTTACCACCTTTGAGCGAAGCCTTTAGATGCAGGTAAACAGACCGATGTTAGGGTGCAAACACATCACAAAGGCTGGCAGAGCACGACCTCGGTGTTGTCATTTGAGTATCAAACAAAAGCGTCTTTCATTTCATCCAAACAGCTGCACCGCGTCTTTCTTAAAGGAGTCAATTTTAACCGTCTTGAGTGTTTCAGCCGTTCACCGTTAATTCTGAAATGGTCACCGTTTGATTCTCCGTGTTAAGGGTCAAACTCTGAAGGCATGCAGGTGGCTGTTTGGCCAACATCTGCACCTCCGTACTCTGCTTTCACCTGTTGATGGCCCATAATTACACAGCTTAAAGCGTGCGGGGAAACTGTGGAGATCACAGCTCTGCTCCGACAGGTGGATGTGGTTTGCAGTTTTCCTTGTACATACATGTGTCTATTATTTTCACTCCTGTGGGTGTATCTCTCACAGTCATGTCCCGGGGCCCTGTGTTTCCCTCCCCTGACGTGTGCTGACAGTAGTGGGTGATGTCTGGGTGGGTCTCCACTCTGCAGGTCACACTAACATCATCAATCTTCCCCCTGGTGACAGGCGGCCAGGCCCCCCGACTGTGGGCACAGGGCTGTGTTGTTTTGTAATTAGGCTCTGTTAGATGGCAGGAAACCATCCCTCCATACCTCTCTCTCACAGTCCCTCTATTCCTGCGCTCCCCTCTGTGCACAGTTGGCTCTCTGCCCTCACACGGCCAAACAGAAAGCTGTCTTGTACCGCACAGACTCCTGTAATGATGCTACAGTTGTTGCAACAAGACAAAGTAGTTTGCAACACACAATAAAAAAGACTGACTGTCTCTCTTCTCTCTTGTTGCACACAGACGGCTCTGCACTGGGCTGCTAAACACGGCAGTGAGGACATGGCCACTCTGGTGGCTAACGCCGGCGCTGACGTCAACATCAAATCAGTGAGTGCATTTTTATGAATGATTTAAAGGGGCACTCCGTAGTTTTTCACAAACATTTTGAGATTTTTTTTTTTTTTTAATACAACCTATATCTCACCTAGCCCCCCCCCCCCCAACTTAAAGGGATATTCAAGCGTAAAATTAATTTAAGGTCAAACACACTGTAATACCGAGTTAGACCCCCCCTCCAGAGATGAATGTTGCCGACCGCTTGCTTCTCTAGTTATACCAACTTTAGTAACGACCGCACGATAGCAATACACAGCAGTCTGAGGAGTCATAATCAAACCTCAACCAAAATGCCACTCTATAGCCACAAATAATGCTCAGAACAGCACCTAACTTCATCAACAGGACATATAGGGTCACAGACATAGTACTAGACACCAAACATCTTTTTAACTTTGACTAATTTCTTTAGCAAAGAGACTAAACACAACTCACCTACTCTCTTCCAGCAGCTGCTTGTTTGTAGTGAGACCTCAGGCCAGTCCATTATGGACTACAGCGGGGTGACGCAGCTCAAGGAAGAACATTTATGATCATTACTTCATGGAAATGCAATCAGATCATTGTGCACCGCCTCTGCAGTGCAAAATGATTAATATGCTGATTTTTACTCCAAGGAAATGATAAAGAAATGATCAGAAATGTTCTTCCTTGAGCTGCGTCACCCCGCTGTAGTCCATAATGGACTGGCCTGAGGTCTTGCTACAAACAAGCAGCTACTTACTAAAGTTGGTATAACTAGAGAAGTAAGCAGTCGACAACATTCATCTCTCGAGGAGGTGTCTAACTCGGTGTTATGGTGTGTTTGACCCTAAATTAATTTTACGCTGGAATATCCCTTTAATTTAGCCCTGCTGAGATGACTAGTGTACTTTTCTCAAGGGGTATAAACCGTTTTACATACTGTACGGACTATTGAACTTTAAATAAGTAAAAAAGAAGTAATATAAGCTGAACTTTGAGGTTAAAATTGGTGGAATGCCCCTTTAATCTCACTGTGTAGTACTGTTGATGCGTTTTTAGCACATTTAATGACTTCTCTGTGCTTTTCTTTCCTCCAGCATGTGAGTATCCAGTTTTTTCCCACCTCCAAGGAGGCGATGCGTACCCACAGTAAGTCTTTGATTTCACTGCGGCGTCTCTCGGTGATGTAATGATCCTAAATGATCGGCGTGAACATCCAGCTGTGAAAATGTATTACAGCAGCACGTGTTGCCGGAGTGCTCCGCTAATAAATCATGTCATGTCATGTTAATTGTTTCCCAAAACAGAGGGTCTATGTCTCAACACGCATGACCCAACAACAGAGCAATTTTCAGGGAATTACGAAGCAATTATGTTTTTATCATTATCTTATGTTTCCATAACCTTTGCTAATTTGTATATTTTCTTCTCATGCTGTTTTCATTGGCGGCGTTCGGGCCTGGGAACCTGCAGGGGGTACGTACTAAAGCACTTTTCCAGTTATACCCCTGAGATCAATGGTTTCCTTTAACCTTCCTGTGACAGTGATGAGGGTCTGCTCGCAAATTATAAACATTTCAAAGTTAAATTTCCAGTTTTTTGTTCGTCTTCATATATTTTTTTGTTTGTCTTCTTCTTTTCTCTGCAGGGATACACACCTTTACACATCGCAGCATTACACGGCCATCAGCATATTCTTGACCTGCTCATAGGAACATACGGTAAAAACTGATTTCACTAAATTAGAGCAGCTTTGCTTAAAGCTCCTGTGAGGAGCGTTTTGACATTTATCAAAAAAAGCTTGAATCCATATAGGAAAGCAAACAAGACCATCAGCAACAAGACTGACAAATTTTATATTTTAGTTTCTAATGCAGAGCAGCTGAAGAACTCTTTGCATGTAGAGGACAACGTAAGCAGAGACTGCTGTGTCCACAGGGGGCGCCAAAACCAACACAAACCAAACGATCCTCGCAGGAGCTTTAAAGTCAAAAGTGTTTTACCTTTTAAAGCTACTTGGAGGAACATTTTGTTTGTGTTGATTTTGGCGCCCCCTACTGATAAGCTTTCCTTGAACAGTCAAATGCAACATTAACGGTGCATCTTTGCTCTTTTAGAAGTGCGCAGTAGATCACTTAGACATGATTTGTTTTGTTGCCGACAGTTTAATTTGTTTTTATACTTTAAATAAAAGCATCAGTAGTAACTTTAGTCTTTTTTATAACCTGCGAAAAACTTCTTACAGGAGCTTTAAATACATGTAAACCCCCTGGGTGGGATCTTATTCAAAAGAAAAGCCTCTTCTACATTACTGTAAATTTTATAAAAACATGATTTTACAGAATTGGTTTATTAAATCAGTTCAGAGTCGAACATGTTTGTTAAGTTTGACAGTGAAGTAATTTACTTGCAGCCTCCTCTTAATTTTAGTCTCATATTCAGAGATGTCATTTTATCCCAACAGGTGCCAAAGAAAACTTGAGGGACTACAGCGGCCATCTCGCCGGCCATTATCTGAAAATTAAAGAACCAGAGGCGCCGGAGGAAGACTGTGAAATACGTGAGTATCTTGTAAAATAGGTCAAAAATGAATGACATCACCCTGTAGCTGGTTGTGTCTTTCTTATCCACATGCATAAGGATAATTTATGAATGGAAATGAGAATGAAGCAAAAAGGATTTGTGACAGAAGTATCACTTAAAATAGGCTTTCTCTTATAACTACAGGTCTACATGATTAGTTAAAATATTGATCTCTGTGCACTCAGGAGAAAACAACCTTCCTGTTTTGGTTTTGCAATCAAGACGAAAACCTAGTATAAGTTGTAATCGTGAATTGTGTTTAATTACCAAGTTTTTCCTTCTTTCTTTTTCTGCTCCAGAGTTCCACGTCACTCAGGCCAGAGAGCGCAACAGGAACAGGAAGCTGGCGTCGTTGTTTCACTCGAAGAAGAAATGGGGTTCGGCGGAGGATCTCGCTCCGATAGAGGAGGAGAGGACGGCTTCGCATCAGCTCGTCCTTCCTGCGTTCAGACCCAGAAAATTCTCCCGCTGAGAAAAAAACAGAGACGGAGTGAAATCCAATCAATCACATATCTATTTACACACACACAACGTAAACCCACATGTGTACGGACCTGTATATACTGTATATTATGTAAACACAATCACACACACGTACTGAACAAAGAAGCTTAAACTTTAAATGGAAGTTGCAGCAGATGAAGCTTAGCCAGTGTGTGTATTATAAACCGTAAAAATTACCACTTAAGTATTCCTAAAAGCCTTTTAAATGTTCAAATCGTTGCTGACTGCTACTTTACGGTTTTCACCAAGCTCAGGCCACGTGGATTATTTAAGCTTTGCCGATGTAACAGTGAGCTACGAAGTGTTAGAAAGATGTCAGTTTAGTTTTGGTTTTAGTAAAAACACCAAAAGTACCTCCTGAAGGACTGCAGCTTTAAAAACAGCTCACTAATTTTCATTTTTTCTTCTAAGCAGCTGGACACCAAGATTTACTCAGCAGGGGTAGATTGTTAGTTTGATTCGGGTCTGTTTAAGCTATAAGTCTGATATTTAGGATGGATTGAGTCCAAATAGCTTCAGTGCTTATCAGCTGTGATGGGATGTTGTCACAGAGATGCTCTTGGTTCTCCTGAATAAATATGAAACTCTCAGGCACAGAGGAGGAAACTGTATCAGGATTTTTATGCACCAACAACAATTTATTGTTTTGTTTCTGCCTTAAGGGGATTTTTGATTAAAGAAAAACTGTTAATCTCAAGGCTAAATCCTCTAAACGCTGAAAATTCATTTGTATCAACAACCAAGAGCATGTCAGTATCACAAGTCGGACTGAATTCTTGCACTCCTGAAAGTTTCAGCCATGCCTTTAAATTTTTAAAAATCTCTCGTTCCCACATGTCCCTCTAAAAATCCATTTCCAGCTGTTTTTTTGAGTAAAAATTTTATGGAGACATTAAAGGCTAATTCTAAGTTAGCATAGACAAAATGATTTTCATATTCAAGTGATACTGGCATTAGTTCATTTTTATTTCAAGCGAAAAGTTTAACCAGGATGTACAATTGACTGAGAGGCAAAATTGCATTCACACATGTCCTTCTAAAAATCTATTTTCAGCTTCTTTTTTTTTTCAAGAGTCAAAATCCAGGCAAATTTTGCAAAATTTATGGAGACATTAAAGGCTCATTCTAAGTAAGCTGAGAAAAAAATATTTTCAAATTCAAGTGATACAGAAATTTTGCATCAGTTCACTTTTATTTCAAGTGAAAAGTTTTACTAGGATGTAAAATTAACTGAGAGGCAAAATTAAACCGCTTGCATTCACACATGTACAAGTCTGGGACATTTTCAGGAGTGCAAATACAGCTGCAGAATCACTTCACAGAACCACTTTTGTTCAATTATTTTAAAGTTACGATTTCACCATCTGCAGAAATAATTCCCATGTAGAAGAGCCCTGAAATCTATGTTTCATTTCCTAATGATGCGCAACATTTGACCGGATTTTACCACACCATCTTTAACTATCTTTAACATTTCAGTCATCTGCAAACTCTTGAGTCAAACTGATCAAACTTTCATCTGTGTGCTTTATAAAACTTTTTCAACAGGAAATTGCACTATGACATTTAAAATCTTCAGTTATCTTAAAGGTTTTCTTCGACGTGATTTTCGTTTGTTTCCTTGTTTGATATTTGAAAGTATTCGTTCATAATCCTGTGTCGATATTTTGAAGTTAATTTAATCTGCCTCTGTTACATATTTGCACAATATTTATATGATGAAGATATTTTGGTATTAAACTGTATTTTATATCAAACTGCACATCTGTGTTTTATTTAAGTCAGTCAGCGTGTCTACTCCACTTGCACCATCCAAACTCCAGTCTTGGCTGCTCACTCAGTGAAAATGCTTTTTTTCTTTAAATACAATAACCCCGCTTTCTTAAGCCGCCTTTGATCTCACTTTAACTACCTGACTTTGTGGGCCACAGATGGAGTAAATATGGGCCCTGCTAACTCTCCATACGGCTTTAGACCTTAATTCCTGATTAGCTGAAAAGGGCAGCACTTGCTTTTGGGTCTTGGATATCAGACGACACAGAGGGGAACAGAGGCAAGTGTTTTTGTGCTTCATTTTTGAAGCGAGGATGTTGGGGGGATAAGAGGGAGTTTCTGTAATAGATACTTATCTTACTGCCCTCAAGCCCCTCAAACAAAGTCCCCCTCTGAAGAGATTATAACCCAGGGAGGGCACATTAACTCTAATCCCATGCTTTGAGGCCTTGCACCCCCATACCACCCTCTGCCCCACTTATTCCGACCCTTCTGTTGTTGGGGGGCTACCTTGTATCTGGTGCATGTATGAGCAGAGCCTGTGGCTACACACCAGGGCTGTGTGTGTGTGTGTGTGTTTGTGTGCGAGTCGGGGGGTGGAGTGACTGGTTCAATAGCACGCTGACTCTAATGAAAAGCATTGAGGGGTGCATACTGCTGTGTAACTGATTCCTCTCTCTGAAGAGATTAGGCGCTACATTGTTGGTTCAGTTGCTCATTTCCATGAGAGCACAGCCTCCCACCAGCGGCCGCTCGCCTTTGTTATTTTGAGTTGGAAAACACAGAGCCCAATGTCCCCGGCTTCCTTGTTACCATTGTTTCACAAATAGGCCAAAATGTAGATGTCACGTCACAGATGCCCAATAACCTCATTAGCTGCTCGCTGTGAGGCTAAGGACGGAAAATAACACTTTCATCGACTACAGTCAGGATTGAAACACGCAGTATATCATGTTCATCTGTACAGTAACATCCTTCACCTAAAGACACTGCATTTACAGCCGTAAAACATCAAGAGAACATCGTTAAACAGCCGAACGAAGAAGGAAAATTCAAGTTTTATAGTCAGATTATTCTGAATAGAATTAAATCATAACTGAATATTAAATCCAGACATAAAAAATTTCAGATTCAAGGATAAACAACATCTTTGGACTTTAAAGCTACTGTTGGGAACTTGGTTTTGGCATCCCATGTGAGAAAACAAGTACAGTGCTCAGCATAAATGAGTACACCCCTTCAGAGTTGTCAGAGAACCTTTAGTTTCCCTTCAAATTCAACATTTTCTATGTCAGAAAATACAACAAAATACTCCCCCAAATGTAGGCCATTGTTTGCAACCAAAATTTTTTTAAGTTGCATACAAAAAAAGTACTTTTTTTAATCTAAAATCAGCTAAATTTTAGTTACCATATCACCCTTATTTCCATCTTGTGATAAATAAAATGTTTATTTAAACTCGGCTTTGTTAAAACTTTGGAAATTGCACTTTTGCTCGTCTAGATATTAAGTCATAGATCAATTTTAATAGGGGGTGTACTGACTTAAGCTGGGTACTGTACGTGTAAAAACTTTACATGATAAATGAAGATTAAATAACCAAAAAAGATCTCATCCTGTTTTACTTAAACAGTCAAATCTATCACTCAGTTACCTGCTCTGACACCTTCCCTCCTTCACTGAAGTTTAAGACACTGAAAACTACAATAATATAACAGTGATCAGTCTTGTCACTAACGGTGACGTTTGCTTTCGTAGGTCATAAAATGGTAATCGGTATCAGTTTCAATCTGTTTCACAACGCAGTTAAAAAAAACTCCTCACAGGAGCTTTAAACACCTTAGATTTGTTCACACGTGTGCTCTACAGATGTAGTTTTAAAGTCAGAAATATTTTCACATTTCCCACTTTTCACAGACTTTGGTATATCTCACATGTGAGCAAAGACTTCATTGTTATTTCTTAACTCCTGATAAGTTATATTTCTTATAGTTGTTTAGTTGCAGAGACTAACTCAGTAGAAACACATTAAGGGAGAGTTTTAGATACTGGTATTGATACCTGCAGGTGAAGATGACGGCAGGTATTTAGAGAACAGATAAAACTCTTATTAAAGTCCTCGAAAGAGCAGAAAGGGGGATAAAGAGATAAGAAATGACAGAGGACAATAAATGATGCCTTAACAGCAGAAATCTGTCAGAATTTATCATGTTTTTATATATATAACATAATTTTTAAAGCTAGCTGACACTACATAGAACTAAAGATACAGTAGAAACACCTTTTAAGTCACATGTTTAAACTCACTTTTATAGACTTGATTTAACATGATACTTTTACATGATCCATGATTTATTTATTTGTTTTATTGCCTGCATACCTCTTGTTGAACCTTGTCAGTCATTATTATTATTATTATTATTATTATTATTATATTTTCTAATTATTATTTTGTTACTATATTTTTATTTTTATTATTTATTATTTTTGTTACTATATTTTATTAATCATTATTATTATTATTGTTATTGTTGTTGTTGTTGTTGTTATCATTTTTGGTATTGTTTTTCACATTAGTCCTGTATAACATTTTCTCATGTTTTAATATCCTCCCTCCCTTTTCATTATTACTCGTATTTTACCTTATGATTTTATTATCGATGTATTTATTTCTCTTCCTCTTTCTTCTGTCCTCTATCCACCTTTTTCCATCCTGATGTGATGCTGTCAACCTCCAACCTACTGTCCATTTTTGTCTGTTTATGCCTTAGTTTTCTTCTTCTGTTAAAGCACTTTGTAAACATCTGTTTTTAAAGGTGATATATAAATAAAGTTATCATTATTGTTGTTACAATTATTTTATATCTTCACAAATAATCAACTGATCCATTAAACTGACAAACTTGACAAAGTTTCCTCTGAAGAATTTAAAGACTTTTCTTCCTTTTGTCTTTCCATACCAGCTGATATTAGTTATAGATGTAAAATATAACCCTAAAGAAACTTCCAGAAATTGTTGATTAATATTTTGTCATTTTATGTCTTATAGTGCTGTTAGTTTGATTCTCTTTATCATCTCAAATTCAGGTACTTAAGAGTCTCTGTTTTCGTCACATTTCTGTTCGCTTAACACCCTCACCCAAAAGTTGAAAATGACATCTGGCTTTGTCCCAAACCCCACATGATTTGTAAAATTAAGGTACAGCAGGCTACGATCTGCACCAACGAGCTCACCGGGGAGCTGTTCAGACCGGGCTAACCGGACCAGGACCCTCCAGCTGAGGGGTCCTGTGGGGCCGCAGCACCCCGACACAGGGAGGCACCAACACCAGCACCAGCTGTCACACCAGCACATCACGGCCCTACCAGCGCCGCCTGTCACTCACTCAGCAGAGGGCCGTCAATCAGCCTGCACCCAGGAGGGAGCGGGGAGGCGGGCCCCTGCCCGGCCCTAAACAAAGACATACTTACATTTGCAAGCGGTTTGAGCGCCACGACTATTTAGAAAGAATGATAGAGTGGTCCTGATAAGAGTAATGACAAAGGACAAAGAGTGGGAGGAGGTCTGGGAGAGGGGGTCAGATAGTAAAGAGGTGGGAGAGCTTGATAACATTCACACCCTGCTTACATCTCTCCATTTGTGTTGCTGCCCCAGGAAAATCTCATTAGGGAGGAAAATTGGAGTTCTGGTTGGAAACCACGATGTGTTTGTGGTCAATTGACTCTTTGTGATCGGCGTCGTTGAAATTCTGCTCCTTAAAATCAAACTGGGGGAGGAAATTCTGGTGTAAACAAGAAACAGCGCTCTACAAAAAAAGCAAAAACTTAACAAATAAAACAAGAACGACTGACGACAAAAGATCAAATTCTGCAGATGAAAATTCTACCTTTAAACGTGTCCTCGCTTTTCTCTTATTTCACATCATGCACTCCAAACCAATCTACCTTCTAACTCCCCTCTCTCTCTTTCTTGTGGGTTTAAGTCTTTGTCAACTTTCTCTCCTCTCAGTTTTCTCTCCTCTGCAGCTCCAGTAAAAATAAACTAACAAGCAGGAGGCGTTGAAGACTGTGGATTCTCTGCAGGCTTTTGTTGTCCCGTTCACACCTACCTATGAGCTATTCTAATTGCATGTTTAGTCCCTTTGTTCGCTCGCAGGTAGGGGATTGCCTGTAATTGAGGTCACACCTTAACCTTTTGTCTTGACCTGCTCATTAAGCTCCGTTCACTGTCATTCTTGCAGTTTTAGCCCCAGAACCAGGCCCTTGTTTCACCCGGCTGTCTGTGCACTATGTGGAATATGCGGAGGATTTGCAGATAAAGAAAGCCTGTTTTGTTTCAGCGCAGAGGAATGACTATCAGGGGTTATCAGAGATAAAGATAATTTCATCCTCTTTGCTATCTTGTTCTATATCAGGACAATCCTCTTCCATTTGGTCACTTCTCTCTCCTGTAAACGAGCGACATCCTAACGGCAAACAGCTCGAACCCGACCTGTCAGAGCAGGACCAACACCTGCATTGTGAGCGAGCCGCAGCGAGAGGAAGAGAATGAAAAGGAGATCTGTGTGAGGGACAAAGGCCGCAGCCCTGAGCTGTTTGTGTTGTGAGATGTAGACACTGATGCTCTAAGCCGCCTTCTCTTTGCTCTCCGCTCCGACCATTGTTGCTCCTCTTCAAATTTGCTTTAGGTTCTGTGGACCCCACCCTGACGAATTCTTTCTCCCCTCCACCTTCAACACTTTCTGAAACCCTACATTTCTCTTTTTCCCCACACAACACTACCTTAAATATACAAAAAGAATAACTGTTTATAACATCACAACGCCAGAAGTGTGAAAAATCTTCACTTTCAACTTCCTCAGAGCTCTAGATCTCAGTCTTTTGTGAGCATTTAACCAAAAGGATCACTATCAAACCGACTGATAGTGATCCGAATCATTCAGAGGAGATCATTCCCTCTCTGTTTTTATGTGCCCATTGACTTTTAGTCAGTTTCTGTTCGGTCCTTTCAGAGGCTGAAGTGGTTTTGTTGCAGGAAAGAAGAGAAATCTGCATATGAAAGGAAAACATACTGCTCTGTTACTGCAGTGGAAGAAGAAGTGCTGAGATCCTTCACTCGAATTTAAGAGTCTGTATCGACGTGGAGAAGAAATCAAATACGACTGAAAGGACTTTATTTTAAACTTAAGCAAGATAAAAGTATTTAAGCAGCATTTTAAAACTTGTTAAAGTAGATTAAGAGGTTTTGTCAAAATCAGATATAAGGTTTTTTGGAGATATTTAAAGTGTATAATAGGTTAAAAAGATTTAAGTACTTTCAAAAGCCAATATTCTTCCAAATTAATATACTTTGTTGGTTTTTTTATTCGTTAAGGAAGCACAGGTGATAACTAAATAAACTGCAATAAGACAAAGCTCTCAGATAGTTAAAAAATGATAGTATGGGAACCTTGAAACTAAACTGTATCAACTTCTCTTATTTTTCATGGCTGCGCAATTCATATTTATCAAAAAATCAAAATACTCATGAATTTTTAAACTCATTTTACATCATTCCTGTAATAAAACAATAAAACTCTGAAGTCTTATCCAAGAGTCCTGGATCCTAAAGAGACGAGATTTGTGAAACTGGGGTTTATATTGTTCAAATTTTTATTTAATTAAATTTTCTATGTTTTGGACAAGAAACCTTGAATTTTTTCATGTCATATTGTTTTCCAAAGTTTCACTACACTTTAAAAATTTTTAGACTTGTTAAAAAAGTTAGAAATTCATTCATAGGTTATTAGTTTGGCTGCATAATTCATATTTGTTACTTAAATATTTTTAAAAAAAAGGGGAAAAAATCCAAATACTCATGAATTTTTTAACTCACTTCACATTATTCCTGTAATAAAAATCAAATCAACTAAATTCAATCAAAGTCAGATTTTGCACTCGCATATTTTGGATTATACCCACAATAAAATCATGATACCTACTTAATGTAGAGTGTTTTTAAATACTTGAATTAATTCTATTTTCCTATAAATCAAAAACCCACTCTAAAGTCATCATTTAATGAAACTGGGGTTAATATTGTTCGACTTTTTCCAACTTATTTAACAAGTCTCACATTTTTTTAAGTGTAGCAAAACAATATGACATGAAAAAGTCAAAGTTTCTGATCCAAAACCTAGAAAATCAAATTAAATCAATCCATTCACAGAATATTCTCTTAGATTAGTTTGATTTGTCTTCACTTCACTGATTATGTGGACACTTTTTTAATGTGTGGTCTGGATGTTTTACATAAATATTGCAAAATTTGGATTTACAAAGATTACAGCTCATGTGCATATTAGAAAATATGGATCCTTTAATCTGAGACAATCAGATATTTTACCATCTTTAAAGCCAAGTGAACTAAATCTAAAGCATGTTGAGAAACAAGTACTCATTTTTTAAAAATCACAAATCTTACAAACTGTAGATTGTTGTGATAAAAATATGAGGTTAAAAAAAAGAGACCAAACTAAAGTATAAATCAGGAATACTAAAGATTAAATGTCTCCCTGCCAACAGTCTGTAAAGGTGTATCCACTCCTCACTCTGTTAATATAATAATGAAAATGATGTGAGATAAGAAGGGAGGTGTGTGCTTCTCCTTTGAACTCAAACCCTGAGCTTAACTCTCTTTCTGAAGGAGGGGGGTCAGAGGAATAAGAAGTGTAATCTTCTCCTCTTATCTATAACACCCCCCCTCCACACACACATGAACTCACACACATTAGCATCTGTTATCTCACAATTATCATATACATTAGTCAACACCTGTTTCGCTTAACCTCGTTTAATTAGGGCCATTGAAACGCCGCGCTTCACCCATAACAAAACCATCCGACATGTAAGAGGACAGTTTGTTGTGGTTCGAGCAATGAATTAACAAATAAAAAGAAGAAATGTGGCTCCGAGGCTGTTCAGCTTGACAGATACGGGCTGAATACTTTATTTAATTCCTAAATTCCTCAAAGAAAACAAACAGTGGAGCTGATTTCCAAAGGAGGAAATCTATCCGTGACTTTTACGCGTGCGTAAAATGTACCTTTTTTTGTTTATTAGCGTGATTCACGCAACAGAGACGGTTAATTTGATTTAAAAGAGCTACAGATGTGAGTGTGATGGAGTGTCAGGAGCGGCAGGAATGACTGGCAGGATGTCGTTAACTGAATTCAGCTCGTTTTCTAAGATCTCCGCCGAATAGTGCCAGACAGGAGAGTGTTAATTCCCCGATCAAAATGACTTCAAAGCAGAGTAATCCTTCAGACAAAAACGATAAAAAGTGTTAAAAACTGAACAATGGTGATCACCAAACATGTGTTAAATCTTTTTAGGTGCTTGGCGGTGATGTTTTGTGTGAATAAAGACGATTAAACATGATTTTATCTCTACTTCTGGATGCTGAAACTGTTCATGCGCCTAAAATAAAGTGATAAAACTGTTTTAAACTTTTTCCTGAAGAGAAAAAGGTTTAATTTTACTCTCCTTCGTTCACCTTTATCCGTGTCTCCAGAAGAAAAAAGCCACATTTGCATTGAAACTTCAGCTCTCTGCAGATATCTCTGTGTTGCGATAAGCAGCCCACACTGAGCCTCTCCACCAAAACGCTAAAAGGAACAGCGGAGGGCTCCTTTGATGGGATTTAATGCCAGTGAAAGCTGGAGGTCTTTTGAACGTAGCTGTCAGTCAATACCACAGGGACCTCCCCCCTCTCCCCCTCTCTCCCCCCCCTGCACACACGCTGGCAGTAGGGTGTGTATAAATAGATCCCGGAGGTTGGATTGTCACTCAAACCCGAATAGCTGGGACGCAGGAAAGATGCCCGCTTCACAAACTGGATTTGGAAACTTCTTCCTGGAGAGGAACATCAGTATGCCGGCTGGATATCAGATCCCGGTGCTGAGCTGCCCGCCGGGGGTGCAGCAGCAACAGCAGCTGGCGGCGATGGCAGCTGGAGTTCCTTTTACTTACTCAGGACTACAAGGATACAACTTTATACCTTATCCACAGCACAGGCACATCGCACACATGGTGAGTGGAGAACTGAATCGTGCGTTTTGGAACCGTTTTTAACCAACGATTGGCATAAAATCTGATCTGAAATGGTCAAAATTTTCCCAGGAGCATAATCATCTCATTGCAATTTCACATAACGAGCTTCATCTGTGATTTTCCTGTCTCTAACTGCATCAACCTTTGATTTGTGCGCTCTGCAACCGTCTCCAAACCCGTGCGTAAAATTTCCATCTCTTAACCTGCTTTATCTTTATTTTCCAGAACAACGGCTTCGACTTGAAGGCCGCCTCCTCCTATCATCACGCGCTCCTAGCTCGTGGAGGAGCTTTCTACCCACCATACCGCCCAGGAGCAGCAGAGGACCCCGGCAGGGTCGCCAAGGTGGCCACCCGGGAGAGCACCGGTGCGCTTAAGGCCTGGCTAAACGAACATCTGAAGAACCCTTACCCGACCAAAGGGGAGAAAATCATGCTCGCTATCATCACCAAAATGAGCCTGACGCAGGTCTCCACCTGGTTCGCCAACGCGCGCAGACGCCTGAAGAAGGAGAACCGGGTCAGCTGGGCGTCCAAGGGGAAATCAGACGAAGAGGAGGAGGACGAGGAGGAGCAGGAGGAGGAGAGTGAGGGAGAAGATGAGGTTAGCTCGCTGCAGAAATGTCCCCTGGATGAGCGGGACGAGGATGAGGCTCACGGTGAGACGCACGAGCAGGTGGAGAGCGAAGCAGCACCTGTGGAGGCGCGTTTGGAGATGCCTCAGCAGCCGAACAGCGAGGACAGAGAAGTTGCACTTGTTCATGCCAAGAAAGTTGACAACTCTGATCACACGCCTTCCGCTTTGGAAAGTAAAGAAAACAACGTGAGTCAGAAACCTAAGATCTGGTCTTTGGCAGAGACCGCCACCTCAGACACTGTGAAGAAACCCGTGGACAGTATTTACCACCCGGCCGGAAAACTGTGGGCAGAGTGGGCCTCAAGAAACGGCCTGTTTGTTCCTTCGTGTTACACCGCTCAAGAAACCGTCTAAAAGGGCGTTTTTGGACTGAAAATAAGAGACTCTCCCCACATCTTTTTGCACTTTAAACCTTCAAACCTCAGGGATTTGTACTTCCTGGAGTTTGCTGTGAAAACGCTTTGGGACCAAAGACTGAACCTGATATTGTAAATAAATGTAGACGTATTTTTTCACCGCCAACATGTAAATTATGTTTCCTTTGTCTAATTGTGGAAAAATATTTTTGCTTAAATAAAGTTAAGCTTTGAATGAAGTTCTTTGGTGTTTCATGGTCTATGAGTTTGGAAAATAATAGCTCAGAAAGTAAAAGCAACTAAAAGGAATCATTAAAATTACGCATAAAATCAGTCTTTTAGTTTGGGCTAAATTTGCATATCAACCCCAACTTTAAAAGTCTTGCAAAAGTGCTTTCTTTTAAGTTTAAAAAAAGACTTAAAATAGATGACTTTAGTGTGTTTTTAATCTAAAAACTTAACACAATGACAACTATGACCTTCCCTAAACCATCAGCATCATCAGGCCCACAGATCTGTCAATGTGTGGGCAACACTTCACAGTTTCTAGGTTATTCTCCACTATCAAACGCACAGGTTTCCATGTAAATTCAAAGGGCTGTACCTCCATTAATCCGGGATAATGAGAGGACCCCTCCGGCCAGTCTTCAGGCATCACCTTTTCATTCAAATCCCTACAAACAGGAACACACAGAAGGGAGATTAGCTCTTATCTGAGCCCCTTTTCTCACAGTGAACAGATGAATACAAAAGATAACGTTTCAAGACGACAATATTTAAGATCAAACCAAGTCTTTTTTTATTTTATTTTGACCTTTACAATATTGCAAAATGACACCTTTCCAAATCTCCCTGTAGGCTGTACTACCAATTATCCAAGTATATCAAACTATTCGATGGCATGAGGGTCTAAAAATCTTCAATGAAGCTCTGGCGCCCCCTTGAGGAAAAGCAGGAGAACTTTGAGTCTGTTTTATTCAACTATCAAGAGTTTTTAGGTCAAAGACAACTAACTTTGATGCTATTGGATTCAAAGCGATGTCATATGTCAACACAAAAAAGACAATATTCAAGCTTTTGGATTTTATTTGACTTACCATGTCTGGGGATGTTACATATCCGTCGGTAGAGTAACTGAAAAGTCAATGCCCCTCATGTCTTCCAAACTCGCCTTAAAATGAGTACATTTTGAACTTTTCTTAAGTTTTGAAGGAATTCAGTGAGTGTTTTCTGATAAGTGATCATTTTAATGAGACAATAATGCGTTCTGGCTAATTCGGCTTAGTATTCACGTCGCCATTTCCTAATTGTGAACAAATGCTGACCAGTCAAACTCAGCTGTTTCACACGAGGTCATAGCCTTCTACTTCATATCTGCCAGTAGATTCACTGAAAAGTCAATACTCTTCGTGTCCTCCAAACTCGCCTTTAAAATTAGCATATTTAAAACTTTTCTTAAATTTCGAAGGAATTCAGTAAGAGTTTCCTCATAAGCGATGATTATAATTTAACAATAATGCTTTGTGGCTAATTCGGCGTAATATTCATGTCGCCATTTCCTTAATTTAAACAAATTCAGACCAGTTAAACTCAGCTGTTTCACTCCAGGTGATACTACTTGATATCCTTTAGGTCGGAGATTGAAAAGTCAATGCTCCTCGTGTGATCCAAACTCGCTTTAAAAATTAGCGTATTTTAAACTTTTCTTAGGTTTAGAAGGATCTCAGTGAGTGTTTCCTAATAAGTGATCATTTTAATTAAAAATATAATACTTGGTGGCTAATTCGGCGTAATATTCACGTCGCCATTTCTTAAATGTAAACAAATGCAGACCAGTCAAACTCAGCTGTAGTATTCCTTCAGGCTGATACACCTTTCTGTTTAGATACCCCATAGCATTACGGGTATTTTAAACTTTTCGGAAGTTTTCAAGGAATTCCGTGGGAGTTTCCTAGTAAGGGGTGATTTTAATTAAACAAAAGTGCTTTGTAGCTAATTCGGCTAATTCAAGGTGATACTACTTCCTGTTCAGGTACCCCAAAGCATCACGGGAAGTAGTGTTTTAATTAGGAGGAACTAAGTTCGTCATTTTACAGAAACACCAGCTAAAAAAAGGAAGTCCAAGGGTTCCACTTATTTTAATGACAACTTCAAAAAGCTTCACATGCTGTTTCTGAGCAAAGTTCTTCTAACATCAAACATTTTAACGTGTCGAAATAAGGAATGTTTGGAGCCCAGTATTGTTTAAAAAAAATCACATCAAAACACAATTTTGGCACAATTACAAAAAGAATAAAAACTTTAAAATGCTAACAATGTAAAAACCATGAAGTTTGCTCATAGTGTTGTACCACACATGCACAAATATATTTACAAAACATATTAACACTCAAGGCAACTAGAAACTCAACCTTTCAAACAAAAGCAGAAGTTTTCTGGTCATTATTCACAACTGAGAGGGAGATGAGAGCAGTCTTCGGTTTATAAATTAGTGCTTTGTGATTCCTCTTGAGAAAGTTGTTCTTCTTTCGACAGGTCCTGCTGCACAGGCTGTCCGTTCACGGTGTAACCCACCTCCTCATTCTCCTCAGGTATACTCTCATGTTGTTCCTGTATCATTGGCCTCTCCTCATGTGGGTTGTCTAACACTGGGACATTTTCCTTTTTATCTACCAAGCATGACTCGAGACAATCCTACAAGAGAAAAATAGAAACATGATGCAAAATTATATGAGAACATTCTTCAGAAGAAGAGTTTCAAATTAGGTACGCCTATTCAGTCAAGTATCCACGCTCCCTCAGTGTCTAATCCAATCCACTTTATTTATAGAGCCCATTTTAACAAACAATGATGTTTACTTAAGTGCTGCACGGTAAGGTAAAAAGCAGAAATCTGTCAGGGAGGAGTTTTCTGATCAAACTCAGGGACTCAGCCGTGTGGTGTACCCTTAAGTTCAATTCATGAACCTATATTACTGCACAGCTACTCCTTTAGAAGACAGTCAGATGGTAATTGAGCCACTTCTGAAAGCTCCTCTGAGGAACTTTCAGGCAATAAAGTTTACTTTCTCCAAGAGGGAGAATAAGGTAAATGTACATTTACAGTCTGATTAAGACTTTTAGAAAAGAAAATCAGGTTAAAAGGTTTAGATAGCAGGAATTATAACCCAGCAGACTTAACGCCCTGATGAGGATGTTTTAATTTATGCTAATTTTGGTGACCCCTGTATTTAAGACAACAGATCTCTTGGCTAATCTTGTTCTGTACTTGTGAGAGTAGTGTTTGTTGAATAAAATATACATCCTACCTTCTTTTTAACTCTTGCACATAATGTCTGAAATCTACCCTGTGGTTTCAGACACTGAAAAAACTATGTCAAAATAAACAATCTTGCCTCTGATCCTCTAATTTGATTTGGTAGATCATAAAACACAAATATCTTTTTCAGCCCATTTCAAAATAACAAAAAAACTTAACGGGAGATTTAAAATACAAAAGGGAATATAGCAGGAGGGCTACTATTAGCAGAGGTAAGTCAAATGTGTTCAAGAGAGAAAACACTTGTATTCACCTTGAACGTTCCTTTCGCATTTCTCCGTCTGATGCAAACTAAAATGAAAAATCCAGAGAAAATTTGGGCGTTAGGTGGATTTATAAAACAACTGCTTAATAAATTGAATGTAACAGAGAGAATTCAGACCTCAGCCTACCTTTGTAACCCAAAACCAATGCAAACAAAATAAGAGCAATCACTCCAAGAGCCACAAGGACATAGATATGTGTCCGGGAGTTTTGCTCTGCAGGGAAAGAGAAGGAGATGAAACCATCAGCCACATATTGATCCTTTAAGTGTTCACAATAAACTAGCTATACAGTCCTAAACGACAGGAAATGTATTAGCTGTGTGTGATCTGAAAGTGAAACTACAATCTGCCACACGTTTACATCTTATAGAGGAAATGAAAAGAAGAAGGTGTAGGAGAGACCGTTTTCAGAGGTTTACGCTCATTCTTCAGCTACGACAGAAATCCTTATTTTGAAGTGTATCTATGTACACATGTACTGTAAACAATGTGTCAGTGAAAGGTGTAAGACCCACAACAGAAACCACAGACCAACACTGGTCCATGAGACATCACCTCTTTCCCTCCTGTCTCAGCTTACTCAGTTTCATTATGAAAACACTCGACCACAGAGGACGGGTGAGCGGCAAGTGAAGAACTTTACAAACTTCCTGCCGACACACAACAACTCACCGCAGATGTTGTCAGACGAAGCGGTTCCAGTTTCTTTAATGTGGTAGTCATTCCCACACCTGCAGAACAAGAACATTCAAAACGTGAGGAAGAGATAATCTCTCAGAGTGAGGCTGCGATCTAAAGAACTAAATCTGAACTTTTCATTCGGAGTTCAACAGAAAGAAGCAGTTTAATGATGTTTGATGAAATTATTGAATGAAAGAAGCAGAATGATGATTTTTACAAATTCATGACAGGCAGAAAGAAGAGTGTCAACACTTCTTAAAATCATCCTTTTAGGTACAAAAACTTTACAGGTTTTCACACAACTTTTCAAAGACAAAACTTCTTTATGGTTTCAAAAACAACCACAACATGCTGAGCTTAAATCTGCCATTTTTGGTTTGATGCTTTTGAGATAAGCAACAACAAAAGCGTTTTGTTCTTGCCACAACATTTTTCTCCTCTCCTTTAAAAGTATTACGATTATCATAAAAGGTAAAGAAAAATATACAACTGCAGTGAACTTAAAGGTCATACTATTAGCCAGATTTTGAGAATTAGCCGATCCAAGATCTTGAGAAGAAATGCCTCTTTCACGTCCTTCTATAACATCTATGTAAACGGCCTATTTGCACAGACAGTTGAATAGTATAAATCAGCATTGTGAAGTTTAAGTCTTATACATGACCTCCCTAACATGCTGCTGTTTTAGTGTTTTTATCGTTTACTTACTCTGTCCATTTCTTGCATTCGCTGTCCCATGAGCTCACATCCGAAAATGTGCCATCAGTGCAGACCTCACACTCTGTGTCCCGTGAATGATTGCCTGAAAAGTAACCGAAAGAGATTCAATATCTTGTAAAGACACTAATCTAATCAATCATAACAATGAGAACGACGATAAAAGCTGTTATTGTATCAATATTAAACAGTCGTACCTTTGATTTTAGCTCCTTTTCCTTGTGGACAGATGGTGTGCGGCACACAGATTATGCATTGCTCACTGGAGCAGTGAAACCCGTGTTTACACTCACAGATGGTTGCTTTCTTCTTGCTCACATGGATGGCCTGGTTAAAGTTTTTGTCTGGGAGCAGAAGAAGAAGAAGAAGAGACCAAATTACTAAAGTCTAAATGTAAATAAAGGATTAGTTTTGTGTGATTCGTCACAAGGTCTTACTCGGGTCACAGTACGGCTGACGCTGACACTTGGGTTCAGTTGTGTATTTGTCCTGATATTCTCTTTCCCCGCAGTCTTCACAGCGAGGTTCATCACAAGTACCGCTGGACAACATCCGCGTCCCTGAAAGACACACAGAGTATCGCTTTGAGTTACAAAAATGACTATCATGGTACACCAGTACAAGTAATAAAAGAGGACCTGTAGCTTTAAGGAAAAGTCAGACACTTTAGGTATGATGCAGAAAAGCGAGTGAGACCATTAATGAAGAGATTGAATATTTTAGATACACTAAAGAAACAGCCTTTAACACTGATACCACAGCAAATGCTAATCGGACTAAGCTCATAATTGTTTTTTTTCCCCAAATCAGACTTCTCTCCTTGTCCTCATTTACATGCAGCTGAGAAAAATCAAATTATTGACGTGAACGTGTCCTCCTCCCCAAAACTAGGGGGTGATACGGGTCTTTTCAGCGGCGCTGTTTCCAACCCCATACAACCGTCAACAACAACAGCAGATCCGTGTCAGACGTCAGAAGTGTCTACAACTGCTGCTGGGCGTTTAAGAGCAAGAAGATGGAGCATCGTACAGCGTTGTTTTTGTCCTACATTATGTACGTACTACTTTTTCTGCAGATGAGACGAACGCTACTCCTCTTCTCTGGTGTTTTTTGGTCCGTGGTTACAGGGGCGTGGCGCACGCACACATGCATTGTCCGATCATACTCCGACTACGCTGGTTACGTGGTAGAGAAAATGGAATTCCAGTCGCATTATCTGGGTGTCTTAATCAGAGTTCTCAAACTCTGATTATAGTCGGACTAAGGTGTTTACATGCACTTCAGTTGTCCGGTCTTAATCGAAATAAGGCAATAATTTAGTTTTCTCGAGTGTCATGTGAACGTACTGACAATATAAGGGTTACCACTTTGTCCACAGGGGGCGCCACAATCATCACACACAGAAAGTTCCCTACAGGAGCTTTAATATCGTTATTAGACCGCATTATTCTACACATCATAACAGATTTTTTCACAGTGGACAGTGGCTGTTTCAGATCAAATATGCTGTTACTGGGGATAGGAAAAACAAATTCCCATTTGGAAAGACTTTAATTACACCAATTAATCAGCCAATCACAGCCAATAATAATATGATAAGTACTTTTTTGATGATTGATAACCTACAGCCAAACTTATTAGCTCATATTTATATTTAACAGACAGATCCGGGACTAGAGTTGATCTATAATTGATGTTTTTGAAGATAAGATGTCCTAGATGTCCTTCACTGGTCAGTAGGCGAAAGGAAAGTGAAACCAGCATGAGGGGAAAGGGGGAGATAAGTGAAAGTGTAAGTAAAGTCTTGATTGAATATTAACTGTGTTAACTCTAAATGTGTGGCTAAGAAGTTACACAGCTAATATCCATCCATCCATTTTCACTCATTCATTAACAGTCCAGCCTGTGTTGGTCTTATCATACCTGGAGGACACATCTTACAACAGGCTCCATTCTTCTCATACTGTGTCTCCGGATCACACTGGGGCTGAGCAGAGACCACCACCTACAGAAACAGACAGGGTTTGATCAGGTCTGGTCTCTTAAAAGGACTCGTGATAACGTGGTTAAAACTGTTGGACCGTTTTTTCACACCAGACTCAGAGGGGCGTTTACGGAAAGTCCCTGAGATTCACAGAGAGACAAACTCTGAAACTGCCAGGTGCATCTGACTGTTTGTTTCACTTAGATTTAACCAATTATTGAGCATTAATTTATCAATTATCGAAATATAAGCGTATATGCACTGAATGAAACCATGTAGGTACAAAGGAAACGAAAGTGAAAGTAACTTTAATGATTCGTCATTGGGTGTACCACGCAGTTATATACTCAATTTCGATAAAATAGCGGATATTTAAGTGCTTTTGAGTAAAATATGAATAGATAACAGTGTGAAAACCTTCAACTTTAAGATACAGGAACAAAACATGGTGCAACAGTCTGACAGCAGCGTGTCAACTATCGGCGTAATAAGTCGAAAATAACAATAATTATTTTAATAAGTAAATGGATAGTTTACTCACAATAAAAGCGAAAACCAGCAAAAGATGCATCTTCATGTATTGTTTTATAAGTCCAAGCGTTCAGTCTCTCCGTGTCTCCTCACACACTCACAGTTTGTTGTCTCTGAGCTTCGTCTCTTCTTTTACTGCTCACACAGAGGGAGGAGTTAAGAGGGGATTTCAGTGTGTTTTTCTCACCTGACCCTTTTCCTGTAAAGAACTTCCTGAACATGTCTGTGAACTATCTGTAACATGTCCTGAAGTAAGGTCAGGCTTTTTGGAAGTACTTTGAGATTTCACTTGAGTTCATATTAGAGTTGCAATAACAAAAACAGATGCAGAAGTAAAGTTCTAGTGCGTGATTGCTCCAAGTGTTACGGTAATAAAGATTAGAGAGACCAATTAGCATAGAAATAAAGTGACATTTAAAAGAAGTATAGATATTTTCATCTAGATTAGACAGATATTCAAATTCAAGTGCACACAATGTGAGAATTTAAGATATATTGTTAAAGAGACCTGGCCTGACACTGAAACACTGGAGATAAAAACAAAAGTGGTAAAAAGAAAGAGTGAAACCTGATGAACTAAAACAAGAAAATTATCTTAAATGAACAGATAAGTCAGAGCTCTTTACTGTGTAAAAAAGGGGTCAAAGAAGAAGAATTAAGAAAAAGTCTAAGAACAGAGATAATTAATAAAAATAAGAGAATTATAAAAAGGCAATTAGTGAAAAGCCTGGTTAAAAAGGTGAGTCTTAAAACACCAGTCTATGCAGCAAATATTATAAGAACTGGTACCAAAGAGAACTCAAATTATTAAAATAAAAGTATCACTTGTGGGAAAAAAAGTCCCTATAAGCAGCGTGACAACATATTCTGGTGGCATTGTGGTCTGCTTGTTGTATTGTAGCTGCATGAAGTCAGTTGAGGTGAAGCCAGAGGAAAGATTTAGACTTTTTTGACCGGGGTGGATCAACTGAGAATATGCACGAGTGGCACAAAGGGGGCTAGAACTATGTTTACACACCAAAATACAAAACAACCAAACAAACAAAAACGTGTATTAAAAAGGTGCAGTAAGTGTTCACTAGATGTAAAACCAAAAAATCTAGAGCTCCCCCTATTGGCTGGCTGCAGATAAACAACTCAAGAACCTGTTTGGATGTGGACTATACTGACCTGAATCATCTCAAAGCCTGAACTCTGTAAAGGCAAAAGCCAATCACAACTTGGGATATTTAGTCAGTGCCAAGGTGGCCGATCTGATATTAAAGGGATATTCTGGTGTAAAACTAATTTAGGGTCAAACACACCGTAACACCGAGTTAGACACCCCCTCAAGAGATGAATGTTGCCGACCGCTTGATTCTCTAGTTATACCAACTTTAGTAACAACCGCAGGATAGAAATACACAGCAGTCTGAGGAGCCATAAACAAACCTCAACCAAAACGCCACTCTATAGCCACAAATAATGCTCAGAACAGCACCTAACTTCATCAACAGGACATATAGGGTCACAGCCATAGCTCTAGACACCAAACATCTTATAAAAAAATCCCCAAAACAAATCAACACAAACAGCACGTAGAGAGCAGGTTTTCTCCTACCAGAAAAATAATAAAGAAAATAACTCAGAATTTGTTGGGCTCTTGGGGAATTTTATCAAACTGTCGAGATGTTTTCATTGTTCTTGAGTGCACCTGTTCTGTTGTAGTAGTGGTGCATTAAAAAACCCAGACACAGGGATTCCCCATCACGTGTTCATGGAGGGATTTCCCCACTGTGTTGTTGTTACTCATACCCCTCAGTTATGTAACAGTAAACCTTTATATGTGCACTTTAATAGGAACACTATTAACAGATGACTGACACGCAATATAACAAGCAGTGTGCAGTTTCATTGGTTGAATACTTCAAATTTCGTTGCTTCTGTATTCGTGTGATTACGGTACGCTGCCAAGAAGCGTGAACTAATGATTTTTTCTTGTTTTTCTGTGGTAGTCCAGGGGATTCCAGCTGAGGATGTCCTCTCTTACTCTGACATGTATAAAAAAGACATTTTACTTTAAGTTAAAATATAAAATCACTTCTTATTTTGGCAAAATACCTCAGACATGGACATGATTAACCTCCTTTTCATGATCATCTGGATTTCCAAACTTGAATAAACAATATTTTTTAAAAGCTTAGACAAAATTCCAGTGTTTTTTAATATAGTTTATATATTTAGTATTATTGTGTGTCTTTGGACCAGATTATTATATGGCACGGACAATAATTCCTCTAGCAGAGAGCTGGTGTTGTGTTCTACTTTTATCTCCATTCGTACGAGCTGTTGTTTTTTTTTTCTTAGCGCCCCTCCTGGTTAAGATAAGGTCAGCTGCAGATTCAGAGCATTGTCTGCGTGCTTAGACATGTAATCAGACTAGAAATGTTTTGCAGGGACAGAGTTCCTGTGTTTCTGTGGGTGTGGCCTGCCTTACCTGTTCACAGGAGAAGTGTAACCTGAGCTGGAGAGGGCGGCTCCAGAAAGTTTGTGTGACACAAATCACAGAGAGTTTCTCCTGCCCGTGGAAAGAAGCCCATTTGTGATTAGAAAGGAAAAACAATCTCAGTTTTCTTTTATGTTTTTACCATAAAAAGGGTTCAGTGCATTTTGGTGTTTGCATGACTTTTGGTGTGAAGTCAAACAGACATGCTGAGTTTAGGATCCAAGAAGAGGGACACTCTGCCCAAGGCGGATAAACATAATGACGGCTTACCACAGGTAAGAGTTTATCTTCGTAAACAAGAGGGCAAGTAAGAGTCAAGCTGAGAAGGTGAAAAATCAGAGCTTGTGTCTCTGTCTGCTGACTGAATCAGCCCCCTCACTTTCATTAACGTCATGATTATGTGTAGTAAGAGGAGACCACTGTTTGATTCTGTGCGCCGCTGTCTTTCATGCTTGTCTAACTTCCTCAATTCAGCCTCACTTCCCTGCTGTAGTTTCCCACAAGGGACACCTACTTACTCATAAGTGTGACAGACGATGACTGATTTATTTCGGGGGACAGTTTTCCTGTAATCGTAAGAATAAAACGGATAGAGGTGCCGATTTTTTATTCACTGCTTCCTCTTTTGGATTCTAGCGAACTGAGGCTGATTAATCCTGTGTCACTTATCAACAATCACACACATCTGAAAGTACAGTCAAGCGGATCCTCATATTTCTCTCTTTTCCTGTGAGGCATGAATGCTAAAGAGACAAGAGAAGAGCATCCGTCAAATAATAAATAATTTTTCTGGGGTTTATCGAGCCACAAATCTTCACAAAGCGGTCTATTTATCAACAGTTTGCAGCATCTAGCAAGAGTAGCAAGAAAAATCTTCTGTTTTTGGCAGATCATTTCAGCAGAATCAGACTTATTGGGGAAAGAGTCTCAAAAATCTCATCTTAAGACTTTTAACGATTAAATTATTGTGAGTCTTTTAAGTGGAAGTGGTAAAAATCAAGCTGTTTCTTTAGCTGCTCACCTGAAACCTACCCCCTAAATCTAGTTTGAGACATTAACAATAGAGATATAAAAGCTGTTAATCTTGTGGGTAATGGTCTGGTTTGCTTTTTGATATCATAACAAGGTTTCAACATGAGCTTCAGTCGACTTCATGAACATTAGAATAAAAATAAGAAACATCAGAGCACAAATTATTGGAGGTTATCACCAATGCACAGTCAGTTTGTATTTACCATGATGTTGTTTTTTCAGTTGACCAATGAGATGCAGCTGAGCATCATGAACAAGGTGAAGAGCGGAGAGCTGTCCATCGATGACGCTCTGAACCAGGCCAGAGAGGGCAGGAAGGAGCTGCTCAGGCGGAGGAGTACCTGCATAGAAGAGGTATTTGTGCGTTTAACATTGAGCTTTATCTGCTTTTCATGAGCTGCAATCACAACGTTTTAAAGATGGTTAACGTAATGTTGCCCTCCGAATCACTACGACACAAAACAACTACATAAAACAACTTGTGTAGAGGAATGATACAAAATCTGACACTTCATGGAGCTGCAGAATCAGATTTATGTCCTCTCAGTTCAGTTCAATTAAAACAATTTCTCATCCCACTGACTTTTGACAGCCACATATCTCATTTATTGTGAGTACTGTGGAGGAAATTGTAAAAATAGGGCTGTTTCAGGTGATTTCAGGCATCAAAAATCACAAGGTAAAAATCACCAAGCATGTCGCTGACAGGCTTGTTTCCTTTTGGACATCAGTATGAATTTCCGACCATTTTATTGATTAAAAAAAACTACTTACTGGAGCTTTAAAGGTTAAAACAAACTAGACACAGAGTAAACATTCATGTTATGGCAGCTTTGGACAAATAATGTTTTTCCTGCCCTACCAGTACATCTGCTGTTTTCTTGTTTACCTAAAGTTGAGTACAAGACTCCAAAACATCTCCTGATATCCCAAGTTTTAATCTTAAGCACACATCAAGATCATATGAATTTAAAACACGATGATACTAAGTAAGTAAGTAAATTGGCCCAGCTTCGTGTTTCCTCTGTCCTTAAACAACTGCGATGTTTCATCAGTCTGACATTTTCCGTTCAACGACCTTGAAAAACTCTGAAGTTGTCTCAGACCTTCATGCCTCGTAAACTTTAAGCTCGTCAACCTACTTCCTTTCACTTCCTCTTAAACTCTGTCGTTTTGAGAAGCTGCTCAGCCTGATGGATCGGTTTGAAGATAAATCTGTCTGACCTGTTCAATCACCCGACAAAATCATCACACAGAAATGTTCGACGGGTTTTGTGAAGCCTTAACGGGGAAATAAATCAGAGGACAAAAGAGACTTTGAAATTCCTGAGAGGTGTTTCCCCGTCAGGTATTCATGTCTGACATTTTGGGTTTTTTTTGTTTGCCTATTGTTTCAGGATCAAGAATCCGCCCAGTACAACTTCAGTGTGTACAAACATGGCCGCTACAGGTGGCAGAAGCGCGTTCTTCAGGTGAGTTCACAAAGGTTAGGTGTCTATAAACCAGATCTGAGGTGAAGCTGACAGATTTACAACAATGCTCACGTGACGCTAAAGAGGCTGTGAGGAACTTTTAGTTTGGGTTGATTCTGGCGCCCCCTCTGGACAAAGCTATCAATGCTGAATATTTTGAACTGAGGTTATAAGTTTGTGTATTACCCACCCTTTTAATGAGCTGGGAGAACCGGCATGGAAGCTAGGCTTCAGCTTTCTGCAGACAGAGACAAGCCTGTCATGTAGTTTGGTGAAACAGTAGTAGATGATGCAGACTGCAGCCTCATGTCAACAACTGGTACATTTTCACTCCTAAAGATCTAGTTTTAATCTTGTTAACAAGTCTCACACCAGGTAACTTCCTGCTCTCCTGTTCGTGTAAAAGTTTCTCCAACTTTTCCTTTTTTCGTCCGTTGAGTCGTCTTCTTCCCCTGCAGATTTTGGTTCATAAAAGCGCCCAAATGCATGTCGTCGATTGGTCATATTTTCGACTCCTTAACACCTTCCCACTGAGCATTTTTTGGTCTAAGAGAGGTCTAATAGACGTCTAAATGTAGCCTAGACGACTGGTCTAAAATCAGGCTATCAAAGGTCTAAAAATGAAAGTTTTTTAGACGTCTAAATTTAGACCAAGTTTCAACTAAATCTAAATCTGGCTAAATCTATACTACACTGTATATTGCTCAATAGCTATCATAATTATTTTGGTTAAGAAATAATAGTTAAATAATAGTTGAAATAAATAGTTATTGAATAATAGGTTAAAGTGCAACGTCTAAATTCCATCTAAAAATATACAGAATTTCTAGACGGTTGAAATTCGGTCTTTAAATAAAACTAGACATCTAATAGTCGTCTATTTCTCAGTGGGTTCAGACTAAACAGCTGATCGTCTGACTGCAAAATCATCATTGAATCCATTTTTATGATCGCACAGCTCGATTTCAACACCAAGATGCTGTGCAGTATCGAGAAAGGCATCATCAAGCGGCAACTCCTCTTCTCCAAAGTGAAGAGCTGTGACGATGGAGCGGGTACGAGGTTCACCATCTCCTTCAAAGGTCATCATGACTATGAACTGGAGGCCAACTCCATGGAGGACAAACACAAGGTGAATTCACAGCGTTGGGGTCTGGACTTTTATTTTTACTTTCACAAGACTGTCCTGAACTTTAGATTATTAATGATTCTGTTTCAGATAATGGGGCTGGTGAATCGGATCATTTACGGGAACATTTACCAAGATCCAGAGACGGGCGGTACAGAGAAGAACCAGCAGCCTCAAGCGTCGCAGAACATCCGGGAGGGCGTGTTGTTGCTGCACAGAGGCGGCCTGGCGTCCTTCAGATGGGTGAAGTAAGGACGCGTCTGTTACCGGACATTAAAGGGGGGCGGCTGTGGCTCAGAGGTAGACCTGGTTGCCTCCTAATTGAAAGGTTGGGGGATTGATTCCAGATGTCCTCGGTGCATGAGTGGATCAGTTCGTACTGTTAAGTGGTTTGCATAAAAGGGATATCACATGTGTCACCAAAACTGCATTTTATCCCATTCATATCATCGTCTCTTTTCTCACGGCTGATCTGAAGCTGTGCGGTATGCGGCGCAGAGGGATGTCAGATGTCAAGGCGAAGTGTAAGCTAACGCCGGAACAGGTTTTGAAATGCAGGTCGTCTCTGAGAGGCTGAAGTAAATTTTACTCTTGACCCAAGTAACCTCTGCAGCGGCGCATCGTGAGCTTCAGTGGAGAAACTCTGACTGAATTTTCCTAAAAAGATAAACTGAACTTTCTGTTTTAGCTTTTTCCCACCATGGAAACTGGGCGATCCTAGCTCTCCTTTCTTTTCTTCTCCTTTTTTTTCAAAGGTATGAGGCCAAACTCCACCCAGGTCAGCTCACTCTGGTCCCCTTAAAGCGTCGAGCCCCCGCTGAGGGCGAGGTGTCATCATGGACGCCACCAGCTACCGTGATCCACCTGTCAGACGGAGACACGAGTGTGAAGAAACCTCCTAGTTCTGACACCTTCACTCTGATCACACACAAAAACGAGTACCAGTGAGTGATCCACGTCATTTGTCATGTTATTGTGCAGTCATAAACGCAGATCTTATCTCGGCAATGAGGAAGTGAAATTTAACGGGTTTATTGCAGGTTCAAGGTTCCTGTTCCAGATCAAACATCCGCCCCCGGTACAGTCCAGAGAGAGCGAGACGCCTGGGTCCAGGCTATCGACAATCTGTGCAAAGACTGGAAGAGGAGGTCCTTGGGTGAAAGCATGTTTGTGGAGACAAATGTCATCAGAAACATCAGCATCACTGAAGACCCAGAAGACACAGAGACAGAGCTGGAGTCGAGCAGCGGGAGCACCGGTTTCACTCATCCTCCAGATGAGAATAAAAATGCAGATCCTCCGTCAAGCCCTGCGGATCATTTATCAGCGTGGGACACGAGTCAAAGCCATCCCCCCTCAGCCGATTATACAAAGCCGGTTCCTAAACCGCGCGGCCCACTGAAGACTCCGGCTCAAGTCCCCGAGCCTGGAAATTCACCTCCTGTGACTCTGCCGACCCCTCCTGGTGTCGCCGCCTTATCTCCACCCGCCTCCCCTCAACCTCCGCCCTCTCCGCTCGCCCCCACATCTCCTGCCGCTGTCCCAGAGACCCCAGAACCGAGCAAACCAGTTATAAAAATTCCTCGACCTCCTTTCATCCCTGCGCCTCCTCCCCTACCCTTCCATTTCAAACTAGATCCAAGGAAACCCCGTACCAAGGCCTTCCACTGGGACCTGATTGGCTCAGAGAAGGTAATGATGTCACATATCAAGGATGATGTCACTTTCCTCTTCATGTGGTTCAGGTTTTTACCTGTATTTGTGGACGCTCAAACAACAGTTTGGAGCCCATACAGTGATTTCCACTACAGAGTCATGTCTGTTTAAAGGGATATTCTGGAATAAAATTAATTTTGGATCAAACACACTGTAACACAGAGTTAGATACCCCCTTGAGAGATGAATGTTGTCGACCGCTTGCTTCTCTAGTTATACCAACTTTAGTAACAACCGCAGGATAGTAACACACAGCGGTCTGAGGAGCCATAAACAAACCTCAACCAAAACGCCACTCTATAGCCACAAATAATGCTCAGAACAGCACCTAACTTCATCAACAGGACATATAGGGTCACAGCCATAGTACTAGACACCAAACATCTTTTTAACTTTGACTAATTTCTTTAGCAAAGAGACTAAACACAACTCACCTACTCTCTTCCAGCAGCCGCTTGTTTGTAGCGAGACCTCAGGCCAGTCCATTACAGACTACAGCGGGGTGTCGCAGCTCAAGGAAGAACATTTATGATAATTTCTTTATCATTTCCTTTAAGTAAAAATCACCATTTTAATCATTTTTCTCTGCAGACGCAGTAGTTCTTCTGCCTTAGCATCTCAGTCTGATTGCTTTTCCATAAAGAAATGATCATAAATGTTCTTCCTTGAGCTGCGTCACCCGCTGCAGACTAGCCTGGGTGTCTAACTCGTTGTTACGGTGTGTTTGACCCTAAATTAATTTCACGCCTGAATATCCCTTTAATGCAGTGTTGCCTGAGAGCCTAAAGATCATGACTATCCAGTACTGGTTTTGAGTCTTGTCCCTTTAATAAAAAAAAAAATCTCCAAATTTTTGAAGATATTTTGTACCAAAAACGAGGAAATCCTCAATTTTTACAATTTCACCCTGAAGATCGTTCCTCTGAAAATGAATTTTTGCTCACACAGTCTTTCACAGAGCTGTGAATCTTTCTGGATTGCCCTTTTTATACCCAGTTATGTGAAGTATCTCAGAGTTTTTCTGTTCCTCTCAAAAGTTTTTGTTTTGGAGTTTTTATTCTCCATTTTTTTAAGTCGACTGTAGGGTTTGAGTGATTTGCGAAGCTTTAAAATCTGTTTTTATAAACTTTTCACACCTTTTTTTTGGAGTCTGGGTTATTCTGTACGTTCACTGTACAGTATAAATCTCACCGAAGGGTTTCATTTGTGTAAATGATGTGTGAAAAAGTCAATAGAAAGGTCAGTTTCGGCCGAGTTTCACTTCATTATTCCTCATACTGTCTCATTGTTTTGGGATGATTCTCTGCCTCTGTCTGTCCCTGGTGCTTTCCTTCCTAATGCAACTATTGATTTCCTTTTAATATGCTGTTGTCTGGGATCTAAATTAATTTGTTGTGGGTTTTTTTTTTGCAGCTAGCAAAATCATTTTGGATACAAGACGGCGCCAGGAGGGTTGAAATCGACTCATCCCGCATACTGGAGCAGTTCACAGTTAAAGACCTGGGATCCTTCAGCATGCCTGAGTCGAGCAAGACGCAGGAAATTATCCTCAATGAGAAGATCGCACACAACTTCAGTGAGTTGACTCGACGGCGAACATGTTTTTTAAAGTTATTTCATCACATTCAACCTGGAAATCTGATTTTCTCACCAAAATAATGAGCTTTAAATCACATTTTTAGTAAAAAGGTGATTTTTTTTTAAGATGAAGCTCTGTGTGGGAGCTGTGGTGTGGAATAAACCCACTCTGTCTTTGACCACAAGAGGGAAGCAGCGCATTGAAAGTGGAAGCAGGAAGTCTGCAGGAGTAGAGTGAATGTCAGAGCCTTTAATTTTCATAAATTAAAATTTAACAGCCCCATTAAGAGGAAGCTGAGCCGAGATCTCCGTAAGAGAGAGCCTCTAAATGCCACCATATTGCTCTTTTCAACTGCCTGTAATAACTGCTGTTAAACAGACAGACAGGTGATCCTCTGTCCCGCCAGCAGGGGGCAGTGTGTCCCCAACCCTGCCCCGACAATCTGCAGAGCTATTGTGAGGAGGAACATATTCTATATCTCATCTAATAGCTTTTCACTTTTGATTAACCGCGTGTACGTGGTTTGTATATTTCAAGAGCGAGGCCGAGGGAGAACATTTCAGAAGCTTCCTTCTCACAGATGCTGAAACAGACACACACACAGGCTCATACACTCTCTGTGGGAGGTGATACAGATGTGGTGGAGGTGAGCTGCTAACAGGAATCAGCGTGAGGGTGCAGACCGGAAAAATAATTAGAGTTCACATGCTCATGAAATATAGATTTGGGATCTGAGCGACAAAGACAGCGATTTCCCGTCCCCGATACAGAAACACTGCAGCAGCAGCAGTTGGAGTTTCAGCTCCTCTCTGACCTGGAAACTTTGGTCGGTTGTGTGTGGAGCAGAAGAAGAGCGATGACAGCCTGCAGGCAACCCGGGGCTGTGCATCTTCCTGCTGATTCAGATGATTCAGACAGATTTAGATGTTTGAAGATGAAACTCTACTCTATGTCCCCTTTTGGTCCTTTCACACTAACACAGAGAGTGAATTTTTGCCCTGAAACATGGCTCACTGAGATGTACTGTAAAACCAAAATACAAGATCTCAGTGGGAACAAAACTCAAAGCTGCATGAAGCCAAAATAGATTTTTAAAGCCTGTTTTAATCTCATATTTCTTACTCTGTTATCATCAAGGAATTGTTTTTGACAAATAACTTACAAAGAGGCATCCACTGAGAAAAAGGAGATCACCACTGAGCCGTGGAAAAAAAAAAAACAACTGTTAGAAAATCTTTGAAAATAAAGACTTTAATAGACCTGTCATCAAAATCACCCTGACAACAGACCACTTCAAAGAAAACAGAGACCACTAATGACCACTCTGGACCACCTCAAATTACCTCCATAACTTTAAAAAGCTGCTTCCTTCATATACAAATTCAACATTTATTAAATTTACATTTTATAAAACTCTTTCTGAATGATTATACCCTCTCCTGCATTAAAGCACAGAATCATAACTAAGTGGTAATTATTTTAAAACGTGTGTTTCTGTTTAAATAGGAGCAGCAATGTCAATTAGTCATCCTACCTTTAAATAGATATAATAAACAGATGTCAAAATTGAACAAAATATGCCTTTTTATAGGGACTTTGCATTGTAAGTGTTTAGCAACTGTTATGCAGTACAGATGAGTTAAAATATTGAGTGTATTTATGTATTACTAGTAAGTGCGTTGGAGCCAAAGTCAGTGCAAAAGAGCCGAAAATTGCAGTTCCTAAAGTGTCCACTTGGGGCTGGCTTTAAAAACACATTAGTCCTATTAACGCCATGTGTCATTTAAAAACCTTTAGAAATAAAGATGTTTACAGCTGAGAGAGTGAAGTTTTGGTAACTCACTTATTTTAAAGATGTGTCTTGTGTTTGACAGAACTAGTAAAGAAAAGAAAAGAGAATAAATTTCCTCTAAACTTGTATCAACTCAAAGTTTACTGCTTTAAGAATAAACTCAGTCAGACTGCACTAATACATCACTGTCAAAGACATTGTTTAAACCAGGTTTGGTGTTGGGAATAGGGTCAGATCGAGGCTAATGACCTACATTTGCTATGAACCTAAAAAAAAGCAAAAACAGTGACGCCTTTTTTCTTGTTAAATCACAATCAGACACAGTTTTCATTGATTGTCACGATAAATCAGATCCTCTGTCAGGGTGATAGGGATCTTCCTCTGCTGGTCTGTCTCTGCCCCCCCTTCCCCTCTAAGACACCCACAGCCACACTCACACCCCCTCCTGCTCTAGTCTGCATATTTATCACCACAAACCTGTCTAAATTCCTGCTATTTACTCGCCTCGTACTGCAGTCTCTCTCTCTGCCACACTATTTATTCATCTGATCCCATTACACCGAGCGTCGGTGTGCATGCCAGGTCTCACTTTGTTTTTAGCAACAACTCAGCAGACACTCACGCTACATTCGATCAGATATTTACAGGAATGTGAGATCAGTAATTAACAAACTGTTGATTAGCATCCGCTTGTTAGCCTGGATTCCAGCTGTGCGAGTGTGTGCGGTGGCTTTAAAACACGTTTGTTTGCAGTTTGCACACTGAGGCAGATGGAGTCAGACAGCACGAGCAGGTGGTTGTGTTACTGTTGTGCTGCAGTTGGAGTGCTTTCTCTGGTAATCAGCATGCTTCGTGAAGGAGAGAAACAACATCAGCTGCACCCAGAGTCCACAGGAGGACACAGTAATAACCCATATGCTGATTTGTAACAGGTCTAAAAACACATTTGACGACAAGATTGTTGCTCCTATTGATTCTCCGACTGCTTTATTCAAAAAAATACACCTGCAAAATGAGGACGACGGGGACAACCAGTTTGTGTTTGCGAGTTTGGGCATGTAGATGAATGTGGTGGGATATGCAAAGTTATGCGAAGAGACGTAAAATTTGTATTCCGTCAGTATTTATCGTTTTTACCAAGTTGTAGAAATGTTTGCTACTCAGGACTTCATGCAACAGTTGAAAACAAGTTTCTTTTGCATGAACAAAGCTGCTGATTCCTCTTTCGCAGACACATCTGTGATTTGTCACATGTCCACCAGAGTGGAAAACACGAGTTCTAGTGGTTTAGTCTCAGTTCTGATTGTTTGAAGTATTAAAGTTTGAGAGTTTTTCTGTCTTTGCAGGGGGAAAAAAACACCCTTGAGGAGATCAAACTAGCTCAACGTTTTTTTGCCTGCAGGCTGCTAGAGAAGAACAACAGCAGACATTTTATTGGAGAGCAAATATTATGAGAGGATATAAATTTGAGCATTGTCTGAAGTGCTACTCGTAAAACCGCTGAGTGACTTTGACACCAGAACTTCAGAGGATATTGTTTTTAACTCGAAAAGCTGCAAGCTACGGCTAAATAAGATAATTCAGATGATTTCAAGAAACAAGTTATTCAGTTTAAATATTTCTGAGAGTATCGAAGTCTCAGAAGACGAACCTCGAACCAACCCAACCTAGGGTAACCGTATTCTGAATCTTCGAAAAGAGGACATGACTATGCAGGGGGAGAGTTAGGCGTAGTTAATTTTGAGAGTTTTTCGGGTTGGATCAAATGTTTTTTTAAGCGCTTCTAACTCAGTGAATCCATGTGACAGGAACACAAAACTTCCATACAAAACCGCGGACATTTGAAGGATTTGATAAACTCCCCCGGACAAGGCTCCGAAAAAAAGAGGACAAATCTGGGTAAAAGAGGACGTGTGGTCACCATAACCCAACCCAAACACATTTAACATAAAGATTGTTGCTCACTTTGAGGTTTGGTTTTTTTTTTCATGATATTTCAAAAACCTTATGTCGGCCTTTTTTTTTTTTTTTTTAATTCAACATCTGTCCAGGTGGTGGCAGGGGTGTAAGGGTTGTTTTGCAAAGATCCATAAATGGCGAAAGATTCTGTGTTGATCTACTGTCTACAGCAGCCAAAAACCACCTTTAAGCTGTCGATTATGGCGGAATATCCCTTTAATCGTATCAAATCACTTAAACTTCAAACAGATATGAGTCAACATGATAAGATCTGACTATAATGACAGAAATCCCCATTTTGAAAATGTTATTTGGCATGGACTTGGATTTTGTAGTTTGACCCATGTCCCATCTGCTCTGTGATCTATACTGCAGCTGGTCAGTAGGGGGAGCTCTAAATCATTTGGCTTGGTTTTTAACCCCTTTTTTTCCATCCTTATATACAGTCAGTGGTCCATACTGATATATCTGTACAAAAACTTCATTTTACTGTCTTAGCTGCGCAAAATAGAGCTACTTTTAAAAGTGAAACGTTTAACTCGCTCTGAATGTTGCCATGGAAAAATGCAAAAGACAAACTGCTGTCAATCATCTGGTCTAAAGCATCAAAAACTCTACCTGAGACATCTCCAGCTTTTTAGCTAATGGCCTCATTTTCTTTTAAAGGTCATAAATAGGCTCCACATAGTTCCTTTAATAAAAAGTGGTGATTCAGTTGTTTTAAGGATAGAAGAAAACAAGCCAAAAGATCTCCGAGCTGTTCTCACTTTGTACAACTATTGTTTTAAATCCACAAAGATAATCATCGGGCGAGGTTTGACGTTCATGTTCAGGCTGAAAAACATTTATCACTCGGTGTGAATGATCCGTAACTGAGGGTCAACCAGCTGCTAACAAACCGGACCTCTGAGCACTGATGGGATAACTGGTGAATCCTTCAAACTTGACCAAACTCGCCAATTTTCTAAGTGCCAAAATTAAAAAGAACATCAGAGCTTTTAATCCAAACAAACACACAAAAAGAAAGAAATAAACAGAAAATGGAAACTTTTAATTATTCAAACTGATAAAAGCAGAAAAGTTCTGCCACACAAACTGGCACTTTTTTAAAATTTTGTTTGTTTTTTAATCGTCAGACTCTTGCCAAATTCCAGATTTGGGATATTTTCCGTTTTGTCAGAGATTTAAACTTTGAAGTCCCTCAGGAGACACAAGGGAAATAAAAATTTCTCCCTCTTAAGACACTTTTGAGATCTCTGAGATCTTAGAAAAGCATTTCATTCAGGTTACTTCCTTTCTTAAGATCATTTTGTGCTAATACTCTGTTCTGCCTGGGATCAGAAGTAGGAGGTAACCTGAAAGAAAGAAGAAGAAGTTTTGCAGGAAGTTACAAAAGTTTCCAGAAATCCTACAAATGTTCACCCATCTCCCTCAAGATGGACTTTTAACAAACCCGTCATTTAAGGTCCGGAGCTGCTCATGGGGGCTCTTTTTAGGTCAGGGTCACACGCTGAACATAACCGCCCTGATTTAAAAGTAAAATCTCGGTCTACGAAGTGAACGCAGAGGCAAATCCATCATAGCGGATCATAAAAATACATTTTCCGTCCCATATGTGTCAGACGAGTATTAATTTAAACGTTCAAGTTCAAGAACAGGATGTCAAGAGCAGCACTTGTGAGAGTTTTCTCCTCCTCTGGGCGAGCTCCTCTGTGGTTTTGTCTGATCAAAGTGCATTTCTGTTCAGGATGCGTGTCCGAGTAATATGGTTATTTACCTTGAGAGCCTCGATGCATGCTGCCTATTTAATGACTGGAAATGTCGCGCTCCTAATTAAAAGTACACCTGTGGCTTCCTGCGCTCAGCGGGATCACTCTCCATCTCTAAACTCTAATTTGCCGGGGCAGTGCCCAGTTTGTCGGAGTGCCAGTCAACGCAGGCCTGATTTGCACTTGACTTTTTTTGGCGTGCCAGAAGCCGACGCCTCGCTCTTGAGGACACGGACGGCGCTCGACATTATTTGGATGTTTGATGTTGTTGGTTTCTCATTTGGAAATGTGACACGAACGTCTCTGTTGGTCCTGGTGAGGGAATTACTGTCTCAGGGCTTTAATGTCAAGGATTCAGAGACGGGCTGATTACAGCTTTGTATCTCGAAACGCTCCTCGTTTAGTGTGATTATTTGATTCACTTTTTCATGAGTTGATTTTTAACCAGATAAAATGAGTCAGCTGAGAACAATTTGGCTCAGTTTGTGACTGTCGGAGAAAATAGTTTAGCTCTAAAACTGAGACACAAAGTTCAGGTTAAGATTCCTTTTCTGCAACATAGGTTTAGTTTTAGGTAAGCAGATCCAATGTTAGCAACTGCACAGTCATGGCAGAACGTGCAACTCCAGAAATATAACTTAATGCTGCAGCTGTATGGATGCACTTGTTGCCAAAGTGAAGACAGAAACTGGAGGAAAATCAAGATCCTGTCGAAGAATCCTGTAAGCAGTTTGTGCATCTGCAGCCTCCTGTTGACTGTGATAGCTGTCTGCATTAGTGGTCGACTACTCACAGTTTTCTGATGCAGAACCCTGTTATAGCAGAGCAGGCTGGCAGATGGCTGATATATAATGCATACTGTGTTTTTTAATTTTTTTTAAATTCAAACAACTAAAAAAAACAGAATTACTGAACTTGAGGTGAACATTTTATCAGAAAACTGTAGGTGGGAGTCGGGCTGAATTACAAAATATGATCAAGGAATCTTCGAGTACTCGTTTATAAGCTCTAATCGTCACTGTTTGGCATGGATTAGTTCCAAGGTAATGCAACACACTTGCGTCACCACGGTAGAAGGAGGAGTAAGCGTGCTTTTGGTTTTGCGGAGCCCGATTGCTCGCTCGCTGGCTGTGTGTCGTTCGCCAAAGAGTCAAAGGCGGCAGTTCCATTTCCGACTGGTACATCAGGCTCGCGGCTGACCTCATCTGAGCTGAGAAAGGAACGAATCAGGTGTTGGAGTGATTCCGTTCACGTCGTTCACTCAGCAGTTCCGTTCTTTTGAATGAAACGTTCATGAACGACACAACACTAGAAGGTAACATATGAGCTATTTAGCTCTCGGACACTAATGTCTTTAGGGACATGATGAAAGTTAATATCATAATTAGCTTTCTCACAATTGTTCACAATTGTCCTCTCTACTTCTCCAAGTCTGGCCTTCCTAGCGGGGCTGGAGCTTGGATTTGTGATGTAGGAAATCTCACTTTATATGAGTCTGCTGTTTGTGTCCACCTATCACCGATTACACCGATTACTTGATTAATCGATGGAATATTTGGTAGAATACTTGATAACTAAAATACTCGATAGCTGCAGCCCTAGATGGGAGGATATTTCGCTCCTCTCCCTGCTCTCCACCTGATCGTTTTTACCACTGTTGCACAACTTGTTTGAGATACAACAGTCCACCATTAATCTCAGTCGGAGCTGCAACTTTCTCATGCTCTCAAACTTTGGGATCTTCACGTTGATCTACTGAGCTACTTAGAGTTAAAGTTTCGGCCCCAAACTCCCCAAGTTCTTCCACAGAGAAATCCAGAAGCAGAAAACTGGTCATCCAAACCTGCAGATGCTGCAGCAGATGCCACACCCCAGTAATGGCCGCTCGTTAGCTTCTGCTAATTTGTTGGATTGGTCCGCGCAAACAAAGAAAAGTCAAAGAACAGGAGGAGGGAGAGCGAAATATACAAAACACGCTTCAAAAATGACAGCAGGCTACTCATACTAAGAGGACTTGATTGTAAACACTTAAAAGTCTGGACTCAAGGAAAGTTAACAGAAGGGGCCGAGCAGATAAAAAAAAAAAAGAGAGACTGACAGGAGGATTTTTTTATAATCAATGGAATAAATACAGTCCTCTGCCTTGTGTGTTTATGCGACTAAATGCCAACTCCATCGGCAATAAGAGTCTCCTCAAACCGGGCTGAGCACAGGATATTAATTCCAGCTCACAGAGGAGCTGTTTCTCTTTAGCACAAGATCTTCTTCTCATAATTACAGGGTAAAGGGTCGTCTTCCTCGGCGAATACAAAGCACCTCAGTAGATTCTTGATGAGAAGCACATTAGATGGTTGAAAGACGGCAGAATGAGGCTTTTGTCGAAACGCAATACGTCTGCATGTACAGATCAAGGTCAGCGGAGGTCGAGCCGGGCGCACGAACAAGATAATCGAGCAGATTTTTGAAACTGTTTCAACAAAGGAGGACCGGATTGATCGATGGTTGTAACGGCAAAATTCCACAAGATACGGAATGGCTGCACGCCGCTCCGCCAGCAGCCTGATAAAATACGAAAACATCTAATCAATGTGCCTGATTCCACACAATTTGTCCGCCGTCGGATCAGATATGCAAGGCTTCTATTTTTTGCGGACGCTGCAGCACAGCGCATCAATTCCATGCAGCGCAGCATGAGTGGCAGCGGAAGTTGTATATGGCTACAAAGTAAAATATCGGGTTAATTTTCAAAATAAAATACAGTAAATACGTTAAACTGTTCCTCATGTGATATTGGGAGGAGCCAGATCTGTGGGATGTGGGTGTTAATATACACCGCCAATCTCATTTAATGTCTCACGGTGAAACAGGTGAGATCTCGTCCAGTCTTGAGAGAAATATCGGTAATATCGCAAGTGCTTCATCCTCCATTTGAGGCAGCGGATTGGATCCAGTGGGCGCTGTAGGTTCGGTTTTTGATCCACCCTGCCGTTCCGGAGCAGAGCGTAGCAGATCTGCATGTGGTGGAATCGTGGCATTCAACAACCTTCAGCTAACAATCGTCATGCACACGTCCATCGTCACATGGAACAACTCGTTAGCCAATCAGGAGGCAAGCTGACTAGAGAGAAATGAATACAACCTGAATACAACCATGGCAATGATAGTGAAAATGAGAAACATAGACCCTACCAGTTGATGCAGACATCTCCAGGTTAAATTCAACATCTAAAAGTCTCCACCAACTTGTTTGTCACTTTCAAAAGACTGTCCCGCTTTCACGACATGACAGAGTTAGCAGAACTCGAAAGAAGTTCACAAAGTTTTCGACCAGAAGTTAGCCGATAACCTCTCACTTTAAAACAATCTGAGGCAGTAGCTCGGCTCAGACCCAGACATGCTCCAGCTCCATAATGGACCCGATGATATGGAGGTGAACTGGTAGGTGAAGAGACGCCAAATTTACCTCCACATGCGAGCGCCTAACCTCTGAGCACTTTGACATTCAGATTGCTCCCCTGCAACCTCTGTGTTTAGCTTTCTGTTTGGGCTCAACCTGAGTGTGAAAATGACTTAACCGGCCGAAGAGATGAACTCCAAATGGGGGAAAATAAAGAGACACTTTCAGATCAGTGCAGACTCTGTAACAGACACAAACATCTCCAATGTCTTTTGTAAAAATTACCGTGTATTTTCACAGGCACGTCTAAATTTTTTTTCGGCTCCCCACAGCTTCTGATTTATGCGCAGACATTTCCTGTAAAACAAAAATCACATCAGCTTCGACTTGATAGAATGCAAATTTGTGCATTTCCCTCAGGCATATGAGAGAAAGTAATTAAGCAAAGGGCCCTTTGTCTTCACAATGCTTTTTTGAGTCATTTCATCGCAGGATAAGAAGACTATCTGTCAAGAGAAAAGCTTTCATGTAATATTGCATGTTTTGACTTTTTTCTTATCTATTGTTCTTCCAGACATTTTCCTCAAAAGTTTCCCCGTGCAGCCGGGAGAGCTGAAGGACAAACTGTTCATCATTAATGAGGAAGATGGAGGCCTGTCTGATGAGCACATCACCTCTCTGAGGAGGTATGACTTTGTGCCAAAAACGGCTGATTTGTATTCTGTGCTAATAGTGTCACAAGTGAAGCTGAGAGGTGAATGACTTTGTGTGCCATGGGCGGTTGATGTTTCTGTTGGCAGGGACCTTATCATAGCAAATAATGACAGAGGTATTTGGGAGATAACTAACCGTAAGGCAGAATAAAACACATTTTAGGCCTCATACAAAAAGACTGTTAATCTCCTTAGCTTGTGTTCCCTCAAAGACATATGCAGTTTGATTCACATTTACAGCCTAGAGTTAGAAAAATGTGGTGTTGCATCTCAGGCTTCAGGGCAGATACCGCTCACAGGCTGCCCAGGTATAATGCCAAACCTTTTTAAGTTTTTTTCTTTTTCTAATCCCTGTCAGATCAACATTTATTATCGATGAGTTTGACAATCTCTTCATCCTCTGATAACCAGCAGAGCCTGACACACGCTCAGCAGGTGATCAGAGGGAAGAGGTCGCTCCTGTTAATGAATTGGCTGAAGTGCAATGTAACATGTTTAATATGAGCTTTTTCGCACCTCTGTTTAAAAGCCACTGTGTGCCGCGTTCATAACTAAGCCTTGTCAATATTCAGATCACAGAGTGCGGAGTTTAACATTCAAAGTGCATGTTGGGTTATTTTGGTGTTTTTGATGGATACAGCAAAAAGACCAGAGAGTCCTTGGTGAGCAGATACTGAAATAAGCTGTCAAACAGAGAACACATCATATTTAAGGTAACTTAATATCGCTAATAAAAGGACAAATGTACAAATGATAGGATGTAAAATGAGTAGAATAATGTATTAGCGACCACAGCTCTTTATCATTGCAACTCGAGCAACGGAAAAAGCATCACACTATAGGAAACACTGAATTCAGTCACTGGACTCAGATGTGTTTGTGTTATTGGACCTCTATAGGGTTTTTTCATGTAAATAATGGAAAACATTGTCAGAGGTTTACTGTGAAATTTATTTTCTAACAACAAAAACAAGAAATCCACCAATCAGCCAGTCCACCAACTGACAAACCAATCAATCAATCGAGTTACACAAAGCCAACCCAAACCAACCAACCAATCCAGCAACTGACAACCTGATCCGTTAACTTACCACCCAATCTGTCAACCAACCAACCAACCCACAAACTAACCAACCAACCAATCAATCTACGAACTAACCAATGGACCAACCAACCAGTTAATTCACCAACTGACAAACCAATCAATCAATCAATCAATCAATCAATCAATCAACTTACATAAAGAAAACCCAAACCAACCAACCAATCCAGCAACTGAAAACCCAATCCGTCAACTAACCAACCAACCCACTTACAAACCAACCAACCAACCAACCAACCAACCAATCTACTTACACACACCTTACTCAACCAACCAACCAATCAACCAATCCAGCAACTGACAACCTGATCTAACAACCAACCAACCAACCAAACCAACCTAACAACCAACAAACAAACCAATCCTAACAATGAACCAACCAATACTAACAACCAACCAACTGGCCAACCAACTGGCCAACCAGTCCAAATAACCAACCAACCAACCTTACTCTGCTCTCCTGCTCCATGTTTCTCAGACCATGTGGTTGTCTGTGAAGGTTCTCAGTCATCTGAACCATTGTCATCAAAATTCTGATCCAAACTTGATTGCAGTTATTGCAGCAATATGTTTCACTTCTTGCCCAGAAAGCTCCTTCAGGTCAGGCTCACAGTCTGTTAGAAAATATTGGTTTTGGTCTAAACAGCCTTTTTTTTCTTTTTAATAAAAACACACCACGGGAGGTTAATTCCTCTGTAACTTATTTACTTGTTTTTACTTGCAGATTAGAGTCCTTCACATATTATTGACAAGCTGTTACTGAGGGAGAACCAGTGGAGAGTAAAATTTTTATATCAGAGGATACAAGATAAAATAAAGAAGTTTCTAACGGCCTAATTTAAGCTTGAAGGATTGACATCAATTTATATAATGAATGAAGTGACTCCACTGTGTGAAAACAGTCAAATAAGGTATTAAAATTACAGATGTTTTCACAGATCTTCAGAGTGTCTCGGCCTTGAGATGATCTGCCTCATCGGTGAAACAAACCTGAATTATGTCGCACTTATTAACAGGTTAGCATGCATGAAACAACCCAGCAAGAGTGCACTATGCTAAAAAAAGAGAAAGGGAAGGGGTCATTTTTGGACTTTTTAATACAACCTTAGAGTCAGACATATTAGCAAGAAGACAGAAACGACTTCTTGAATTATCACGAATAGTTTTTTCCTCGGGTAACGCAATGATTAGCTCATTTACCAGCTCGTGAATAAGTCATGGGTGCACACTCTTGGCATCCCCTTTCAAATGCGGTCCCTTTATATTTCCAAAAAAACCAGCACTATATCAGCTGCAACGCCAGACTTGAAGCTTTGAATGAGGAGCTGATGAACCGATGGGTGACGTCAAAGCAGCTAAGTCCATTATTTATACAGTCTTATGTGAGAAACAGCTTGAACTGCTGCCAGTTCCTGTGAGAAGAACACACGTTTTGCACTGCAGGCCTTCACAGAGTTCTAATACTAAAGAGCAGATGCCAGAACCTTTTACCAGAGCAGCTTACTAATAAAAGTTTTATCTCGGGTTATTTGCGGAGATGGAAACTATTGACATGCCCTCAGGAATATATGACTGAAAGCGGGTAAAATGCTTCCTGAATCTTACCTGCAGTTTACTCAGCTGCTCTGGATGCTGACCTCCTGGAAGGAGAGTGATCTAATGTACTGTGTGGAGAGTTTTATTTATTCTAAGAAAAACGTAATATATATTTTAATGCGCTGTGGCGTAGGCCCGAGGAATACAATCTTGAAGGAACCACTCCCTACAGGTGCTGCAATATTAATGGCCGGTGCTACTCCAGTGGCACATGGACCGGCTCATGAAAAAGTGAATGTGCCTTCAGTCAGAGGAGGTCCACTTTGAGACAAGCGGGTTCAAATCCAGTACGATCGTGTAAATGGCTGTTTCCATCAGGTTTATAAAAGCTGAGAAAGAAACAGCAGCACAACTTGGCTTTTAATCACTTAACCTTGTCCGGACTGCTAGAAATCAGCACGAGTCTGAGGTTGCTAAAGAGCGTACGACTGCTTAAAGAGGCAAAGGTCAAAATGAGAAAGTACCAGTAATGGAAATAGACGAACATCTTCAATTGTGACATAAATGATTTAGATTAATATGGATGTTTGGGTTGGACATCGTTCATCTAGTAGAATTTGAGCTGCAGATGCTTGTTATGAGCTTATTGTGTTTCATGCTAGCAGCAACTGTAAGCACTGCGCTACGAAATGCAGCCCCACCTAAAACAGCATTAACCAGCAAAATTAGCATACAAATATCAATAATATGATCTGTAGATGCATGCTATAAGTTTACTATGTTATCGGGATGCTGCGATTCATGCTAGCAGCTACTGTTGGCGCTTCGCATTTGCATTAACCCCAGAACACCATTGCTAAAATTAGTAACATCATCACTATCGCCGGGTGATTTTTACCCGAAGTAAAATATATATCAAAATAGGATAATATATGACAACTTAAAGTATTTTTCTTTTATTTTTAACTGTGCAACGTCCAATGGGAGGAAAAAAGTGCCATGAGTGGACCATATAAAAATGCAAAAACAAAAAAAACTGAAATTGGGCATTTCTGAACAAAAAATTGCTAAAATATATATATATATAAAGAAACTGTAAACTTAGTTTCTTTTCCATCCATTTCTGAGGCATGTGAGTCTTCCCTGGTGAAGACTCAGGGTCCTTGGCACAAAAACAGCTGCAGGAGAGAGAAACAAAATATGGCAGATTTGGAGTGAGCTGACTAAAATATTTCTTATCACCATATAAATGCCCTTAAAAATCACTTCTTTGTGATAGTTATTCATAACCACTGCGCTAAATAAAGATAGCATGCAAATTCCAGGACCACTTATACTGACCTTATTCCCTACATGCAGCTATCAAATCCACCCAAACCTACTTTAAAAAGCAGGTTTTGGATCAGGGAAACAAATACGCCTTCAAAGATGTCAAAGGCAATGCTGAAGCTACGCAGGGACCCATGATACTCAGACAAACACAACATCATGAAAATCACATAAACTGGAAATCACCCTGCAATAGCATTCTAGGGTTAACCTGCAAAATCAGCAAACAAATATCAATAAATTGTTCATTACAGCACTAGTATTCCTAGTGCTGACTTGCGTGGGTGACAACGTTTAATTGTCAAGTCAATCATACATGCACATGACTGCTCTGTAGTAAAAGTGTCATTTTAAATGCAGTGTGAAATCACAGTGAGATAATAATAAAAATAATACGCCTCTGTGCACAGTAAGGTGTAGTAATTGTGGCACTTCATTATAGGGGCTGTTGAGGAATTGCAATGTATAACTACCTTTGTTCTAGTTCTGAGATATCATGCGAGATGACAGGACTTATTTTTTAATATCTAGCCTCGGCCAAAAAGTTCATTTCAATATTCAAACTGATTATTTCAAGGAGAGATAAACAAAAAGACATCGAAGAACCGGAGCCAACGCTGCAATCACTGCAAACACATACGACCGACTGCCAGAGCTGATCTCCACTGATAACATGCATCTCTATTGGCAGATCTAGTGTGCTTTTTTCCCACAAATTCAGGAAGAAATGGAGGAACAGACAACCTGTCTCCCGTATCATTAAATATTCATGACTAAAAAAGACAAGCCGGAGTTTAAAAGCTGTCTTTTTTCATTATAAAATGTAACACTCAAAAACTGCGTGGGTGGGATTCGATCATATTTGAGTGACAGTAAAACAAAAAAAGGAAAAAAAATGTATCAACTGTCATCCACTTCAAAACCGGAGAGAAAAAAGAGGATTTCAACATGTTTCAAGTGGATGTCAGTCTGTGTTATCTGAAACAATACTTCAATGAGTGTGCTGAATCAAGTTATAGAGCTGAGATGCATTGCAGAGGAATCAGCTGCTTCTTCCTCATAGATGCCCTTCACACATGCACTAAAAAAATCTGAACATTTTTGGGCTTAGCTGCATATGTGAAGATGTGAAAGCAGACAGCTAAAACCTCAAACCTGAATTTACCGGGGTGAGGTATATTCTTTGTTTTACCTGCCATCTTTAATACGAAGTAAACATGACAAACTGTCCTGAAATTTTCTGGAAATTTTGCCATTTTTTCCCCCCCGCTAACATGACTAAATATCAGAGCCAGGAGGAACACTTTAAATGTAATCCCACTCCATCTGCACTCAAACATTTGTGCTATTTGGAGCAAAAACTCAAAACCAGCTTGCATGTGTGAAGACGACAAATCCAAGCTGATAAAGTATGAGATTCTCCGGGATGACTCACAACTTCAGAAAGTGCCAGAAAAAACAACATACAGTATGTTTTTTTTCTCCATTTCATGTTCAGCCCAGAGTTACAGTGCAGAAAAAGTTGTAATGAACACAGACGCTGCAAAAGCTCAAAGATGAGCAAATGTTTTGTCCTTTTTCTAGACTTAAAATAGGCCACCTACACCTGACAAATCCAGATTAATGTCTTATTTAAAGAAATGATAGACCAAAAATTAGACAAAAATAGTGCTGAAACTTCAGGATTAATTTTTTTTAAATTTAAAAACTAAAAAAATTAAAATTTGGAGATTAAAGTCAAAATTTCAAGATAAAAGTTGAAATTTCGAGATTAAAAAAATGAAATTAAGTCAATATACTCGAAATTTCTCAAATTAAAACAGAAATTTTGAGATTAAATTTAAAATTTCCAGATCACAAAATGTTTAATCTCGAAATGGAAATTATAAAAATCTCCCTCCTGCCACTACTTTTTTTCTCTTCCTTTGGCCCTAATTCTCTTCCGTACATCAGTGACCTTTAACATCTTGAAATAAGACATTTTTATTTAGTTTTGGGCTTTTGCTGTTTAAATTGTGTGAACAAGGTGGTTAAAAATTGTAGAAATGTTCCTTTAAACTGTTAGCAAAAATAACAATTATAATTCTTGTATTTTTGTTTGCGCTTTTCAGGTATGTGCCAACCATGGATGATATAGAAAAGTACAAATCCCTCAAAGGACCTGTATCCGAGCTGCACATTGTGGACCAGTACATGTTGGAGGTAGAGTTTCTAGTTCTTTATGTTAATGTAAATCATAATTAACACGTTTAAAATAAGAATTTCTTTTGGGATTTGTCTCATGGCATCGCCGCTCGAGCTGATTCTAATCCTCCGCCTGCCTGGGAGCCACTTTCCTTTAGCGGGACTTGTCGAGTCTTCATGCACCTGCCACCTCGTTCACACACCGTGGGTGTCATGACGAGCTCTTTGCATTTTTCTGGTTATCACCTTCCAGCATGCCTGGCAGTCATCTGACCTATGTGTGTTTGGCTACAGGCTGCTGCAGTAGGAGGAGAAGGAGGAGGAGGGGGTTTGATAGATGAAGTGCAGGATCAGCCTACGGAGCAGGAGTTTTAGGAGTATTTGACACCAGACGTAAGAGGTTTAACATGCAAGAGAGAACCTCATGTACTCCTGGAGGCACAATTTTCTGTGCTACGCTACAGTCAGCCTGAATGCTTCTAAATAGATAATCATCACATAATGACTCCTCTTTATTGCTGCCAACTAGAGCAGGTATTTAAGTACTGCACTTAATAGAAAGTGAAATGGCACCGGCTGAGCGTCCCGAGTTTAGAGGTGATTGCAGACTTCTTTGTGGAGTTTTTTTTCTAAACCTAATGTTCAGCAATTTTGACTTTTTTTGGGGACACATTCTTCCCTTTAAATCTGGTCGATTATTAAAAAGAAAAACATAAAAACGTCTTTTGAATCCTCACAGTTTGAAGCGTCAGCCGGGAGTTGAGTGTTTCCTCCATGTGACACTTAAGCGAAGAGAGCATCAGCTGCCTCTCACGTTGCGTTCTTCCTCGTATTACCGGCATGTGGAGTCGGGTGATGGTGTTGAGGGGAGAACAAAGTTAAAAAGGTGTTTTCAACACTTTTAAGCGTTTAGTTTCTGTGACTTGCTGCTGTCTACAGTTCAATGAAGGCACCAGACTTCCAGACAGGCTTCCTACACACATTTGGAAATCAGATTTACAACCTTTTAAAGACCCACTCTGATGAAAATCATGTTTCTCTTGTTGTCTACGTGTCCATATGTTCATTTTTCTGATGCTACAGGACATATCATGAGGAAAAATAAGCCATTTCTGAGGATTTCTGCATTCAAATCGCTGTTAATCTCTGGCAGGTTCAGATACAGTGAGATTTCCTATGTCACAAATCCAAGCCCCGCCCCCAGAGCCCCACTATGCAGGCCACAATTGGGGAAATAGAGATGACGATTGCGTAAGAAAAGCTAATTATGATATTAACTTTCATCATGTCCCCAAAGACATTAGTGTCTGAGAGCTGAATAGCTCCTATGTTACCGCTACTTCTACTACACAAGCAATGTTAAGCTGCAAGCTAGCATGAAGAGGAGTGTGCAGAGCAGCGCTGTCTCCGCCCACGACTCAGAGGTGAATTGCAAATAAGAAAGAAAAGTCCTTAAAAATGACACAGGCAACGTGATTTTGTCTAAAAACTTCCTAATCACAATTTAAAGACCACTGATAAAACTTCAAGTAGTAAAAAAAAGATCGAAGTGGGACTTTAAAGCTCCAGTAAGGAGTTTTTTAACATTCATGAAGTAGAGTAAAATTCATTTTTCTGATATCTAAAAGCAAACAAGAGCATCTGCAGCAAGACTGATGATTTCGTTCCCTACTTTTTCATGCCCTAGTCTTGTGTGAGGGGGGAGGTGTTATTTGCTCCCTGAAGCTGTTGTTGTTGTTTCATCACCTGTTGTGTCGACTGTCGTTAAGTGTTCCCCTGTTGTTATCAGCTCTGTCCTGATCTAACCCTGATAAACACACATTGTAGGTCATTATTCCTCTGTACTTTGTTTTTGCTAGAATAAATATAGTCGTCTACGATCGAGACAATGCTGGAAAACCACCCTGATTATTCAGCAAGAGCGCCATCTATGATTTGAGACCTTTAACGAGACTTTTTAAGACGTTTGAAGCCTTAATTTTGAGACTTTTTTCAGAACCGCAGTAAGTCTGTATAGAGAGCTAGTCCAGGACAGTTATTTATGGTGTGTTCCAGTTGTACTATGAAGTCGGGATTGTGTATCAACAGTAGAGAGTAACAGTAAAAGCTCTCATACTGAATTATTTATTAGCACTTCTGTTTTGTTTTTGAGAAATTAAATAAGTGGTTTATGTTGTACAGCTCAACGTCTAACTGTGAACACAATATGGTGTTTGTCGAGTAAAACTCTGTGTAAGGTGTTGTTTACAACTGGTATAGCTAACAACAACCAACAACAACTGACAACCGCTTACAACGGCTAACAGTAGGTGTCCGTCTTGTTTCTCCAACTTTTTTTACTGGAACGCTGTCAACTCTGGTATAGCGTCATTCTCAGCTCCGACATCCGACTTCCCGAGGTAACTGGAACGCAGCATTAGTACTTAAAATTCGTGCTTAAAATAAAGTGTCAGAATCTCACTGGAAATACGGCTGTAGTGATACATAAACAACATCAGGTTTAGGGAAATATTTGACCTCTGTTTTAGGATTTTCTAGAAAGATATGTACATAAATTATCTTCAGGCCCTACCCATTAAGGTGATAATGATAATTTGGACCCTGGTTCCTGCTGTTGAATTGCAAAAAAAGTCCTTGAAAGGTTCCTTGTTCCTTGGAAAAGTCCCTGCAGTTAAAAAGCGCCTTTAGAGACATTACTGTGGTCTCTTTTTTCCTTCATATCTATAAAAAAAATCTGCTCTTCTGTCATGCAGTCCAGGGTAATCCGTTTTCACTTAAGGTGTCTGTGGATGACGCAGTATTGATGTCTATAACTGATCAATACATTAATGTTAAAGCACTGACCTTTTCCTGTAAGATGAAACAAACCCTGATCACTCTGAGGTATTCTTCTATGTTCCTAAATCAGGTTGCAAAGCTTCGCTGGAATCTAAAAACGCTGTTGCCGAGCCAAAAACGAGATCCTCCGAGAGTCTTCCTTTTTCACTCTTCCAATTTAGCGAGCATGAGAGCTCCTGTTTTGGACCTGAGACAAAATCAGCAAAGAACCTGAGAATGTGATTGCTGACTAATGTGAGACGAAGTTTGTTCAAAGAGGAATGAAATTATCTCAGTGGTACCTTGGCAGAGAGTCGGTGTGACCTGTTAACATGCTATTAGAAATTTAAAATGTGTCGGAAAATGTGACAAGACGAGGAGCGAAGAGACTTTTCTCCTCCAAACAAACAGCAGAAGGACTCGACAGAGTGGTCTTGATTCCTTACACTTATCCTAATATCTGTCTTGACCATCCTTCAGACTAAGTGCCCTTTAGCTTCCAGTAGACGCTACCTGAGCGTGAGCGGGACTGTCTGACAATGTGGAGTGATTTATTAGAGGTTAGCACAGACTCAAAGGTCGACTAGGCAGCTCAGCCAATCGTTTCGACGTGTCAAGCCTTCAGTTTCTCTATTAAATCAGCCCGTCGACAGGCTGCAGCACTCCTCTTTGGCCTGAGGTAATCTCAGAAGCTGAGCCCGAGAGAAAGAGCCGCAGCCAACACCTGTATCTCCCTGCAGCACGGCTTTAAACTCCACTTAGAAACAGGCCGACAATCAAACTCATTAGACTTATTTCTTCTTCTTCTTCTTCTTACAGATGTGCAACATTCCTCATCTGAGCTCCCAGCTGGACCTGCTGCTGACCCTCAGAGAGCTGCCCAACAGCATGAGCGACCTGCAGCCGGTGAGTTCGCTGATCACCTGCAGAGTCGAATCTATAAAAAAAGGATTAGGTATTTAAATTCTTAATCTGAGCGAGGTCTGCACTGTTTTTATCATCACTGTGGTACGAAGATGCACAAAAAACATCCAGAAAACTGCAAAAAGACCTCAGTGAGTGTAGTTCACTCCCATGTCCTGACGCTGCTGTGAGTTACAAAGTACGGAGTCTTATGGAAGGTAAACTCCGATTTAAAGGGATATTCAGGTGTGAAATTAATTTAGGGTCAAACACACCGTAACACCGAGTTAGACACCCCGTAGAGAGATGGATGTTGCCGACCGCTTACTTCTCTAGTTATATCAACTTAAGTAATGACCACAGGATAGTAATACACAACAGTCTGAGGAGCCATAAACAAACCTCAACCAAAACGCCACTCTATAGCAACAAATAATGCTCAGAACAGCACCTAACTTCATCAACAGGACATATAGGGTCACAGACATAGTACTAGACACCAAACATCTTTTTAACTTTGACTCATTTCTTTAGCAAAGAGACTAAACACAACTCACCTACTCTCTTCCAGCAGCTGCTTATTTGTAGCCAGACCTCAGGCCAGTCCAAAAGCAACCCAGACACTGATTGAACATTTGAAGTTCAAACAAATCAGGACGGATTCTAATAGGTCAAAATCTGTAATGGTTATTATGTGCATAAAACTTAAATTACACTTTTTCCTCATATCCTGCAAGCTAGGGTTGTCACTTTTTATATCAGAAAATTGAGTCCTCGTTCATAATCAAACCATCCAAATTCAAAATGTACAGTTTATAAGCACATCAGGCCGTCTGAAGTAGCTTGCGGCGCTTGTCGTCACCTGACCATTGCATGCACTCTTGCCCTCGGTGCATTAAGACTGTGATGATTCTCCACAAAAATGGAGGATGTTTGCTGCAATCAAAGTCGTCCTGAGTGGACAGTAGCAACACTTAAAAAACATCCGTGCAGCAACTAGTGGACGTGTTTTTGCAAAACAGCTCTCTCAGTCTTACAGGTGAGGCAGCAGAAGAGAGAACACAGTAGAAACTGAATATTGAATATATTCGAACATTAGCCTGTCTACTTTAATTCAGCGCTTTAAGTGGAATCTTACTATTAAGTTGTGTGCTGGTGTGATAATTATAATCCCCACTCAAACTTTCATCTCTGAATTCTGACTTCACATTCAGAGCACAAAATAAAACTCACATATGGCTCTAATCCTGCTCCGTAAGAATCAAACTTTGAATCAGATGTCAGGCTTTTTTTTTCAAGTCGACCACATTCCTACCAGCTGAAACATCAGCCTCCTCTTCAGCAACATGCAAATGTGCTCTGTAATGCAAATGCTAATGTTCAGATACATAGTGGTTTTGAGCCGTAAATGAAAAAGAACATCAAGGGACAAACTTACATTAACACATGAAAGCTTTTCACCCTCCAGTTGGAGCTTTATTTTTTGAAGTGCTGCTGCTGCTGCTGAAGAAGTTTCTATTCGATTTACTGGATGGTTAAGAGTCTTGAAAACAGAAAGGCATGAGAGGCACTTTAAGACATCGCTCTGTGTTTGACAGAGCAGAAAAGATGGATCTTAATCAAATCAAGTGCCATTTTCCTGTAGGTTGTGTAAAACATAGGCGGTTGTTATCCTTATCAGAGACTCAATGAAAACCCACTTTGAAGAGAGCTGAGCAGAAACTCGTGAATTTCGCTTCAATCAACAAACTCCCGGACTTTCGGTAAAGACGGGTACTTTTGAGTGAATAAAGGTGAAATGAAATCGAATAAACACAAAGACGATAAATCAAGAGTATCCAGAGAAGTTTTTGGACGGTTAAATCAATCATTCTCATTTGTGAGCGACAAAAACAAACAGGGAAGTACTAATTTACTGGATTACCGTAATACTTCTAATAAAGTTCCACTTAAATCTGTTAAATCAATCATACTTATTTGTGAGTGACAAAAACAAACAGGGAAGTTCTAATTTACTGGATTACCGTAATACTTCTAATAAAGTTCCACTTCAATCTGTTAAATCAATCATACTTATTTGTCAGTGACAAAAACAAACAGGGTCACTAATTTAACTGAGTTTTATTTCTTTAAACTACTAATTTAGGGGATTACCGTAATACTTCTAATAAAGGCCCACCCCAATCAATCATACCCATTTGTGAGCGACAAAAACGTAAGGAGTCACTTATTTTTAATTCTTGAAACTGCAAATTTTAGGGAATTACAGTAAAACAAATTATAATGGCCTACCTAAATTTGTTAAATCAATTATACTTAATTGTGAGGGGTCACTAACTTTACTGAGTTTTAATTCTTGAAACTGCTAATTTAGGTGATTACCGTTAAACTTCTAATAAAGGCCCACCCCAATTGATTAGATCAATCAATCTTATTTGTGAGCAACAAAAACAAACAGGGTCACTAATTTAAATGAGTTCGTATTCTTAAAACTACTTATTCAGAGGATTACCGTAAAACTTCTAATAAAGGTTCACTTCAGTTGGTTGCACATTTTGCCAAATAACGACAGGTCTTGTTTAGATTATCTGTCGTATTAGTGTTATCAGGTTGTCAGTGCAATGAAGCGCCTGATTTTCCACTTTCACCCAAATACTACAAGTTTACTGACAGTCACAGTGGGGCAGAGAAAACAGCCGAACCTGAGTGCTGTCAGACTGTCAGCTCCGGACAGTAACAGCAGCTGTGAGACTCTCCTCCATTGATTTTTAAGAGAACGAGAGGGGGGCTGAACTCGACTTCTGTCTAGGAAAGATGTTAAAAAAAGCCAACCGGGGAGGAGGAACATGGTGCGATCCGTTTACCTCCAAAGCTGGATGTCAGAGTCGGGAACGGCAGCAACAGATTCAAGATAATCACACCCGGGTTACTTGCTGAAACAACTCAGAGAGTTGTTGTTGGCATTGATTACAGGTGACAACAACAAACTGTGAGATAGTCTGTAACCACTAAAAGGTACATTTTCTGTATCAATGTAAAGGGCCTAATAGTCAACTCTGGCATCCAGGGGCCACCCACCACCTCCCAAGTTCCCACTGCCCATCATTTCCTCTCCATATACAACAAAAAACACACATGATGGGAAAGTAGAGCCAAGACAAGAGGCCCATTTAAACGAGAGCTCTCTCCTGCTGGTGTAGGTGTGTCCGGGCTGCGATCTTTTTTTTTGTAGGATGGTAGGGGAAAGTCCCGCCTCCTTCACCTCTGATTGGCTAGAAAAGTTGGAAACGTTATCACACGTTAAAGCCAAACGCGGGCTGTCGGCTCTGTACATCGAACAGAACATTACAGAACATTTTTGCACTTCTGAATCTCCTAAACCTAACCCGACAGACGATGACGTTTTACAGCCATTAGGAATAACCAATCAGAGCCGAGCACTTCTAGGCTATCAGAGGCGAAGGAGGCGAGACCTTCTCCTACTATCCTACAAAAAAAAAAATTGCGTCTGGGCTGCCAGAGTGGCTTGGACCAGACGCCTGTTGATGATGTCATGCTATATGATTGGCTGGAAGTTGATTTCGTGGTTGGTTCGGACATTACGGAAGACGTTTTCGCCGGATTAGGTTTCATTGGATTGTAGATCTTTGGAGATAACATGGATGAATTCTACGAAGCAATCTATTGCTACTTATCAAAGGAGATCCTAAGTTATTTTAGGGCTTGCCTTATATTCGGACAAGGCAAGCGCTAACATAACTTTCGTAGATGTAGCCATCTTGTTTCAGGCCTCCAATTTTGCTTTTTTCCGACTTGGTAACTGAAACGCTGGTAACTCAGATGTGACGTCATTTTCAACTTGAAGAAAAGTTTCAAGGTTAATTGAATGAACAAACAGAAATAAAGAAAACTGTGAGGGGCTTTTAACCGAAGACATTTGACTTATGAAACAGAACGCAATTTAGTTTGTCCCAGCGGACTTGCCGTGGTGTGACGTCTTCAACAGGCTCTGTGCCCCCAAGCTGATCTGGTACCCACACCGGGTCAGACTGTACGCTCTACCTCCCCCTACTTCCTCATTTTTATGAAGGCAGAGTGATAAAAGTGTCCTTGAGCCTGCAGACTACACTGATGTTTTATATTCAGTTGTGTGTTTTAGATATCCAATTACTCCTGATTATTTAACTCAGCTCAGATAACGAACAAATGGTCAGAATTACTGCTTTCATGGTGGAACAATGGAGTTGTTTTCATCGCACAAGAAAAACAACAACGGTCGTTCATTTGCAGAGTCAGTGGATACTGATTAACTGATATATTCTCAATTGTTTCCTCCTCGTGTTTATTATGAACCTTTCGAGGGCTGTTTCCTCTCAGTAAAGTTGTTCTTTTTTAATTCATTAAAGGAAACATATCAGGAGTGTGAATCTGCTGATTAAATAAATCTGGTCACTGAAGTGTTAATCCTCCACTTAGAGGCGAATATGTGATGCTTGTGCACATTTCAGGTCCACATTAGTCAGACTGATGGTTAATACTCCTATAGAGGATTTCTGTTTATTGGCATCGGGGACTGCAGGCTGTGAAGATATTGCAGTCAGACAAGAATACCTCCCAGCTCCTCCTCTGTCTTCTCTTCTTTCTTTCTTTCTCTTTTTTTTATGTGATTCTCTGAAGCTTCTGTTCCTTTCAGCATCAGTGCCTCAGCCCTAATCTCTTGTCTGCTGACTGTCTGAGAAGGAAGAGAAACAATGGATAAGAATGATGGCCTTGTAATCCATTGACTGTGACAGCAATTTTTCTTTGTCTAAGACACAGAGACAAACATATCGCGCGCTCTGCTAGATGACTCGACAAGAAAGATTAGCAATTTCATTAAGTTTCAATTTGCTCTTTACTTTTTCATCCTGATGCTGTTTCGTCTTCCACGGCGTTCTAACTTGGAGATATTAAAAAAGGGTCATTTTTCAATCAAACTTTGGTATTTGAGAACGGCGTCTCTCACCAAAAGTACGCTTTCCTCTAATCTGCAGTCCTCAGTGTAGTGTGACACAGTTTCACAATACAATACGTTCAAAGATGGAGAGGTTAGGGTCCTGTCTGTGGCAGAATACTCTTAAATCCTTTGATTCTCCGACACGACAGATTTCTTAAAGCCAGAACATTTAGGAGGATTTACTCGCCACCTGACAGACCGGGCTCGAGGAGAGTAAATGAAGAAGTCACCGCCTCAGGGAGGATTCTCACCTACAATGTGCTTGTTGGTGCAAACTTTCACTGCCAGGGTGACAGGCTGTACTCTGCATTGTGGACCCAGCTCCATCTTTAAACTGTTTGCTGTGCTCTGAGTGAAACCATTCCCAAATATAAATAAGAAAGTCAAAGGCTTGGAACCAAATCCAGTGATGCAGGAGACAGGGAGGCAGCTCCTCAGGATATGATGTACTGAATGGTAAGAAGAAATGTAGAGCCCACAAAGCTGTAAGTCTCATCACAACTCTTTTATACGGTGTAAGTCAGACTGTCCCCGAAGACGAAGCACCTTCAGCTCCAAGAAGGTACCGAGACTGAGGGGGAGGTGAGCCAAAAGTTATGGGACAGCAGGTTGGAAACCTGTCAAGAGATTCTTCCTTTTTATTCTGCGAGTTTTCAGCTAATAGATTTTAATAAGGGGGAAAGGTGACAGCGACAAGACGGCTCTATGGTGTCAAAATCCTCTGAGGGGTGAGTGAGGCCAATTTATGGGTCAAAGAAACACAGAACTTATGTCCAGAAAACTCGGTTTGTCCTCCTGTGTGACACCAAAGACGTGTTCATGATGGACGAAATCAGCAAATTATGTCTAGTTTCCATTGATTCATGTACTTGGAGAACATAACTCTATAAATTTGAAGTTAAAATAGAATAGAAGACATAAGCAAAGACTAGACTGAACTCGACAGGAGTACAGAATAGAATAGAATAGAAAAAGTAACAATAATAAGGCTGCATTCCAGGTGTACTCGAAAGTCAGGATTTCCGAGCTCCGACGGCTAATGACAGCTGACAATTGTAAACAACAGCTAACAACGGCTAACTGTAGGCGTCCATCTTGGTTTTCCGACTTGTTGACTGGAACACTGTCAACTCGGGTGTAACGTCATTCTCAGCTCCGACATCCGACTTCCGAGGTAACTGGAACGGAGCTTTAGAATAGACAAGAATGGCAGAAACAAGAACAGCATAGACTGAACAAGAGTATGGAATATAATATAATATAATATAATAGAATAGAATAGAATAGAATAGAATAGAATAGAATAGAAAAAGTAACAATAATTAGAGTACACAAGAATGGCAACAATTAGAAAAGCATAGATTAATAGAATAGCGTAGAATACAATAAAATAGAATAGAATAGAATGGACAGAAAATGAAATAGAGAAGAACATATGGAATCAGACTAAAAACAATGTACTAGAGTAGAATGGAATAGATTTTAGAGGGAAAAATACAATAGCATTGGAATAGAGGAGCAAATAATGGAGTAACATAGAATAGAATGGAAGAACTTGATTAGAGTAGAATAGAATAAAATAACTTAAATTAGAATAGAACAGAATAGAAGAAGTAGCAAAAATTAGAATAGAATAGAATAGAAAAACTTCAATTAGAATAGAATAGAATAAAAAACTTTAATTAGAATAGAATACAATGACATCAATAAGAATAGAGATAAACAGAATAATTTGAATTGAATAGAGTACAACAGAATATAAAAGTAAAATACAGTAGAATAGATTTCAACAGGATAGAATAGAATAGAATAGAGTAGATGGGATAGCATGGATTAGAATAGTAAAGATCAGCATAGAATAAACTTAAACAACTATAACCTCTACTTGACCTAATCTGTTCACAAACTTAAGTGGATATGAGGATATGAGGCGTAACAGGAAGTTAACAAGCTATTATCACTGCAGTGTCGTCTACCAACAATAATTGGTTGTTTAAATGCAAAAACAGTCATAAGCAGTAAATCCCTGTCCACTTTGACCATTACTTTGTTTGTAAATTTACTTAAATTAACATTATGGATGTAGAGATGTAGACGACACCCTTGAAGAGAAAACTCCCCACTCATGAGAAACTTAAACTTTGGGGATAGAATAGACTTGAAACGAGTCTGTCTTGTGTACAGAAGGTTGATGAAATGTTGTTGGATTTCTCCTTCATGTGACTGAGACTGTCTCTCCAGCAGGTCTGAGGAAGATATTCTTAAAACGGGACCATATGGTGGAGTGTTGTTGCTGGCTGGCACAGAACTTATTTGGGAAAAGCTAACTCTTCGTCAAGGACTGTGATTCCCCAAGCATCGACTCCTTTCTTCTCAAACACACCGTTGGCAGAGCATTAAATCTTGTGTTTTCCTTCTCAGCTGTCAGTGAGACTTCTCTCCATATTAACAGGATCTGTTCAGAATTGATTCAACGGGGAAATTCTGCAATATTCTTACGGGATATTTTCACCAGATTTAATTGCATTCCCAATAATGAAATCGCCAAACAGCCGAGTCCTGATTACTCCAGGTCAGACGAGGTGATGCGGGATGGCTGTTTATCTTTGTAATGTAAAACACTAAAGTTATTTTTGTCCACGCTCTCTCGGCACAGAGTAGAGCTCCTAAACAAGCTTTCTTCCACTTAAATTTCACAGTTGTTGTGTGGAGGAAATGAAAGCCGGCGCCTGTATGTGGTTGGATTACAGAACAAAATGACTTTGCTCTGTGCCCCTGTGTTTGTCTTCCAGCTGATTAACCAGAAGATCAGAATGTGCACGCAGCTGAACAACTGCAGGTCATTTGTTTCCGTGCTGGAGTACCTCCTCGCCATTGGCAATTACCTCAACGACAACGCCAGGAAGGAAAAGGCCAAGGGATTCCGCCTCTCCTCCTTAACTAAAGTACGACTCTGCCGCTCTTTCCTGACCTTTGATTGAGTTGCAGCGCAGGGCTAATAAGACTACTCATTGATATACACAGCAGGGCTTCTCCACATCCTCTTTCAACATTCCCTCGTCTTTTTTTTTCCTGCTCAAGTCTTAGACTTAGTCCCCCCTGATAGAAGTGTGATTTAATGTCTGTGTCTGGCTTCGCAGAGTGTGGTCGCTGCTTTCTGGATCTCTTAGATGTGAACATTCATTAACTGCTGTCAGTCAGTCAGTCCTTTGATGAAAGCAAAATGTTTGAGCCGGTTTTCTGCTGTGTTTGATGAATAGTTGGACCTTTTTAGATATAAGCTGTTAAGCTCAGGTAAATGAGAGTATTTATATCTCATATATCTGTCTGCTGACTATGAGGCTGGAGCGAGGAGAGGGCGAGAAACTTGAGGATGCGGCTCGTCTGAATACAGCCTACAGAGAATAAACACAGAAAATAAGTAATTCTGGTGCAAAATTGGTTTGTTTCAGAGTGAATAGAGACATTTCCAGCCTCACTTTTGACAACACAGTCCACACACTTCCTGAAAGGGCCATGGAGGTCAAGACCAAGTGGCAGCATTCAGTGTTTTTAAAAGGAAGCCAATGTGGAAGTGAGAAAAAGTACACTTCCTTATATATCTCTTGAAAGAGCTCTAAAAGCCAAGGACTCTCCATTAGGCTCCATGTTAAAGTGTATTTTTGCACCGAGACCAATTCACCTCAGCAAATAGGTCTGGATCTGTCCAATTCACTCCATTTTTCAGGGGAAGTTTAGCAATAATAACATTAATGTGAACAAACAGGGACAGCTACAGAGGAAATGCTTGAAAATACATCTTCAACAGGCTCTATTTTCAAACACAGGGCTGTAATCTGAAGGGAAATCGTGTCGACTGATGGCGCTTCCAGGAGTTGGTTAAGTTGGTTAAAGTTTAGGCCCACCTCAGCTCCACCTCTTTGCCTGTGTTTAGATCATAGACTGGATATACTACGGACAACTTGGCCCTGTTCATCATTATATGAATTTAAAGCCGAATTGCTCTTCTACTTCCTGGGACCACCACTTGCACAGTAGCATTGTACGCATTTTGAGAGTCGCTGTGATGACACTCAGCTCAAGCAGCGTATCCCTCCAGGTGGGCTACGCAATCTTCGTACGCCATAGGCTGTATCAAGTGTCAAGTTAACTATTAACCTTTAAAAATGGAGCTGTACAGAAAAAAGAGGACTTGAGCACAAACCAGTCTTACAGTAACTATATGTCAACATCACAACCAGGGTGGAGAAAAATTTATAATCTGTAATTAATCACAAAAGTTTGTCCAGGATTGCTGGCGGAGGGATTTATTACCTATACTGCAGCCCGTCACCAGAGGGTGCTGTTCTCACGGTGGCTTCACCCAGCGAGGAGGCAGATGGTGTCTATTCTATGTACAGTCAATGGTTTAGATTTACTGCAAGTTAGGTTGCGATACGTCCACGACGTTACGTTAACGACAGAAACATGTATGTATAACTTGTGGCCCCGCCCCTTTTTGAGTTAAAGCAGTCTTTCTAAACGATGGTGACCAATGGGAAACAGGAGAATTTAAGCAATTAATGAAGTCAAAATACAAAAGTTGAGAGCTCAGAAAGCTGCAAGTCAGGCAAACATGAAACCAGAAATGTTAAAGGGTTTAAATGCATTTTAGCTAGCATGCATTTTAATCGTGTAATGTGAGTTAAGTCCTGACTTTAACAATGCATTCATTTGCAACAATTTCTTGTACCATAGAGGACTGAAACACATTGATAATAACAACCATATTTTGAGAAAGAAATAGTAGACTTCCTTTTCTTTCTGACAGCCATGAAATGAAACTTAACCTGGATGCTATCTCACATATTTATGAGTTCCTGACTGTAAACTTTGGGTCATAGAGCTCTGAGACGAGGATACAAGGCTGTCATGTTAATCCGGCTCTGCTCATATTCGGGTGTGATCTCCCCTATAGTTAAACATATGTTATAAGGAAGAAATTGTGGCTTGGCAGAGGATTCAGTTTACTTTCAGCCCCGAAACAACAGGGCGTCTCTTTAACCGTCCTCAGCCTTTTAAAATAGAAGATAATACTGTGAGTTTGTGAGTTTATGTTTCTGGAAGTGAAAAACAACAGTGTGAACTTGTGGTTCTACTTACTACGTTCATGCCAATAACACATCACTCTTGACATTGACTTTCAACAGGTGTGGCCTCCCTCCACTGCTCTCTGCGCTCCTGTTTGTCACTAAATTCTGCTTTTTTATGACTAAAATCAGCTCTGAGGAGGAAAACTATTTCGACTCCTTCGCTCAGAAGCTCCACCGGCCCTCGGTAAAGGTGAAGGTGAAGGCGAAGGTGAAGCTCTTCCCATTAGTTTGAATCAAGATGAGTCCAGATAAACTACCCACCTGGTGGATGGGGACCTCAGACAACCTTTGTAATCAGAAACTTTATAAACTAAGACTTTAGAAAGTCACTTTATTTGAGCAATAAATAGCCGAGCACATAAACCAGCCGTATTTCACACCTCTATTTTAGTCAAGGGTAAACAAAAAGACTAAATGTGCTGGCTGGTTGATTTCCTTACTTGCTACATTAGCTGCTTCCTCCTAATTTCTAAGCTAACCATCTGCCAGCTGTAGCCTCATTTTTCTCCGCATAGTTATTAAAGTGATCCCAATCTTCTTATCTAACTCCCGGCAAGAAAGAGATTAAGCTTATTTCCCAAAACGTTGAACCACTGCTCTTAAGGTCCAGTACTTGTTGGATGTATTAAGAGTACTTTCTGCCTCTCCGAATAAAGTTGGAGCCGCTCTTTGTGTGCAGGTCTCTCTGCTGGGATGGTTTCAGGGGCAGCGCGCTCGGCACAGAAGTAAAAACGTCCTCTGCTCCTTTTAATGAAGCCGAGCCCCGGTGTTCCCTCAGAGGGGTTTCCGGGTCTAATTGAGAATAGTAAACTGTTGCTGCTTGAGACGGAGTCGCAGCAAATAAATGGCCGAGCACTCTGAGATCCTTTTTTCGGATTATTCGTGATTTTCTTTTTTAACTTTTAAGCCCCAATACCTGATAATTTATGTGGTCCTAGGTTAGATCTGCATGGATCAGTTTCCTAGTTAGACCGAGTGTCTTACCCAGGATTTCCACCGCATCTCGAACGGCGGTGATTTACGCTGTACGTCAATTCCTACTGGATCCGTTTGTGAGATGAATTTCGTGGCGGATCACGGATGGCAGTAATCACTAGAACCCACAAGAACCTGCGGATTCACTTCCAATCGTGCGATTACAAGTTGTCTCTTAGCTACATAGGCTAACCATACAAGCAGTAGATTGTGTCCTTCCAGAGGAGGAAATCTACTTCTAGACTTCTAAAATCAGCATCTCCTCATCCATGGTGTCAACGGGATGAAATGTTGTCTATTAACCTTTCACTTGTTCGTCTCCGCCCGTTTGCATGGTATGAAATACGATCCTCCTGAAACATAAAATGTTTTATTTTGAAAAGAAGCCGGATGTTTTATTTTGTGTCTGTGCCCGACTTCCTTTCCAGCACGGTTAATCTGTGCTGACTTTATCCGGTATGCTCCAGCGTCTGGAAAAAATAGAACTCTTGCAATCTGCAGCAGAACAGAAAGAAGCACGGGGAAATTGACACGTTAACTTGAATGGTTACGATCAGCTACGATTGGCGGATACGGCCTTTTTGTAGCCGTTATGGATGTGGTGGAAATTAGGGGTTAGGCCTTGTCCACATGTAGCCAGTATTTGCTAAAACTAATATATTTTTATACGTTTTGGCCTGCCATCCACACAAAACTGCAGGATTACGTCATTAAAAACGAAGCTTTCAGAAAATTACGATTTTGCATGTGGACATAGATAACCAGAGTTTTAAATTCCCAAACATCATTGTCCGCAAGAACTAATAGATAAACAAATAAATAGATGCATAGATAAAATTTTTGTGAGAAGGGGTGTTTTACAGTCGGTTATTCTACACCAAATAATCCATTCTCTACATTTCTTGTGTCTTGTTGACTCTTTACTCTAAAATGATGCTTAAAAGCTATTTCACCTCTTTGTCGGTCCACACAAACAAACTACACAGAAGTTTGCTCTGATTGGATAGAAGGGGTCCAACTTTTTGACAAATACTACCAACTCCAGGTCTAGCATGCTTATAACCGCAGTCAATAGGAAATTCATGCGGTTTTGTGTGGATGGGACTTTATTTGAAAATGTTGATGTGTGTTCATGACTTTTTTTCTTTTAAACAGAGGGGGTTGGATATTCGTTTATTAAAATACCCGGCTACGTGTGGACAAGGACTTAATCAGCTCCAACACGATGATCCTCATCTCTGACATCTTCATTATGCTGCTCTTTTGCCTCCTTCAAAAATCTGTTGCGCTCAAGTCGCATCCTCTGAAAAGCGCGATAAGGCACGACAACAACAATGTCTGAGGGCTGTGATTGGCCGGGCCGCTCGGTTGTAGTGTTTGTTAAGGACTGCAATCAAGGATACGATCACAGAAAATACGTCCTCCAAGTATAAACACATCGGCCTTCTGCTATCTGTGAGCAAGTGCACCATTCATAAATGACACTTCATGTACACAAACCACTTCACCCTGTAACAACAAACCCAGAAGTCATTTCAAATCGAAAATTCCAAGGTTGATTTTTATGAACAATAAAGAAGACGAGGTGAATGTGTGGCACAGAAAGAAAACACATCCTCTATGAGCTAACAAAGTCGGTTCATTATTCTCGTCTATTCTCGCTCGGCCTTGAGGAGGAAGCTGCATTTTTGCAGCTGCACAGCGGAGTAGATATCTGAGTACACATCTGTCTTGTTTGGAGACCACAGCTTTGTCCACGCCATGCCCTCTCCCTCTCTCTCTTTATTTTAATTTCATTGTGTGTCTTTTCTCTCCATCCCCAGCTGTCACAGCTCCGTGGGAGGGACAGGACGTTCACCTTGCTCCACGCCCTTGTGGAGCAGATTATGTTGCACGAACCACACTTGGCCGCTTTTACCCAGGAGTTGGCAGAATTCGAAACTGTCCCAGGAGGTATTCGCTAAAACGCAAAGCTGAAAGAAAGCGCGTGTCGTGCTTTTCAATCAAAGTCTGCAAAGTGAAAATGTGTTTTTTTCTTACGTGTGTGTGTGTCGCTCTTTTTGGACAGCCTCCATCAAAGGCCTGACCGCAGAAGTGGATGGTGAGTAGATCGGATTTTACTACAGAGCCCGAAAACTGCTCTCAAATTTGCTGAGATCACTGTAATACTGACCTGACTTCTTTTGTGCCGCCGTCAGCTTTTTTTGGGGAAGACTGTGTGATAGTAACATTTACTAGCTCCTCTGTAATTGAAGTTTCACTGCACTTTGTAGAAACAGTGTCGTCTGCAGGGAATAAATGGGCCCGATCCAATATATTGTCTGTATGATGACTTACAAACAGTTACAGCGAGCACAAATACAGCACGCCACATGATCACACAGGAGACGGCGTCTGATTTAAAGCGGCTATTTGCTCTTATGGTCAGATCCGACAAATTGGTAACCGCCTCGTTCGTGCGTGTGTGTCTGTGTGTGTGTTGTGTGTGTGTGTTTCAGTCGTGAAGAATGAACTGCAAAAAGTCGTTCAGTACAAAAAGATCGGCAGGAAGAGAAACGCAGGAGCTCTTCCCCCCAACTTCTCTAAAGACCTGAAGGTGCAGTAGTAAATCTTATATTTATTATTTATTAACGCCTTCATTTAAATGTACGATGTGTCTTCTTGTAAACAAACAGGGTATCGATTGTTCATCGTTTCTCACTCAAGTGAACTGTTTAATATCTGCTTTCTCAACTTTCGCTCTTCTTCTTCTTCTCCGCTTTTATTGGCAGATTACGGCTTCAGGGGGAGTTTTATAGCCACAAGGGGTGTAATCAGATACCAATACATTAAATTAACACGCGCTGATGATTTCCTGAAAACACATTTCGGGACAAAGGATCCATTCAGGCCTCAAACACATTGTTAAGCACTCGCTACAGTATCTCCCATGTCTATAAAAGACGGATATCCATAAATAACATCCTGTCTTCATGTCTATTAGTGTTAAAAGTTTGACATTTAAAGTGATTCGTCCATTTTTTATCAAATTTGTTGGCTGGAGGCAGAAAACAGCTTGAACAGTGAAAAATGGAACAGCTGAGAAAAAGTGTCAAACTTGATAGAGATGCAAAAGTTTTCAGATCCAACCGTTCAGTGGGTTTTCAGTTTTTAAGAAAATCAATTATTCACTTTATATAGTCATAAAATAAAGAGTATTATTAATTCATATCATAAAATACAACAGGAATGTGAATTAAAGAAACATGTTTCACAAAAACCTGGAAAAAGGAATAAACTGAGTCAACTGTATTGATTTATCCTCAATATCCAATAACAGACAACAGTTCAACCCAATAAGGCGACTTTGCCAATATCTAACAACTTGAAACAGTTCCTGCCATGGTTCAAACCAACACTGTTATATAATCGACAACTGTAAGGATGCCTAGCCCAGGTTTACACTTTATAAAAAATGGAAGGTCACCATGAATGATCATTTTGACAAACTTTACTGGTTACAGATCTGGGTTATAGCTTCATCATGCCACAAGTGTGACAAAGCGTAACAAAGTGTAACAGAAGCGTAACAAAGATTGGTCTGAGACCGTTCAAGTACATATAGCTGTCCACGTTTCTAAACATACTGCTGACAATTAGTTGACCCGAAGAAAAATCCATGTACAGTAAGAACAAAGGACAACATATTTTAGGGAGCTTTAGGACGCTTTAGAACGTATTTTGGGGACCTGTGTGATGTAAAACCTGGGTACAAGGTCCTTGTTGAAGATAGTTGTCGGAGGCCCATGGCTCCAGAAATCTAGCACCAAAGTATTTAAAGGTATTTGAGTGACACAGCTCCACCACTCTAAAGGCTGACATGACTGGCTAAAGAAACTCATCCTAACAACAACAAAAATGACTTCTATAATGAAATGATAATATGAATGAATGTCAAATTGAGAAATTAAGAGTATTTTTGTAGCGTTAGGCAGCCATTCAATGTCGCTCAAATGGGCTTTAGCATTGGTTTCGAAAGTTCCTGGAGCTCTATCGAAGGTTTGGACACCTCTCTTTGAAAAGTAATCGATTGGCGTTTTGAGAATAATGAACATGGGTCAAATTAAACCAATAATTGATCACTCAGAACCACTCCACATTAATTTGTAGAGACCCTTAGACTAGATATCGAGAAGACCCCTGAAATACCAAAGTGGTTATGTCTAGCTGTTGTCGAGAGAGACTGCAACTTAGTTTTATGAGTTTGTTTTCGGGTTAAAGTCAAACAAAGATGTTCAGGTAATTTCAGATACAGTCGTGAAGTATCTCCATCCATCCAGATAACTTTATTTTCTTCCTCTTTTTCTGCTTCTATCTGCGCCTTAACTTAATATAGACTAACACTCAAGGTCACAAACATGTACCGATATAACAGACAGTAAATAAAGCTGTTTCTTTAGGAGGGTTTGTCCACAACATGCTCCAGAAAAGAACCCATTATATTTCTTTCTCTCTGAGAAAACTCGCCCTTCTATGCCATCCTCCACTGTCTCAAAAAGAGAGAAAAATAACTGTATTGACAAGTTTGCAGCTGTGTCAAGGTCAAACACACACTGTGAAAGGCACTTGCTCAAACATGTACATTTTTCGCATTGTCGGCTCTGCGGAGTGTCAACCTAAAGAAATTACGACGAGAAAGTTTTGGAAATGGTTGACTAAGAAAACGAAGAAGCTCACAGGGAGTTTCCTTTCTTTTCTCTGTACCCCAGATGGCAATTGAGAAATACAACACGGACCTCTCTGCACTGACGAAGACGTGTGAGGAGATGAAGAAACTCTACTCTGTCATACTGGTAATCCTTGAGTTATTATTTCAATATCTCTTTTGTACAGCCCTGGAGATGGATTGCTTTCCTTTCTGGTAGTGTCTGGATGGCCCTCTTCAATTATTTGTCATGTTATCTCCCCCTCTACACCGGAGAAGTACATATATCTCCGAGTAAGAAGTCCCCAAGGTTACTTCTTTTTCCCTATAGGTGTCCTTCAGGGCCGACACAAGGACATCGTACATCTGCTGCACAGAGCTGCAGGGTTCACGTTCTTTAACGGCAAACACGACTAGAAAAATGCTGCTCTTTCCCTTTTAAGAAACTTGGAAGTACAATTTTAGCAGTTTTGTGAAGCCAGAAAGTGTGAGGGACAAGTTCATCCTGACCCCCAATGTGAGACATCAATGAATGGTCGACCAAACTTTGAGAATGCGAAGCTGTGAAAGTACCCCTGGTGGGTTTCTGATGTGTTTTTCAAAAGAAGCAACACATAAAAGAAAGAAGAAATGCCACAAAATTCTGTGTTTGGATCCCTCTGAGGAAAAAGGAGTGAACTTTGATTTTAGAAATGTGCCAGTATGTAGATACAAGTTCATCCAGGTGCAGGACTGGAACCCAAGTCCAATAACAATGGCTAACTTTGGGGGAATGCTAAGGTGACCATATTCTGAATCCTCAAAAAGTGGAAACTACTGCGTGAGGTGGAGTTGTGTGCAAAATTTTCAGGGTTTTTCGGGTCTGGTCGAGTGTTTTTTACGTGCTTTTAAATTAGTCCACGCTACACAAACTCAAAATTTCCATACACAACAGCTGACATATGAAGGATTTTATAAACTCCCCCGGACAAACCGGAAAGCCCTCCAAAAAGAGGACATGTCCGGATAAAAGAGGACATATGGTCACCTTAAGGAATGCTGTTTCATCTCAAGTTAGTATAAACCTCTTCCATTGACTTCCTTTCACATGCATTGATTTCCCACTTTGGTGATCGGAAAACTTTGCAATGACGTAAACTTCAACGACATTAGGAAACCCTCCTCCAAAGTGAGTCATTTGAACCGAAAACTCAGGCATTCAAATACATGGAAATTTCGCGATTTGATCATTTGATTGAACACAACATAACCGTGCAACATTGTAGAGGAAGATGGCGAGTTTTCGTTATATCAGAAGCAATTGTCAAGCCTAAAACTCACAGGATACGTGTGGGGCGCCTGCCTTAGCGTTATGCGCTACGCAGCATATACGTTCCCATTCTAATCAACGCAGCATCTCAGCTTCGCCCCAGAACTTTCTCTACTCGCTGCTTTGCTAAAGATACGTGCCAAGCAGGGCTGGGCGATAAACCGAAAATTTACAGATGACAAAATTTACGACAATAACCAACGTCACTTTGCCCATGTCAATATATTTGGTGTCAAAAAACGCTGTCCTACATCAGAGACGTGACTCCACCCCATCCAGTCTGTAACAAAGAGAGAAAGACAGGTGAGGAGATGGAGGACGGTTCAAAAGTTGGAGCGGCTGAAGTAGACAAAGTTATTGTGGGAGGGGGTGAGCAGCTTGTGGAGTAGTTATCGTCCATATATCGCTATCGAGGTGAATTGATCAATATATTGTGATATTGATTTGAGGCCATATCGCCCATCCCCAGTGCCAAGTCTATTGTCGATGGAGCACGTCCTAGATCGTCCTGTACAGGATGTCAAGCATGGAAGAGGCGCATATTATCTGGTAAATTTCAAAATAAAACACCATAAATTGACTTTATTAGTGTAAATGAGAAATACTCCCTGATCCATGTGGACCACAACAGGACGTTTAGCTGCTAGCTCTGTCTGAAGGTAACAGCACAGCATTAACAGACATAGTTTACTTTGCTGAACACAAGTAAACCTGCAAATATCCAAATTTTAAACTCATGTTTCTTGTTCATAATCAGTAGAAACTCAACAGTCACAGAATTAAATCCAAATTAGCAGAAGAGCGACGACAGAAAGGCAAAACAATGAGTTTGTTGTTTCCTCTATACTGAGTCCAGCTGCACTGCGCTCCAAACTCGCTTCCAGTGGGCGAGCCAAAACAAAACTTTAAACGTCACTGTGAAACCGTCCAGTTTTACTCTCAATATGGACTGTTCTCTTCTAGTACAACAGAAACCATTAAAACCCAGACCTCTGCCAACAGACTCCACACCGTTTGTAGGATCTGAAAGCAGAAACTTGCAACGCTTACGCCAAAGCCCCTCGACGTTCGGTGTCAGACTGTAAAAGAGTGTATAGGATATCAAAGATGAGAGCCTCATCAAGCATTCACAAAAACCTGGGTGGTGATGAGCTGTCACAGCTATTTGACAACCTAGATCAGAAACAAATCCCCTCCTGTCATGTAGACTATATCTAAAGAGCGCGTGGGTGTAGCGGATCATGTTTTGATAGGCAGCTGCCTGTCCCGGCTGAGTGGTCGGGTTGGTGTAGGTTTTATGTTTGACTCATCTGAGGCAGAATCAGAAACAAAGACAGCTGTGAAGTACTTGTGTAAAATAGTCGCTGAATGGTGAAAATGCTTGATAATTTCGCAGGGGGGACACTGAGGATTCTGGTTTCTGGGGGTTTTACAGACTTTTCCTTGAGTGCAAATATTTTTCTCTTTCATGTCGAAATATCACGTCAAACATTTCATTTATCTCAGCGTAGAGGTAAAATCCCTCTGTCGCACATCTCTGCAGATTTAGCGGCGGTCCTTGTGTTTTCTCTGATCCCATTGTCTATAAAGGAGGACATTTCCTTTTCCCACTAACCTGGTTAGATTAAGTTTATAGAGCTCAAGCCTGCTTTTGACATTTTAGCAGGTACTTTGTCTTTTTTTTATAGAGTTCCCACCGAAAACAATCAATACTAAAGTAGAGCTTATTTTCTCACCTTTCCTATATCTCCATGGACAATCCATCATCATAGAGAGTCACTTACCCTTCCTGCTGTGTTTGAGCTCTGAGATATTTTACCCTGAGCTGTCAGCTTAAGGCCTGGTAGGGAACTGCGTTATATTAAACCCACAATTAGATTCCTGTGGACTGAAAACTTTTTTCACGGCTCGCACACAAGCAAGCGAATCGGAGGTTCCTGAAGGCAGTCGGTGTGCTTGAAAGTGAGAGGAGGAGATAATAAGGATCTTCCCAGCATTGTTTCAAACCTTCCCTTGACCTCTTTCTTTGTACTTCAAACAGTAAAAGCGACACCGGCGGCTTTTACATGAAATCTCACCGCGTTTAAGAGTCAAAGGGAGAGCTAGACGTCTGTTAAAAAGCTTTTTGTTTGAGTTTAAGTAAGTAACGTGACGACGGAAATATCTCACTGATAAATATGAAAGCTACAGCAGATAGATGAAAAAAAGAAAAACAGCAGCCTGGTTGATTCACTCTTTAGCAAATGAATTTACAGTCTACCTCCTGAAACAACCCACAGATGGATCCTCTATGCTCTACCTCTAAACCTCCTTTATCTGTATTTATTCAGCACAAACAGCCACCTAGTCAGGGCTCAACAGTGCGACCGTTTCACTCGCATTTGTTACTAAAAATAGATGTGTGCGAACTGTAACACATATTTAGGGGCACATGTGCGCATAAGAAAAATTAGCCAAGACAACAAATGTTTTTTTCATGTAAATACGGCGGTGAAGTTAGTTTTAGGTTCGATATCCGACTCGCTGAAGATCTACTGCTGTCTCCTCATCCCCCATCACCAGTAATAGCAACAGCAGCGCGGTTAAATCTACTCAGCATCCTCGCTGTCAACGTCGGGTGTTGAATAAGGGACCGTCAATAATTTTTTGTGTTAAATTTAAAGGCAAATTTTGACCATTTCCTACAAATAGAGTCCATTACAAAATTGACTCTAAATTATAGTACTTATGTCGACCAAACATTATTTGATTAATTTCCCCCAAAGTTCTTTGTGTGCTCCTTACTTTTTCAACTTAGGAGCTCATGTGCTTCTTGTGAAAAAAGTTAGTGTCAAGCCCTGCATCTAGTAAGAGGCTGCAGTAGGAAGTCACATCTTCACTCATATTTATAGTTAAGTTTTAAAAGATAAAAACAAATACATTTGACAATATTTAAATGATTTAAGAGGAGTAAGTCGGCAGTTTTTGGTCCCAAAATGAAGCCAGGCTAGCTAAGCTAATGAAACTGTCTAGGATGATTTAAAGTTAATTTATTTGATATCTCTACTTATACGAGAGTGCTATCCTTTTACTCTGAGAAAATAATGACTAGGAAGAAAATGTATGTCCAAGCAAATGCAAAGAAACTAGCGCAGCACCCACTAAGCCCTCACGTGTTAGCAAGGGTGACCATATTCTGAATCCGAGTACGAGACTACGCAGGGGCGGAATCACGCGTAGTCAATTTTGAGAGTTTTCCGGGTTGGATTGAGTGTTTTTTATGCGCTTCTAACTCAGTAAGTCCAAACTTCCATACAAAACCCCGGACATTTGAAGGACATGTGCGGGTAAAAGAGGACGTATGGTCACCCTAATGTTAGCGCATGTGGAGATGTGGTGCATGTTAGGGTACGAAGGAGCTTCACTGTCTAAATCTCTAAAGAAAGGCACAACAACACAGTTTAAATTCTGCCATCTTACCAAATTATGTTACACAAGACATTATAAAAGTAACATATTAGAAGTAGATTTTAATCTTACGTTTGAAGTTTGAGGCAGTTTGGAGAATCTATAATTAAGTTATAGTGACTTCCTGTTTCATAGAAATAAGGGTTACATATTTAAGCGCCCGTAAAGATTAGAGTCTAACGAGTCAGATAACAGCACATGAGGACAAAACCAGAGAAGGGAGATGAAGTTAGGCTGACTGTCCACATGGGGTGCCAAAATCAAAAAGTGAATTGATGAAAACTCAGGTGAAAAAGTAAAGTGCAGAATAAAGTCTGATTTATTAAATAACTTCATAGTTTTTGTGTCTTTGTTTGGAGCCTGAGAGCGAAACTTTAATATAGACGCAGTTTCAATCAACTTGACCTTTAAAAAGAATCATTTCACTTAATGAGGAACTAATACGCCACAAATCACTTTATGAGACACTATTCATCACGTCCATTATACAGATTATAAAATATATATATATATTTCAGTAACTTCCAGGGGGATTTCCTCACAACTACTTTCTATTTGGTACAAAACAACATTTAATACCAGCGCATTAATCATCACAGTGTGTTGGTCGAGTCGGTGACATTAAACGCAGTAAATACGACGTCTTTAATGTGCAAATCATCAAAAAGTGAGACTAGTTTTTGGTGACGCGCCACATTATAAATCTTTAGATTTAAGTATTGTTCCTTCTTCGTATAATAAATCACTTGAAGTATTATTGAAAACAGTCTGCTGGTGAAGTGGCAGTGGCCTTTAAAACTTTTACAATATGACCTTTAACTGCAGTGTCCCCCTCAGGCCAGGAGTTGTTTTTAATCAGCAAGGAGCCGTGAAAAAAAAGTAAAAAAACGCACCGTCATCCCGAAGAGAGGAGTCTCCGTGTTTTTTTCCCCTCTTTACCTTTAATAATGTAGTGTTACTTTTTTAATTGCAGCAGCCTTATTAGTCCATTCCCCGCCCTCCAGTGTCAAGTTTAGTCACAATCAGTTAAACTCGTATTCTGCAGCTCCACCTGCGCCTCTCCTTCTTGGCTGATTTCAGCAGCATGTGGGGGCTGCTGCTCTAATATTGTGTCTGCGAACGCTCCTGAATATACAATAAAGGCCTTCAGGAGCGTCGGAGAAAATGATTTAGAGTGACTCGGCTGTGTTTCTGTGCAGAGGAGCAGCAGGTTTGGGAAAAGGCTTCATATTCAGTCATCTTCTCATGGGAGAGGAGAATTCATAATGATGCCCCTGAATAGCCAACATGCAAATTTATTAATCATAGAAGAAGCTCATAAAAATTTGGGGGGTCTGAATCTGGAGGAATGTTTTTTTTTATTTCTTCTTCTTCTTCTTTTAGTCGATGTTTTTTCTGGAGGGATGATTTTATAACGGTTTTAAATAGAAGCAGAATTTTTTATGTAACATGCTTTTCTTTGCTTCGAGTATGATACACTGGATGCATAGTCATAAGAGCTGTGATGTAATCAGCATCTCTTCATACAGGCACAGGTAATCTTTACATCTTTAATACTCTGTGCTGGTAAGAAACCATATATATATAAGAAACAGGGACGGCAGAGAAGATGCTTTGGAGTAAAAAGCTTGTCCTCGTGAACAGAGATGGGTTTACTGTGAGACTAAGACGGCGTGTTTTTGTTCACTAATATTGTAAGAGAGGTGTCAGACGTCCTTTATCAAATGATACGATCAAGCTGCATGCATGCACAGAGCGGTGCAGAATGAAGTTAGTGACACGGCCAAAATATGGCTGCTCCTCTACAGTCTGTTCATTTCACTGTTAATGCCGTTGACATGTTTGATTACATGGCGAGTTAAAAAACTGTCGCTAAAGCGTACAAATTAGGGATGTGGAGATTAATCGATATGGATCGTTGTCGTGACACAGACGTGCGTGATGCGAGTGCATCGATTCATTCAGTGTGTATCGGTACAATGACGGCTGAAATTCGCAATGCTTCGTTCGCTGCGTGTCTGTATCGTAATCTTCACAGTTGCATTGGTTTTTCCATGTTGTTCTGCATTCTATCATGTGTTTCCAAGGCGTCTTGAATGCACCATCACCATTTCGCGATTTGTTTTGAAGACGGACGGAAGCCATGCACGCACACACTCTTCAGTAATCATGGCGGAGGGAAGCAGCAACGCCGCAGAAGAAGAGATTTTTAATGCTCCGCAAAAGTTCAAATCCAATGTTTGGAAGTACTTTGGATTTACAAGAGAGATGGTAAATTTGAAAAGACGCATGTTATTTGTAAAGAATGCCGTGCTTCTAAACCTCACAACGGCAGCACAACAAATATGGCCGCTCACTTGAAAAACGTGGTATCGATGTCACGAAAATTGCTGCTACCGGAGTGCAGGAGGCGAACAGCAATACGGGTGAGAAGGAGAAAATCACAAAACACTCAAAAAACCAAAATCAGATTTGAAAAATTTATTAATTTCCTTACTATTTAAAAGTCAAACATGCTCAATGTAAAAATTTGAATGTAGAAAATGTAAACACAAGTTGTAAATATGTACATACAAAAGTATAAGTGAGATAAATTTAACGTATCGGGATTAGGGGTGAATCGTGGAGTATCGTATCGGCAGAGATTCAACGTATCGCAAATTATATCGTATCGTTGGCAGTGCATCGAGATGGGTATCTAATCACCACAGTAATGGAGATGCACATCCCTAATAGAAATCTGTTAAAAAAATAAACGTTATTTTAATCATTGACATTAACAGTAGTGGAAAAGTTTAAACTTAAAAATTATCTTGTTGTCCGAACGTTTTTTCTGAATTTTTCCAGAGCATAAAGAAAACTCAATCATCCAGTTTAACAGATTAACACCTAACCAGACTGGGGACACAAAGATGAAACTGTTGTGGGATTATACTGGAGTTTGACGTCCTCCAGCAGCTCACTATCAGACACAAACAAAAGTCTGAACACGAGAATCTCCTCGCTGTGAAAACAATCCTGAAATGATTATTCTGTCACAAAAACAACATGAAAACAGTTTTACATAATCGTTATCTCCGGGAGACGGTTCAGCTGAAAGGGTGACGGCTAAATTCTTGTGATTCTTTTATTTTGACCCTCTCAGTTTGGTGTTAAAAGCACACACAAACACACAAACACACACAAAAACACACACGACGGGCGATTTTCGGGTTTATTGACGCACATGTTTTGTCAACAGATGTGAAAACACCCACAGACACCCATTTAAAAATCACTACTCCTGTGTTTTGTTTTACTCACGGTGCCCACAGGACGTCAGTGGTTGATGAAACACATCTGCTTTTAACTACAATAATAAAAAGAGGATTTCCAAAGAGCTAAATTTGGGGTAACGTCGCCGCTTTTCGCACCTGCGCCGGTTGTAACAGCGCCATTATGACTGATACTTTCCAAGTAATACCTTCACTGACTGACGCTGGTGGATTAGTTGCACCAATTATACATTTCTGATGCCAACAGGGACATGAGGGAGCTCTGGGTTTTATTTTTTCACTCTGTAGCTTAGCATTTTCCCACCACGGTACGATACACAATGCAATCTCATTATCCTCCTTATCCCGACTCGTTAAATAGGAAACACATTGACTCATAGAACAGGCAAGCCCTTTATTCCCCTAAAGCCGTTTGGAAGAGTGCTTGTAGATTTGTTGGCTTTATTGGGCACAGTATGTGTTTGTAAAAAAAAAATAAAAATGCATGCAAATATTTAACATGAGGAGCAACCGGGCTGATCGACGAACAGGCAGAGCAGAGGAGGATTATGTCACTCAGGCTGAGAGGAAAAAATAAAAACGCTCATGCTTGTGTTGTGCGTTCCTGACAGGTTGTGCAAAAAAAAAAAAAAGTATGCAAATAGTCTCATTTGCACATCTCCTGCCACAGTCTTGTATAATATTTAAGAGACAGGTGTTTAAATCGAGCGGCGCCCTCTTGCTATTAGGACGTTTGTTTAAAACAAGCATCTGACACCTGTGTAAAGCTGTCAGGAAACCCAAGACCTGCTAATACGAACATACACACACACACACACACACACACACACACACACACACACACACACACACACACACACACACACACACACACACAGACTGTAAACTTGTGAAAGTCCTCGGAGACATTCCTCAGACAACCTCTCGTCTCTTCGTGTTCATTAACGTGTTAAGAAGTCGGCTTTAGGATCATACGTAGAAACTTCGCCCAATTAATTTGTCAGTTTAATCGACTAAATCTGTCTCATGGGGATGGCTGCATATTCTAAAAGGCTGAAAATGAGCTGTTGGAGGGTTCACAAAAATAATCAGATACACAGTGTCGATGCATAAATTCATAGCTGGAAATCCAATAGTATTTTAATTTGAAAATCAGATGAGCCAGATTTACTTCCATAGATTGAAGCCTTCCTTGTGATTTTTGGCCGACTGTCATCCTCTCCTGGCAGAACGAACACCCCGCTGACTCCCACTACATATTTACAGCGCGGATCCAAGACTGGGATCAATTTCTCATCCCGGTCTTTGCAGTAAAGCGATCCAGCGTGTACCCCGGAATATAAATATTTTCTTAACTCTAAAATTAGTCTTTCTCACAGCTTCACAAAACTACGTCCCACTAAACGCACCGCAGACCAGAAAAGAAACCCAAGAGAAGTAAAATTAACGTCTACATGTGACCTACAGAGGCAAATGAGCCCGTCAGCAACAAAACGGATGATTTCTAATGAGTTATTTTTAATGTTTATATCTGCTGCTGCTGCTGGTGCTGGTGGGTAGGTGTTAGACGAGGTGATAAACAGCACAAACAGACTCAAAATGAGAGAGGAGACTGACAGTTGAAGGAGAGTAGGAGGACTTTTTTTTTTATCAGAAAACACTGACAAAACATTTACAGGACTAGACCAGTTTAAGAAAATAGATGTATCACCACAGGGGGCGCCGAAATCAACGCAACAGGAGCTTTAAATCAACAAGAAACTTATTAAGAGTGCATGTATTCAGAGTGGGGCTGCACAATAATGGAAAGAAAATTAAGATATGGGACTTGAGCCCTTAAAGCCCTGTTCGTAAAAATTTTAGGCGATTTTTATATCTGCATTTTCAGCCTCATCATAGTAACTCAGAATCTGACTAAGACTCATTTTCTGCAGGTCTACAAACCCTTTTTAAAACTTTATCTGAATGTGTGAAATGCAAAATCTCAAAATGGGATGTTATCAGTCTAACTTGACGACATTAAGTCCTTCAGACTCTGGAGAATAAGGAATAAAAGTAAAATGCAACACAATAGGGATGTGTAAGAAATAAAAATGGAAATTAGAATACAGGGACTTTATTAATATAATCTAACATGGCCTGAGGCTCGAGTATAAACTTGCAAAAATGTAAAAAAAATTTTGTCTTGAGTAATTTCAACATTTTTTTTAATTCAAATTCATTTTTTCAGAGAAAATGAAAATTTATGTGCTGCATATAATAATTTGTTGATAAGAAAACTCAATGTTTTTGTTCTTTTAAATAACTCTAAGTTGGGTTATCAGGTAATGGTGCAGCACTAATGTCACAGAGGAAAACTGAAACTTTTTATTTTGGCTAAAATGAAAAAACAGGGTTATGGAGGACCAGGAACCACATTTTTAAACCCCTAAATCCACTGTGTTTTATAGCTGTATGGAGTTTCCTGGATCTTATGATGTGACATTAAAGTTGATAGATGTGTGTTAAACCAAATCACTGACTGTGAAGGGATCTGAAAGTTTGGCTAAATGTAGTCGTCTAATATCTACATCAGTTGCTGCTCCAGAAGAAAGTTGTCATTTTCTTTTACTATCAAACTTTGAAGAAGGTCTCAAAAGTCAGGAAAAGTGGTCAAAAATAGAAATCTGTGTAAAAATCGGTGGAATAACAGCTAGTTAGCAAACACGACGACGGGACGTGATATTTCTTTTTGTAGGACGGTAGAATATATTGTAGGACTTTTAGAATATATTTGTTTATTCCTACAGTATAAAAAAAAAGATGTTGTAACCTGTTTAACTTAATCAAATGAGCTCTGATGAGTTTTAAAGTGGCTATATGATGAAAACTATTGATACCAAGATGATTTAAAGCAAATAAAAATAAAAAAAATCAAGTGTGTTTATCCTTTTTTCTTAAAAAAATATCCAAAAGATTTAAGATTTTTTTAAAAAGTGCAAGTAATTGAAGATCAATCAAAATTAAGTATGGGCAACCACACAGTTAATTACAATTTAAAGTATTAACCATTTTAATAGCGGTTAAAGTAAACACTAAAGTAAACACTAAATATCCTCCTACTGTGTTAAAAAGCACCAGGACCAGCAGGAAACATCGTCTTTAAATCTCGCTCAATCAGGCGTTTTAAAATGTGAAATTGGTGACAGCGTGATGCGTTTTAGATCCAAACCATCAATTCTGATGTTCTGGTGGAGAGGTTTATTAAATATTAGCATGTTTGTAAATGAAGTTTAAGAAGTTATCATATGAACAGATTAGACATGTGTCACACCTGAAATCCTGTTTGAATCTGTTCAACACAATAAGAAGTGAAGAAAATAAGGAGAGACAGTCTGAGTCTGAGTTTTAACCCGTACAGTTAACAGCATGTAATGAGCCAATTAGTCCACTTAGACTCTGTGACCCTTTCTGATAAAGTTTGACTTCAGAATTATGGACATTTTTGTGCCGGCGACCTTTAACCTCCTCTGTGTACATATTAATTCAGCTGTGAATGTCCACACCCGTGTATAAGTGCACTCGAGGCGCAGGCTGCATGCTGGAGAAGTTTATGAGGTAATTACACAAAAAGTCTGTTGTTACGAAGAACACGCACGACCCACGCACAGGTTCGCTAATGAAAGCTGTTAATTGGAGGATGTATTTTTTAAGTTGAAGGTGACTGCCAGACTGAAGTTTCTCTAACGCTGTTTTTTTTCCCCCCTCCTCTGTGTGAAGGTCAAATTCGGAGAACCGGCGGATCAGGACTCTCAGGAGCTCTTTGGGTTGATCTGTCAGTTTGTCCACGACTTCAAGAGGGCCCATGCTGAAATTATATGAGCTACGGAGGACATCCTGGCAACCGCAGAGACTGTGAGGACGCTTATTAAACAAAGTGAAGAGATCCTACCGGCTCGGAGAGATCGAGATCAAAGAAAAATGTCGTTTTAAACGCAGTATTTGAGGGTAGAGAAACACAGGTGTGTGAATTCAGATATCTTCAGCTGTTCTCACTCTCTTCCTGTCCTGGTTATATGATCATAAATGCAATGAGCTGTATATAGTGATGTAAATACTGATGGTCACTGTAATATATAAAGCTGCTTTGGTTCGGTCTGACTTCATATTTCCTGACATTTGTTTTGGAGATGAATTCGTAATGAAGGTGCTCGCTTGTAAGGATGCTGTGGAGTGCTGCTAATACCCACCGCTCTGCGCAGGCGGAGGAACAAAATCAGACAGCACTTCAGAGGCCGGCTGGGGCTGGTGTACTTTGGGTGCGTGATTATTTTGAACACGGAGTCACGCTGTGGTCGGGGGACATCTCCTATCCCAGCGCACCAGGAGGAGCTCCAAGGCCGCCTCTGATTAATAACCAGGTCTGCGCGGCCGCAATGACACGATGAGAAACGCAAAACTCCCTCTTCAAAGAGGTTGAAAGGTATTCTTAACCCTGGCTGGAACTGATTTATGTCTCACACAGAGGTTTATGTGTCTTACATTTTAATCAGCTGCCAGAAAAAGAACAAAAAAAAAAACACCATTTCTGGTTTTGGCTGTGAAGTGTGGAGGTACGGGATAATGAAACAGACCCCTGAATGAGAAGTTGCACATTTCTTGTGAGGAAAGAAAAACCACTGATTTTAATTAAAACTTTGCATCTGGAGAGGAAGGTGATTCATTAGCAGGAAGAATTCAGAACTGTTTTATTAAACGCTCCCTTCACAGTGCTTTATCTTATTAATATTTTCTAAATTTTCAATTTGTCATAATTAGAGCCTGATGGATTATTAGGGCTCCCTCTCTCCTCTTTTTATAAGAAGTTTGTTCCACTTAGAGAATAGAATTAAATCACAGATAGAGACTGAGCTGGACAGATAGAGCTGATAGGATTATTTATGTGTGCTGCTTACACTTGTGCTTGATTTCATGAACAATAACAATATTTTCATTGATTAATATAAGTTATTTACAGTTTTTCCTGAAAAGCACATCAAATATTGGCTCGTAGAAAGAGTTGGGATCATGTTTTAAAAACAAATAAGAACTTAAAATAACCTGCTTCAGGAAAAAAAAGCTGATTTTAAGTGTATGCAGTGAGTCCCACTACAGAGTCATAACATTTTAACCAGAGTCTGACTTTATTTACTTTATTTATCACCGGGGATTGAGGAATTCGGTCATTATAGCATTACACCTGCTCTTAAAAATACAAATATTCATAGAATGAGAATAGAAATAGGAAGTAAAAAAGGTTTAGTAAAAGAAAATTGAATTTTTAAAAATATATGATGTACTGTAGATGATGAAATCCACCAATGACCATAGGTGAGTGACCATAGAAATAGAGAATCTAGAGAAGATGTCGCTACGGAAAGGAAATACACTTGATGGGAAATGTGTAGGGCTGGGCGATAAACCGAAAATTTACAGATACTGAATTTTACGACAATAACTGACGTCATTTTGCCCGTATCGGTATATTCGGTGTCAAATAAATAAATAAATAAAAGTTGGTTTTGGATGTGTGTAGGTAGGCTATGGTCTCATGTCCCTTTAAGATGGTGTCCCAGCAACACAAGTCAATCAGACGTGCTTGAAGAGCTGAGGAAACTCCAAAAAGAAAATCAAGATGGACATAATCAGAATAAAATGGCACTTGACCGCCTGGAACAAACTGTTTCTGCTAGAAAGAATCAAGTAGCAGAAGAAATAGTCAGCGCGGCTGAGGACACGGGGACACGCCACCGCAGGGCCCTCAGGTACCTGCTGCACCGTGACACAGATCTCTCTACAAAATGCGACAGACTAAGAGGAAACAACATCAGGATTTATCAAATACCTGAAGGCAGCTAGGGCAGAGATACGGTGGGATTAGTTTAAGGTTTGTTCCACCAAGAACTTAAACTACCACCAGATACGGACATCAAGATCGAAGGAGCGGTCACTGTGTGGGAAGAGGGAAAGACAGAGTGAGGAGTGAGGAGATGGAGGACGGTTTAAAGTTGTAGCGGCTGAAGTAGACAAAGTTAATGTGGGAGGGGGTGAGCAACTTGTGGAGTAGTTATCATCCATTTATCGTTATCGAGGTGAACTGGTCAATATATCGTGATATTGATTTGAAGACATATCGCCAAACCCTACTTTATATATATATATATATATATATATACTGTATATCATGATATTGATTTGAGGCCATATCGCCCAGCCTTAGAAATATGTAAACACGGCCCTGGGAATTAAACTTCTTCAGTTCAAGAACCTCAAACAAGTCCAGTTGACCTCAACGAAGTTAACCAAGACCTGGAGGATTGAGAACCTACAGAGACATCAACTTTGTGAAACAGGGAATCTTGGAAACAGAGCAACAAACGATGGTAAGATCATAGGTCCAGGTCTCTAAATAAAGGACCCTCAAAACCCTTATGAGTTTATCGCTCATGAATGTCACAGACATTACGACCATTAAAGGACTAAATCAATTGTCTTATTTTTACAAGATGCATGAAAGCCATTCAGTGACAAGTGGAACATCTACACGCTTTCATTTCTACGGCTTTCTCTTTTGATTTATAGCTCATACGATTTCAAACGTTTGTCTCAAAAATTGATCCAACAGAAAGGTATTAATTTCTCCTGATGATCTTTTACAAACAATGTGTTTCATCTCAGCTTTAAGGGGGGGAGAGGATTATGCATCTTCCAGTTCTGGGTGTTTAATTTTACGCTCTATAGCTTTACTGTTTTCGTCCTCCTACCGCTTTGATTTACGCAAAAAAATGAATCCTAATGTGCTCTGAATGTCTGATGGGGTTTTCAATCAGGGTGTCAATGCTGTGTTTACAGCGTGTTGCCAAAAAAAATCAATACCCTTCTATTAATTAATAAAGCTAATTGTTGATTTAAGTCAAAAAGCTCCCCGTCTGATAGCATGTTAATATATCTCAGCGCCTCTGGCTGATTCCCTTTTTTATTACTCTGAAAATTGGCACATGCCCGTATTAGATGTAGGTTTAATTAGAGTAAAAGCATATACAATGACTCGGTAAAAATGAGCCTGTGCCTTTTTGAAGATTACCAAAGAAGCTCATTATGTGCAGCAGGGCTGTCGGACATGATCAGTGTGTTATACGGAGAGTACATGCTCTCTTTTTGACCGCTAATTAAATGCCTTAGAGACTTTGGTCTTTTTATCAAGTCCCAGTCATGGTTCTGGATTTGGTCTCTTATTTGTTGATAAAACTATCGCTGTCCTCTTCAGACCGCAGTGGCTAAAGGCAGGAGAGAGAAGCTGAAATGTTAATGTGATGAGTTTGTTATCTAAAGAGCAGTTTTTGGGGGGCTGCAGCTTCACCTGGTCTCGATTGCTGTGGTTTTTCTAATCAGTGAATTACAGGATTTCAGCTCGAGCGTTTGAGATGATGTATGTGCGCTCCACGGTGAAACAGGAGGACTCAAAGGAGCCCGGCTGACAGGACAACAAGGCCATGTCGGAGGAGTTCTCACAACTGCAAATGAGATTTTTTAGCCTTAACCTTTTAAGAAATAGAAAACAGATTTACAAACTATAAAGGAAGAGAGATTTGGGAAGCTTTTACTTCCTGAAATTAAACTCCAATCAAAGCGAGAAAATACACTATCTAAACCTTTCTTTAGTTCTTCTTCTTTAGTTCAAGGTTACACTGCCTTGAGATATTTTCCAGTGTGTCTCCAACGAGAAAAATACTTTTTATATTCCTGCAATTTCAGGAGACTTAGCGAATGGCAGCTATCACAGGCCTTATTCTGCCTGCTGTTATAATTTAATGCACAAATAGCTCCATAATAAAAACAAGATCACCACAGCAACTTAGAAAATCACTTCTTTGATTTACAATCAAAGGAAACAGGAGCCGGAAATAAATGTTTGTTTCTGTCTGGAAATCCTAAAGAGCTTCATTTGAATAGTGGCATAAAAACAGGCTGTGTGATGAAAGGGGGGAAAACAGTAAAATAGGGTGGAAATTCAGATTATAACCTTGGAGTCAAATGTTAAATTAAAGATTTGTTTGACGATCCTAAAGTTTTTCCAGGGAAATGGTGAACATACAGCCTGGTCACCATCATGAGCGCTTTGAAGACTCACAAACTTTGAAGACTAATCAGTCTAATCATCATTATTATGATTATTATTAGACGTAGTATTGTCATAATAATAAAATAAAATAATAACAATAACAATAATTATTATTTTATAATAATAATAATAATAATAATAATAATAATAATAATAATAATAATTATTATTATTATTATTATTATAAAAATAATTATTATTTTTATAATCATCATCATCATCATCATAATTATTATTATTTTCTATTTTTTTTATCATTATTATTACTATTTTTACTGTTATTATTATAATTATTTTATTATTATTAGTAGTAATATTTTTATAATTAATATTATTATTATTATTTCATTATGAATATTGTAATCATTATCATTATTTTAATTATCATTATTGAATTATTATCATCATCATTATTATCATTATTATTTTTATTATTATCTTTATTAATATAACATAAATTAAACTACAGTAAAACAGACTAAAGACAAACTTTTCTTATAGCACTGATATACCAAACAAAAAACAGTATAAAGAAAAAAACACAGTATAAAAAAACACAGGCAACCCTCATGTTTGACCCATATCATTCATTGATATTATTAGTCTTACTGTGAAGCTTTTCTCCAATTTTAACGTGTTTATCTCCTGCAAACAACATTACAATGATCGATGTTTTATATTTTGAAAAGAAATAAACCGGCAGTTATTGACCGAGAAGCAG